ACCAAAGACATTTTTCTCTCCCCACCCTTCCAAAGGGACCACACTCTCCGTGACTCCCTTTTCCGCTCCGCACTTCCCTCCAGCCCCACCACACCTGGCACTTTTCCCTGCAACTGCAGGAAGTGCTACACCTGCCCCTACACACCCTCACCCTCACCCTCACACCACCCACCCCCATCCCAGGCCCCAAGAAAACCTTCCACATCAAACAGATGTTCACCTGCACATCTGCTAATTTGGTATACTGTATCCACTGTTCCCGATGTGGCGGCCTCTACATCGGAGAAACCAAGCGGAGGCTTGGAGACCGCTTTGCGGAACACTTGCGCTCGGTTTGCAACAAACGATTGCACCTCCCAGTCGCGAACCATTTCAACTCCCCCTCCCACTCCTTGGACGACATGTCCATCCTGGGCTTCTCCAGTGCCGCAATGATGCCACCCGAAGTCTGCAGGAACAGCACCTCATATTTCGCTTGGGAACCCTGCAGCCCAGTGGTATCAATGTAGACTTCACAAGCTTCAAAATCTCCCCACCTCTGACCTCATCCCAGGACCAACCCATCTCGTCCCCGCCTCCTTGACCTGTCTGTCTTTTCTCCCACCTATCCGCTCCTCCCACCTCACTGACCAACCCCCACCCCCACTTCCTACCCGTTAGCCTCATCCCCGCCTCCTTGACCTGTCCGTGTTCCCTCAACTGACCAACCCCCATCCCAACTCCCTACCTACACTCACCTTTATCGGCTTCATCCCCACCTCCTTGACCTGCCCGATTTTCTCTCCACCTATCTGCTCCTTTATCCACCTTCCATCATTGCCTCCCCCTCTCTCTATTTATTTCAGAGTCCCCTTCCCCTCCACCATTTCTGAAGAAGGGCCAGACCCAAAATGTCAGTTTTCCTGCTCCTCTTATGCTGCCTGGCCTGCTGCGTTCATCCAGCTCTACACCTTGTTATCACTTTTGAAGGAAGTGTATTGTTCCTTTGATATGGAGAGCAGAACTATACACTGTCATAGAGTCACAGAGATCTACAGCACAGAAAAAGGCCCTTCAAACCATCGAGTCTGTGCCAATCAAAAACCAACCACCTAACTGTTCTTATCCCATTTTCAAGGTATTTGAGGTGTGGTCTCAAGTCTCATTTCCCAGTTGCAGGAACCTTTCATTCTAGTCCCCTAGCGATAAAGGTCAATGTGCCATTCGGCTTTCCAATTGTTTGATGTACTTGCTAGCAAACTGTGTTCTCTATGTGATCACACCCAGACTCTCAGTACATCAAGATTTTAAAAGATTCCAGCCCTTTACAGAAGTATTCTGCCATTCTTCTTCATTTGCCTTGTTGATCAGTTATTTGCCATGTCCTCACAGCTTACGTTCCCACTTTGCTTTGTATCATCAGCAAATAGAAATGTTATTCTCTTCGTTCATTAACATAGATTGTAAATTGCTGACAGTCCAGCAGTGAACCTTGCAGTACTCAAATTTGTCTACCAACTTGAAAATGCCCCATTTATCCCGACTCTTTGTTTTCTGTCTGATAACTAATGCTAATGCATTATTCCCAACTCCGTGAGCCATGAATTTGCATGTCAACCTTTTGTGTGACGCTTATAAAATGGCTTCTGGAAATCCAAATATTTTACACTTCCTGGCTTCCTTTTATCTACCCTACTAATTGCGTTCCTCAATGAACTAATGAATTTGTGAAACGCTTATTCCCTGTATGATTCATGTAATTATCTTAAGTCCACTTGTATGACTTCCTTAAGGGCTCCACCATTTTCCCTGACTGATTAGCCTCTGGTCCATTGTGGTGTTTTCTCTCTTTTCTCTCTCCTTCCTTGCATAATCATGGAAAAATTGCTATTAATTTACTGGGACAGTTCAAGAATTTAGAGAATTTTCTAAAATCATAGCAGGTACATTGATTTGTCTCTTCATGTACCTCTTTTATATCCCCTTCGATGTAGGCCATCAAGTTCTGTGAAATTGTTAACTATTTCTTAAGTTTTTCTACAACATTTTCTATGCTGATACGATTTACTTCAAGTTCTTCACACTCCATCACCACTTGGTTATTCTCTGTTTTGTATGTGTTTTCCATTTCAAAGGCAGTTCACAAAATAATTGTTCAACACCTCTGCTATTTCCTAATTTCAACCGAAATTTCTCTTTTTCTCTATCTCAGGCTGACATTTACTTTTAATTGCTGTTACGTTTTATATACTTGTAAAAGTTTTTCAAGTTTTTCATTTTTTAATGTTCCTGGTTAATTTTACCGCAATCAATTTTTTTTCCCTGTATCAACCTTTAGTCACCCTTGGTGGTTTAACAATATCTCCCAATTCTCAGGCTTACTCCTATTTTTGTAAAGTTTTAAATCTCTTGCTTAAAGTTAGTAACCATGTCTGGACCTCTCTTCTTGCAGAATTTGTAACCTGTATTTACATGGAATGTATGTTTGCTGAACATTCTGAATTGTTCTCGCTGTTTACTGCTATTCATTTTAGTGTATTTACTAAATCACCCATGGCCGCCTCTTCTCTCATATTTGTATAATTGGCTTTAAGATTCTTAGTTTGGGCTCAAATATTTCACTCTTTAACTGAATATGGGCAAACAAGGCAAAGGAATACACAGTAACTGGGAGGATATTGAAAGGGGTAGAGGAAGTGAGAAGCTTTGGAGTGATAAAATAGGTAGTAAAGAGATAAAAGATACTGCAGGATAGTGGTGTTGAACTAGAAGATCAACTGTGATCTCTTGAATGGTGGAGCAGGCTTGAACAGCTGAATTGCCCATTCTAGCTCCTGTTTCTTGTGACTCGTCCTTTGTAGTTTGTTGAAAGCTTTGAGGAGTTAGGAGATGAATTATTCATGTAGAATTCACGACCTCTGACCTGCTGTTACTGTCACAATAATCATATAGCTGGTTTAATTCGGTTTTACATCAATATTGACTTATGGAGGAATTTAGCAATGGTAATGTCGTTGGATGTCAAAGGGAGATAGTTAGGTGGACTCCTGCTAGGGATGGCCTTTGCTTGCCACTTGTATGGCATGGGTCATACTATGGGCTAAAGCCTGGAGGTGATGCAAGCCTTGCTGCACGTGTATATGGACTGTCTTGGGCATCACAGGTCATCAGAGAATTCATAAATAGTGCTAAACATTGGAAAATATTCCCATCTTGGACCTTTATAGAATCATAGAATCACAGAATCCCTACACTGTGGAAGCAGGCCATTTGGCCCGTCGAGTCAACACCAACCTTCTGAAGAATATCCCACCCTATCCCTGTAACCCTGCATTTCCCATGGCTAATCCACCTCGCCTGCATATCCCTGCACACTACAGGCAATTTAGCATGGCCAGTCCACCTAACGTGTACACTTTGGATTGTGGGAGGAAACCCACACAGACACTGGGAGAATGTGCAAACTGCACATAGGCAGTCGCCTGAGAGTGGAATCGAGCCCAAGTCCCTGGCACTGTAAGGGACATCATTGAAGCAGCTCAAGATGGTTGAGCCTTTGACATTGCCCTAAGGATCTCCTGCTATGACATTCCTCTGTCTGAGATGATTACCCTCCAACAACCGCACCATCTTCCTTTGTTTTAAGCATGGTTTCAAATGGTAGCGAGTTTCCCTGATTTCCATTGACTTCCGTTTTGCCACAACTCTTTGATGCCATACTCTGAAATGCTGTCTTGGTGTTAATGGAAGCCACTTTCATCTCACCCCTGGAGTTCACCTCTTTTGTCCATATTTGGACCAAGGTTATAGCAAGGCCAGGGGCTGAGTGGCCATAGTGAATCCAAACTGAGCGTCAGTGGGCTGAAGAGTAGCAAATAGGGTTTAATTTGGATAAATGTGGAGTGTAGCATTTTGGTAAATCAAACGAGCAGGACTTATACAATTAATGGTAGGGCCCTGGGTAGTGCTGTAGAACAGAGACCTAGAGGGTCAGGTATATAATTCTTCGAAATTTGTGTCATAGGTTCATAGGTTCATAGGGTGGTTAAGAAAGGGTTTAGCACACTTGCCTTCATTGCTCAGACCTTTGGGTGTAGGAGTTGGGTCGTCATGTTGAGGTTGTATAGGATGTTGACGAGGCCTCTTCTGGCATCCTGTGTGCAGTTCTTGTCATTCTGTGTACAAAGGATATTATTAAACTAGAGAGGGTTCAGAAAAAAATTACCAGGATTTTGCTGGGAATCCAGGGTTTGAGATATAAAAATAGACTGGGAAGGCTGGGATGTAGTTCACTGGAGCGTAGGAGGTTGAGGGATGACCTTGCTGAGATTTATATAATTGAGGGGCATAGATAAGGTGAATAGCAAGGGTCTTTTTCCTAGGGTGGGGAATTCAAAACTTGGGGACATGTTTTTAAGGTGAGAGGAGAAAGATTTAGAAAGAACATGAGGGCCAACTTTTTTTTACAGTGGTTCATATCTGGAATGAAATTGGATCTGAAATGCATGGCTTGAGAGATAATTATATAATTATCTGAAGCAAAAATATTTGCAGGGCATTGTGGAAAAGATTGTCAGGCAGTAGGTGAGTTGCTCTTTCAGAGAGTGGACAGTGAGCATGCCAGACCAAATGGCCTCCTTCTGAGCTGTAATCATTCTGTAACTGATTAGGATAATATTTTGACAGTGATTTTGGGAAGTTCAGGGCAGTGGAGCTTTACAAATACAAATCTGTGGCTGACTATGCAAACGCAATGATCTATGCAAGAGGTGCAGAAATGGATGCCAGAGAGGCTCAAGTTTGGAGATATTCTCTGGTTAAATGATCCACTAAAACTTAGTGATAGTTAAAATTTGTTTTGTAATTCTAGAAATGTGGGAGAGAATTAATAAATGATATTTATAATGTAAGATTCTTTCTATTGAAGTAGTAATAGTTACATGACACAGGTAGTGTTAAATATTTTGGGTTCTCAAGTAAATGTTATTTTATTCTAATCTATATGCTTTCTTTATCCAAAGGTTTGCAGGTTAGCCTTAGACTGCCTACGCAGCACCAGCTCTCAGAACTCTCAAAGCCATGACAGCGAAACGAGCACAGTGTACGTTTGGGGCAGTAACAGTAGTCATCAGTTGGCAGAAGGAACACTGGAGAAAATTTTACAACCTAAATTAGCTCACGGATTTGCTAATGCGCAGACGGTAATGGAGGAGAATTGTTGATTAATTTATTAATAAATAGTTATGCCACTGTTTGGACCTAAAATGAAGACACTCTGTAGCAGCTTCTTTTAAGATATGATTTATAAAGATGTTCCTGACTTGAACAATGGATTTGTGCTATTTATTTTCTTTTGTTTTGCCAGTTTAATGATTATATTTCACTATACCTATAGTATTTAATGATTTTTCTTTTTCAAACCTACCTCCTAGCCGTCGCCAACTTTATTACCTACATCTTACTTTAGGGCAGGTGGATAAAATTGTTTGGATAATGACACTGCCATGTTTGACATAAGTCTATAAATCTGATGTATTTGATTATTGCAGGAAGAGATCATTTGCAGGATGAAATCCTTTGTAAAACTTGTTGTTTAACTGCCTCTACAGAATTTAACTTTACTGTTCTGGAACTATATCTTGGTATTTGGTCAGCTATTTAAATTAGATCAATACATTTCCTGCACACAAATTGAAACTGTATAAGTACCTTGGGTCCCTTTTGTTAATCATTTCAGCCTTCATTCAGTTTATTTCATTGTATTTCAGGGGTTTGTTTTTAATTAAAATTGTACTTCTGGTGCCTATTTTGGTAGATTATCATTGACCAGAAATTAAACTGGACTGGACTTAAATTCTTGTCTACAAGAGCAGGTCCGGGGCTGGGAATCTTGCAGTCACTCATCTCCTTACTCCCCAAAACCTGCCTACCATCTACAGGGCAAAAGTCACAAATGTATGGAATGATCCCCATTGCCTGGATGGGTACAGTTCCAACAACACTCAAAGCTTGACAGCATCTAGGATAATATACCCTACCTGACTGGCACCACATTGACAAACATTCACCCTTCCATCTCTAATGGTCAGTCGCAGCAGTGTGCACTGTCTACAAGATGCACTGCAGAAATTCACCAGGGCTCCTTAGACAAAACCTTTCAAACCTACAAGCGTTACCATCTACAAGGTCAAGGACAGCAAATGCATGGGAATGTGACCAGCTGCAAGTTCCCTACGAAGTCATTCACCAGCCTGACGTGGAAACATATCGCTATTCCTTCAGTGTTGCAGGGAAGAGGCCTGGTACTCCCTAAGAGCATCAAAATGCAGTGGTTCGAGAAGGCATCTGATCACCACATTCTCAAGGGCATCTAGGGATGGGTAATAAATGCTGGCCTAGCCAATGATGCCCACATCCCATGAATAAATTAAAAAATGCTTGCAGATTTACATCTGATGTTTGTATAAAATTATTGTCATTAGACAGAATTGTGCTTGTTTGCTTTACCACTCAAGTTTTTTTTTTGCTAAGATGCAGGTGATATTTATATTTTTCTTCCAAATTATATCCACTTTCATATATCTCTTGCTAAAGTTAATTTGTCAGTTACTGTTCTGCAAATTTTCTAAACGTTTCTTATGTTTGCATTGTGTTGGCTTCCTTATTGTTAGCTGTAGATTGCTAGTTGATGTCAGCCTCAAATTTAATAATTATTTTTGCTATGTTCAAATGTCTAACCTAATTTAAGAATAACAATAGTCCCAGCACTGGTCCTTGCGGAATATTGCTTTTTACCTTTCACGAATCTGAACAACCACACTTTACCCTTACACTCTGCTTTCTAATTATTTTCAGTCAATTTGCTATCCATGTAGGTTTTGTACCCTGACTCAACACGCCCCAACATTTGTCATGAACCTGCTGCAACATAACTTTAGAAATCATACTAAGATTAGTTTCGTAATGCACAAGAAGAAATCTTAAAAGCTGGTAGATGCAAATGAGAGGAATTATCTGGACTGACTGGCGATTACTTCTCCATTTCTTAACTGTTGGACTAGATATTATGATCTCATTAGAGAATGATAACTTTATAAAGAAATTTGAACTTCCAGTTAATAGCTGAAAGGATAACATGATAAAATTTTATGCTTTAAAGAATTTTACAGTAATAAGAACAAAAACAATTGACTACACAATAGGAAACTTGTATTTTAAACCACAAAACGGAACTTTCCTCTTTTTTTTTTTTCTTTTACCACAACCAGAAAGATGTTCACAGATATACAGTACATTGTCCTGAAAGTAACATTGAGTTCTCCCTAGTCAGCAGTTCAAGGTTAGCTTTTGAGGGTTTACCTCTGCTGTTTTCATTTCTCTATCTAGAATTTTTTAATCTGTGAATTGTCTTTCGCTTTGAGGTTTTTCCCTTCTGGAGATTCTTTCTTCACTGCAAGCTGAGGAATTTTTCAGCCTTATTTTAGTTCCTCATGAACCTGGCCTTTAATCCAAGGGCAAGCTCCCATCTGCATTCCTGCCTGGTGAGCTAGAGCATCTTGCTGCCTGTAACCTGTAGTCTCCATCTCCCAGAGCCTGGAACACTGACTTTGATTTTGTTTGAGAGTTCTGAGAGTTATCTTAGAACCCTCCCCTCTCAAAACCATGGCAGTGTGAATGGCATGCATTCTGGTAGAAATGCTGTTCTTGAATTGCTATCTATCTTTCACCCTGGACCTAAAAATAATAAAAAGCACGACTGTTTGCAACCCAATATTCTCAACACTTCTTGGGGATGCACATTGTATCTACTGTTGGCTCATTGGCTGCTGCGAGACCCCCTTTATTTACCTTAAATTTTTTAGACTGTCTTTAATTTAACAATCTGTTGTTTCAGTGGGGGTTTATTTTGTTTCAGTGCTTCACTTAAGACCGCATTTCACAATTTGTTTCAATGGAGAACAGAGGGATACAGAGGTCACAAAGAGAAAACAGCTTGTCATGTTTGAAATATGTGTATAATGTTGTTAGCTAGATGTATTTTCCTCCTTTAGAATCAAAGTTTAATAAGTTTCTGGAAACTCCTTTTTGACTGTAGCTGCTGTTTATATAAGTTTTTTTTTTTTCTGAAGACTTTAGAAAACTCTCTTCAGTAACCTCTTTTTTTGCAGATTGAAGCTGGACAGTACTGCACATTTGCAATTTCAGAAGATGGTTATGTAAAGGCTTGTGGAAAAGGTAGCTATGGCAGACTTGGACTTGGTGACTCAAATAATCAGTCGGCACCAAAAAAGCTCACATTTGAACCTCATCGCAACATTCGTAAAATCTCATCCTCAAAAGGTTCAGATGGGCACACGCTAGCAGTAACTGCAGAAGGAGATATATTCAGCTGGGGAGATGGCGATTATGGGAAACTTGGACATGGAAATAGCGCAACACAGAAATATCCCAAACTGATTCAAGGACCATTACTAGGAAAGGTACTGGCTAAAAAGAAAAGTGACATTTGAGAAAATGTCTCTATTTTTACATATTTCTGCAACTGACATGAGATTTGAACAAGATGTGTTTTATGAAATCGTAGAATGGTTACAGAACAGAAAGATGGCTTGTTTAACTTATCAGGTCTGCGCGGTTCACACTGCCAGAGCAATTGTTCCTGTAATTTTATTTTTCCTTTCGGTGTTTATCCTACTTCCTTCTCACAATTTAATTTGGCTCCACCACTCTCTGTCAGGCAGTGGAACTTACTTTCCCATCTATTTTAGTGTCATCTGCAAATTTGGCCACAGTACCTTCTGCCTCTGCATCCAGGTTATTAGTATAGATTAAGTCATTGAAACCCAAGGACTAAACCTTTTGGCAACCCACTAGCTATATTTTATCAATCGGCAAGATTCATTTACCCTGACTGTCTGTCTGTCTGCTTTTGTTGGTTAGCCAAGCCTCTACCCAAAAGCTTTTAAATTACTCCCAATCCCATGTGATCTTAACTTGTGTATTAACCTTTTGTGTGACACCATATCCCATCCCTCCTTAAAGTCCAGATATACTATATCTGGGTCCCCATTATCCACTTTGCTTGTTACATCTTTGAAGAACTTTAACAATTAGTCAAACACAATTTACTCTTCTTAAAGCCATGCTGATTCCAATGGATTTGACTTTCCAAATGTCCTGTTATTACTTCTGGATTCTAACAGTTTCCAAATGACATGTTAAACTAACTGTCTATATTTTCTACTTTTTGCCAACCCCCTTTTATTTGAGGGTGTTATGTTAGCATTTTTCCAATCCACTGGAACCCTTCCCAAATCAGGAAACTATGGAATATTATAACCAATGGATTCACTATCTCTGCTGCCAGTTCTTTTAAGACCTTATGTAGGCCATCAGGCCCCAGAGACTTATCTGCTTTCAGTCCTGTTAATTTGCTCGGTAATTTTGCCTTTGTGATTGTTTTAAGTTCCTCACTTTCTATAACTTCTGCATTACTTGTTACTATTGGTACAGTATTTGTATCCTCCATGGTGAAAGTTGAGCACAATATTTTAGTGTGTCCACAATTTCTGTGTTTCCCCACTATTAACTCCTCAGTCTCATCATCCAATGAACCAACGCTCACTTAACCACTCTGTTCCTGTTTATATACTTATAGAAGCTTTTGCTGTCCTTTTTTCTTTATTTTTCACTAGTTTTCTTTCATAATTTACATTTGCACTTATTACATTTTTAGCAACTGTTTGATCTTTAAACATTTCCCAGCCTTCCAGACTGCAACTGGCCTTTTGCAATATGATATGCCTTAGTTTTCATCTTTGCTATCTTTAACTTCCTTTCTTAGCCGTGCATGTTTTTTCTCCCTCTAACAATCTTTCCACCACTCTGGAATATATTTTAGTCAGTAGAAGTTGAATATTTCCTTGAATACCTGCTACTGTTCATCAACTGTCCTATCCTTTTAGTCTTCCTGCCCAGTTGTCTAGGGCCAAATCATTCCTCATGCCTATGTAATTACTTTTATTTAACTCCAGAATGCTCGTGTGAGACTCCAGTTTCTTACCCTCAAACTGAATTTGAAATTCTAACATCCTATGATTATTATCCCCCAGAGGATCCTTTACTGTGGGCTCAGTAATTAATCGCACCTCACCACATAATACCAATCCAGAATAGCCTGTTCCTTGGCTGGTTCCCCAACATATTGCTCCATGAAACAGCCTCCTTACTCTATTTCCCTCTCCACAGATGCTGCTCGTCCTCTTCAGGTTCTCCAGCATTTTTTGTATTAATTTTTAGCTGACTGGCCTGTAGATACTGGTTTTATCCTATCATTTTTTGTTTAGAAGGGCACAATGTTTCTGTTCTATAATCCTCTGATGCTACTCCTGTATCTAAGTACTTATTTAATGGGTCTGCCAACCCTGTGTCTCCTATGCATATCCTTTTCTTAAATCCAAATTTGACCTCTGCATCACCTGTTACTATTGGGATGGCAATTGTGTCCTCCACTGTGAAAATTTAGGCAAAATATTGATTGAACATTGACCTTCTATCGATATTCTTTTACTGTTTTGTTAATCTACAGAAGACTTTCGGATTCCCTTTTAAGAAATTTACCCCCTCTTCCCGTTTTCTGTATTTACCTCTCCATATTTGCTTTCTACTTCCTTGCTGAACATTCTATATTCCACCTTGCTTTTACTTGTCAACTGGCAACTGTCATGTATTTCCTTTTTCTAGTTCATCTTAACCTCTGTCATTCATCGCCCACAAAGCTGTAGCTTTGGCTGACTTACCTATTCTAGTTGTCAGAAAATAACCAAATTATCTCCTCTTTAAAGACTTAGCCAATTGTTCTTTTAACAATTTTGGTTGACATTCTTTAATGCAAGTTTACCATGAACAAATTCATTCTGACCCCACTGAAATCTGCCTTCCTCCACGTAGTATTTTGACTACAGACTACTTCTTGTCCTTCACCATATTTAATCTAGGTTTTCTGCTGCAATGAGCTCTGATCCCTCACTGTTCTACAGACACTTGCACTGCATCTCAATGCTTTGAACCAGATCCAGCAATTCTTCTTTCCTCTTTAGACAGGAGATATGCCAATGTAGAAAGTTCTTTTGAACCTTTTATGATTTTCTTGATGCCGTCCCTCTGTCTTGGAAGAGGACGGAATGTGACCGGGGTATATGTCTCTACTGAATTGACCATCGTCTATTGTGGCTGTAGAGGCCATTTCACGAATACAGTCCCCTCTATAACAAGCTCAGTTGATCAGTGTTGCCTGAGGTTGAGTGATGTTTGTTCCTCTTGGCAGGCCCTGGTTTCCACAATGTGGTCATTTCCAACCTTGTTATTTATTTATCCTATGCTGTTTCCACACCTTTGCTAACTGCTTGCAGCCAGGTGCTGTGGTCAGCAATGAGGAGTTCCCATGTATCAACTCATCTCTGTCATTCTTGCAGGGAATGTTGCTATCATCTATTCAGCTTGTATGACGCGAGCAATGGGGTCACTGCCTACTCAGGAGGACAGTCATGCTGGGGATCCCTGAATACTGGTGATCTTCTATATTCAGCACTCTATTTTGTCAGAAGGTGCCCAATATTTGTATGAGTCTGGAGGTAGAAGTTATTCAACCTGTTTTCATAGCTTGGTTCCTCACTTCTGAAAAGGAATGTATTGAGAACACACACCTAGTTCACATGAAACTTTGTATTTTCAGTTTGCTGTTCACACTTTTAGCTTTTCAAATTTGACGTCATACCTGCAGCATGGCAACCTGGTGCTGATTTTGGCATCAAGCGAACAGTTCCTGGTAATTGTTGATCTGTGTAGTTGCCAATGACCTCCAGATTGAGGTAGTCACCATTGATGCATGATGGAGTCTGAGTGCCCTGGCTTATATCTTGCGCATTCCCGATGCCAGAAAGACATTACTATTATGTTAGGATAATTGAAGTCACCCATTTGTCGCTGTTCCATAGTGGAAGAGAGATATGTTGCCATAGTTTTGTTTTATCTTGCATTTATCAGGACAAAGTCAAAAATGCCAATTTTCAAATAATCGCAACAGTATGTACTACAAGAGAAATGGGTGCTGATTAGTCAACAGGTCAACTTTGTTTGGCTGAGGTGTTGCTGTGGAGAAAACAAAGGGCTGTGTATATAGCTAATAGTTCAAAAAAACACATGAAGCCCTGTTCAAAAATGTGCAGGCTGGTTGAGTTTCAGTGCTGATGTGTTTGCAGGTTTAAGACAGCACATTTCAGTGATGGGCTGATCAAATCAAACAGCGTGTTACTTCAATAAAACAAAGAACTGAAGATGCTGGAGATCTGAAACAAAAACAGAAATTGCTGGTGAAACTCAGCTCCCCAGCCATTCTTTAACATCCTCTAACCTAGCAATCATAACAGTCATAGAGGTATACTGCACAGAAACAGGCCCTTCAGCCCAACTCATCCATGCCAGGTTTCATAGTCTGAACCAGTCCCATTTGCCTGCTTTTGGCCATATCCCTCTAAACCTTTCCTATCCGTGTATGTTTCTGAAGACAATGAACACCTGCCATTCCCTTAACAATTAATATTTCTTACACTACTACGAGTGCAGTCTGCCTTCTTTTTGCTTATATACCTGCCCCATACATGATACCATGGAATTGGGTCAGAATTCACTTCCCAGAAGTACCATTGCACTCACCAGTAATGAGAACTGAATACTAGATAAAGAATGACACATATTTAGGGGACTTGTACACTGCCTGCTTTGCCCTCTTGTGATTGCACTCACCCATTCCCTCTGTGCCCATACACCTTTCTGCAGGATAATCTCTTCTTGTAACGTGCTATCCCTGAAACACTCAACTCATGGATTTGTTGCAGTGACACCAGCTGCTGCTCAGGCTCCAAAACCTGAGTATGAGCTTTTCCATCAGACAAAACTTAGTGCGTACATGGCTGTCCAGCATATAAGGAACATCGTGCAGCTCTCATATGAAAAAGGATGTGCATTCATTCCATAGGATGGAAGTGCCATGTCATGACTCTCTCTTTCTTGGATTAAAAACCACTTTAATTTAAGTAAACAGAGTGAAATGCACACGAGCCATTCCCCAGTCAGCATCTTTTTTGATGTTGACATCACATTAGGGGTTTTTATCGCTATCCTTGATACTCATGCTCCCTTATGTCTGTGTGTTCTCCACATGTTGAATTAATTATAAAGATGCTGAAATATTAAGCAGAGGAGGTGGTGCATAACTTCGTGTTTATCTCGAAACCTTGAGATAATACTACTACTCCTCCATGTTGATTGTGATGTCACTCTGAATTAATCTGTTTTTAATGTCTGCTGTTTTTGATGTGGCAGCTATTCTATTCTCTGGCTTCTTGTATATCTGTTTTGGCTTTTTCAATCTTTGCTGTACTCAATCCTTTATAATTGGCCCCTGATCTCCTTTCATTGTACAGATGGCTGTTTGATTTGGGCATAACTTTGCTCATCTTACATATACAATGAAGAATGTTCAAATCAAATCATAATTAAACAGCAATTAATATTCTTCAATTTGAAAAAGATTTCAATACAGAATGTTGCAAATTGTTTGTATAAGTTCCATACTTAACTTTGACGGGACATGTGTTAGGTTTTCCACCCAGGTTATTTTTAAACAATAAAGGCAAGGCTAGAAATATGTGGTAGGCTAAAAAGCATCTGTAAAGAGAATAAAGGATGACAAATAGAGTGGATAGTCAGAGGTTTTTTTTCCCAGGGTGGAAAGGTCATTTACAAGAGTGCACAGATTCAAAATGAAGGGGCATGGTTTTTTCAGAGGGTGGTAGGTGCCTGGAGATGGTGGAAGTAAGCATGTCAGCAGTGTTTAAGGCTTATCTTGATAGACACATGAATGGGAGGCAAGCAGAGGGACAGAAACCACTTATGGGCAATAATTTGTGGGTCGAAGTAAGGTTTAGGAATTGGCACAGGCTTGGTGGGCTGAATGGCCTGTTCCTCTGCTTTAGTGTTCTTAGTTCTTTGTATCACGAGGAAAGAAATAGTTAAATAATAAATATTCCAGTTACTGAGGGAGAAATCCGGCACTGGAAAGATATTTGAAGTACACACTGGCCGAGATTTTCAACCACTGTTTTACCCACTTACCTGTTGGTGACTTTTTTGGTCAGATTTACAACTCTTACCTGTCCACTGAAGGAATTCAGGGCGAACTCCACTTAGGGGAATTGTACTGCAGGGGTAGACATGTCCCTTTTTAATAGCACTTGCTATATTTCAGGAGTTAAATTGTGCAGAGGTTCTAAAGCTACTTTGATAACTGCTGAGGTGAGAGAGAATAGGGTTGTAGATGGTAGGTAAGGGTGTAGTGTGTCTGGTGGGTGAACGATAGATTGTCAAGTGGGTTTGAGTGGCATTTGGTGGGTAGATGCCTGGTAGATAGGGTTCTTGGTTGTAGGGAAAAGGTAGGAAAGTGAAGTTGAGGATCATCAGATCAGCCATGCTGTCATCTCATGTTATGGTCTCATGGTAAATGGTTGAGTGTTTACATCAGGATGGGAGATCAAACTTGGCAGGCAGAAGTGATGTCTATGTTCAGTTTAATAGTTGTCCAGGGGTTGGTTTAGGCTTTAACTGTTCTAATCATTTCTGGGTAAAGTGAGTCAGAACTCTTGGAGAACTGCAAAATTTATGACATTTCTTCAGAGGGTTCCAGGCACAAGGTATTGCCAACTTAAATTCCCTAATAGTCAGCTGCATTGGACTTTCTGCAATGCACAACTCCCTGGAGCTGCAGAACTTGTTTTCTGACCATCGGGAATTCTCAGCTGTTATTTACAAATGATCAAGAATTTGAGAAAATTTACATTAGGGACAACAAAGGAAAATTGTGGCATTATATACTTTTTAGCAAGTTATAAATTTTTTTAAAATGTTTTACATTGACTTACTCGGATGATTGTTCATCAAAGTTTTATGCTAAACCATTTTAAGGCAAATTAATTTCCCATCTGTAATTGGAATATCTGCTTTTTTTTTTTACCCTTGCTTTTGTTTCCTCCCAATCCGGGGACAAAATTACTTATTTATCTTTTCGTATTCACGTGCAATGAATACAGGAAACCTTAAACTGTCTGCTTTCTTGTCATATACTAACTGACTTGTCTATTTTTTTAATTTCAGATTTACAGTATTTTTAGATTTCTAAATTAGTCCGCAGCAATTGGAGAAGATTACTTCAGTTTGGCAATCTATTATACAATATTTTAAAAACACTAATTTCAAGGCTGATAAAATGCGCAAAGTTAGTAAAATGAGAAAAGCAGTGCTTGTAGCAGTTGTTAACATTGGCACCATCAACTTTTAACTTATTTAGTACAAAGGAATGAACCATGTTTCAATAATTTGCGTAACTAGCAATATTATTTTGGTTGTCACAGTTTAAAATTACATGATTTTGATGCATGATAACACTAAAAAATGTCCGCATGCGTGCGAGTCAGATCAAGTCAATCATGTAACGTGTAAAATTTTTGTTTCGTAGATTGTAGTCTGTGTATCAGCAGGATACAGGCACAGTGCATCGGTGACATCTGATGGAGAGCTTTACACATGGGGAGAGGGAGACTTTGGCAGACTTGGTCAGTATTTAGTGCACTCTGGGTGGTTCACTTATTTTGTTTTGCAACATTGATAAGCTATTTTAATGAATGTAAAATAAATAAATATCCAATTTTAAACTAGGCTGAAGACAATATCTTTCAGATAGTTGCAGCATGTTGTGATGAGTATAGGAGAAAGTTTGAGTAACTTGTAACTTGACAATAAAAGTACAGTGTTTAGTAGATGATATTTTCTAGAGAGTAATTATAGACAAGGGAATAATCAAGATTCTAGTTAGTTGTGTTTAACTGTTGAAGTGTAATTGGGTATGAAATTTGTAGTAGTCTATTGTGTAAAATTCCATTTTACAGCATGTAATTTGAATTAAAAACAAGGCAAATTTAGTTTGTTTTTAAACAGATTTTGATGCATGTAAGGTACTTGCTTGCATTTCATCATGTAATGCTGGATGTGGACCTTTCAATCATCGGCTGTAAAGAGATTATACCACAATAACTCATCTTCAAATTTTCAATGGAAGTTATGATTTATTTTAAATTGCTCTTCTCACTCTCCTTACCAAAATCTACTGGCTTCTAATGCACTAAGTTAGATTACGTGAGAATTACACGACCAAGGTGAGGAAGATGGTGAGAAGTAGGTGGGAGTGAAAAGCAGGAAGAGGATGATGCAAAGGGAAAAAGATGAACAAGGGAGTGAGAAAGTTTGGAGAAATAGAATGACATGAAGGACAAAGGAGGAATGGAGAACTCTGAGAATACAGCAAAATCTATTCATGAAAGGAGAATGGAGCACAGGATTATGTATCTGGAGGAGGAGATGTAGGGAGAGGTATGGATGGTGGCTACACGTGGAAGAATGATTCTGAAAAATGCAGGTCATTTCACTGTTGGTTGCAGTAGCAAACTGTTGGCCAAGTAGCCACAGATCCATTGGAGAACTAGACACAGGATGCTGTGAGATTGGGACTCTCGCCATAATGCTGCGTTTACCACATTTCCCTTAATGGATAACAAAAATTTGGCAGTCTCAGAATTAAAATTAACAATTATTGTAACATAACTTTATGGATGTGGAAGGAAGTTCTTAATACTTTTATACTGAAGGATGGGAGAAGTTTTGAGAACAGTGATTGTAATTCCGTAAATTTTAAGATAGTTATGGATAAGGATAAGACAGCTCCTCGGGTGAAACTGTTGAATTGGGAGAAGACTAATTACAACAGTACTGAGCAGGAACTGGAGAATTTGGGCTGGGAGTGGCTGTTTGAGAGTAAATCCACATCTAACATGTAAGACAACAAGGTGCAGGGCTGGATGAACACAGCAGGCCAAGCAGCATCATAGGAGCAGAAAGGCTGACGTTTCGGGCCTAGACCCTTCATCAGAAAAGAGGGAGGGGGAGGGGAAGGGGGTTCTGAAATAAATAGGGAGAGTGGGAGGCGGATAGAAGATGGATAGAGGAGAGGATAAGTGGAGAGGAAACAAACAGGTTGAAGAGGCGGGGATGGAGCCAGTAAAGGTGAGTGTAGGTGGGGAGTTAGGGAGGGGATAGGTCAGTCCAGGGAGGACAGACAAACAGGTCAAGGGGGCGAGATGAGGTTAGTCGGTAGGAGATGGTGGTGCAGCTTGAGGTGGGAGGAGGGGATAGGTGGGAGGAAGAACAGGTTAGGGAGGCGGGGACGAGCTGGACTGGTTTTGGGATGCGATAGGGGGAGGGGAGATTTTGAAGCTTGTGAAATCTCGTATAAGAGTCTTTTAAAGGCCAGTTGATCAGAGTTCAGGACCAGCGTGTTCCAATGAGGATGAAAGATGAGGATGGCAAGATTCAGAAACCTGGATGGCAGGAGATATTGAAGCTTTAGTCAATCGGGGATGGGCAACAAAAGCTGGTCTAGCCAATGATACCATGTGCTGTGAATGAATTTTTTAAAAAAAGAAAAAGCAGGTGAGAGAGATCTAGGAAACTGAAGTAAGATAAGGCCCTTGAGGAATATTTAAGGAAACAGGAAAGAATGTAAACAATGAATTAGGAGGGCTAGAATTGTCCTTGGCAAGTAATATTAAGACGAATCCCAAGGCATTTTATAAGTGCATTAGGAGCAAGAGGGTACTTAGGGAAAGGATAGGTCCTCTTTAAGGGCAAAGGAGGGAATTTATCCTTGGAGCCAGAGGACTTGGGTGAGCTCCTTTAATGAGTGCTTTGCATTAATATTCACCAAGAAGGAAATGGATGATGGTAAGATTAGGGAGGGGTTTATTGATATACGAAGATATGTCAATATTAAGAAAGAGGGGTTGTTGGGTGTCTTGAAAAACATTGTGCACAAAGTCCCAGGGTCTGATCGGATCGATTCCAAGATACTGAGGGAGGAGATTGCTGGGGCCTTGCCTACGGCTAAAGAGGATACAAAAATCTGTCAAGTTCCCACAAGATTGGAGAATAAGTAATGTTGTTCCTTTTGTTTAAGGGCAACAGCAATAATCCATGAAATTTAGGCCTGTGAGCCTTGCATCAGTGGTAGGGAAATTATTGGAGAAGATCCTTAGGGACAGGAATGACTTGCTTTCTGAAAAGAATGGACTTGGGGGCTGTCAACATGGCTTTGTGCAGGGGAGTGAAACAAAAAATGATGGAAATCACAGCAGGTCAGGCAGCATCCATGGAGAGAGAGCAAACTAATATTTTGAGTCTGGATGACTCTTCTTCACAGTTGACATCAAGTGTGGAGGGGACAGCATTTATACAATAGTTGGGGGATGTGATGTGGAGTGCTGAGGGAAAGAGGCTTCTGATAGTGCAGGAGAGGTCTTGTCTGAAATTTGATTAAGTTTTTTTTGAGAAAATGAGGAAGATAACTAAGGGTAGGGCAGTGGATGTTGTATATATGGACTTTACTAAACCATTGACGAGGTCCTTCATGGTATGCTGATCTTGGAGATTAAGTCACATGGGATCGATGATAAGTTGGACACAAAATTGGCTTGGTCATACAAAACAGAAGGTATTTGTGACAGGGTATTTTTCTGACTGGAGGTCTGTGACCAGTGGTGTTCATAAGATCAGTTCTGCGACCTCTGTTGTCTATAATATGTATAAATGATTTGAATGAAAGTTTAGGGGGTTTGATCAGTAAGTTTGCAGATGATTCAAAAATTGGAAAAGTTGTGGGTAGTGAAGAAGGTTGTCAGAGGATACAGCAGAATGTAGGTCATTTGGAAAGTTGGGCAAAAGTGGCAGATGGAGTTTAATCTGGACTAGGCTAAGGTGATGCCGTTTGGGTGGTTGAATGCAAGAGGAAAGTATACTGTTAATGGCAGGGCCCTTGCAAGCATTGATATACAGAGAGATCTTGAAGTGCAAGACCATAGCTCCCTGAAAGCAGCACACAAATGGATAAGGTGTAAAGAAAGCCTATGGCATGCTTGCCTTCGTTGCTTCGGCATTGAGTGTGCAAGTTGGCAAGTCACGTTCCAGCCATATAAAACTTTTAGTAAGGCCACATTTGGAGTAATGTGAGCAGCCTTGGTCTCCACACTATGGGAAGGATGTGGAGGCTTCAAAGGTTTACCAGGATATTGTCTGGATTGAGGCGTATTAGAAGAGAAGATTGGATTGGATTAGACAAACCTGGATTGTTATCAATAGTGTGTTGAGGCTGAGGGTGACCTGTTAGAGGTATATAAAATTACAAAAGGCATGGATAGTCGGGGTCTTTTTCCTGGGATGGAAATATCAAATACGAGGGTCATGATTTTAAGGTGAATGTGGGAAAGTTTAAGGGAGATGTACGACGCAAGTCTTTTGCACAAAAGGTGGTAGCCAGGAACATAGTAAAAATACAATAGCAATGTTTAAAAGACATTTGCACAGACAGATGAACAGGCAAGGAAGAGGGGGATATGGATCATATGCGGACATGTGGGATTAGTTTGGATTGGCATCATGGTTGGCACAGACGTGGTGAACTGAAGTGCCTGTTCCTGTACTGTTCTGTGTTCCATGATGTTTATAACTGAACATTTGGCCTAGATTTTAACTCGCTGAAAAGCTATTAACTTTAATGTGATTCAAATCAACAGGATCTGCAAAACAACCTTTTAATTTCTGTTCTTTGTTTTCTTTTCTTCTTGAAGTTGGAAGGCCATATTAAGTTGTAATTGCCAGCACTTAAATGTTAACCATTTTCTCAAAACACTTTGTTAAATTTCAGTTTGTTGTATTTTTAATAGCAGGATATGACTGACTGTCCACAACAGGTTATATTGCTTGATGATACTTAATTTGTATGCTTATTGTGAACTTTAGGACACAGTGACAGCCATAGTCGTAACTTACCAACTCTTGTGAAAGATATTAGTAGCGTTGGCCAAGTAGCTTGTGGCAGCTCCCATACTATTGCTGTGTCTCAGGATGGACGAACAGTATGGTCATTTGGCGGAGGAGACAATGGTAAGCTCAATTCATCTTTAGTTCTTTGTTTGCCAAAAATGTTGAAAAATTTGTAACTTCTGCGTACCAGTTTTTGAAGGCAGATTGAAAAGTTGAGAAGCTTGTTTAAAAAATACATTTGATCCTTTGCTTTAAAGGAAAAAGTAAGGTTAGCGTCAAATCTTTAAAAATCAATGGTTAGTCTCCAGCTGGAATGCTATATTTGTTTCTCAGCATTATACTTTACAAACGATATTAATGTCCTGGTGCAAAGAGTGTGTAGAGAGCAATGTGGAGAAACTGGCACGAGAGAGATGAATGGAAGAATTAATCATGGTCTTTAAAGTAATGTTTTGAGAGAACAAGTAACGCTAAAAGGAGGTTTGGTAATCGGGGCACACAGCAAAACTATCAGAATTTTTTTTTAAATTTCCTATGCACAGAAATTATGAAATTTGGGAATGCACTGTATATAACATTGGTGGAAATAGATTCAAGAGTAACTTGCAAATCGAATAGGTGCTTGAAATTTTGAAAGGAAAAGTTTACATGGCTGTGAGAAAGATTAGGCGTGTGGAATTAATCGGATAGCTGGTTTATGAATTGCCTCCTGTGCTGTTTAACAATTTACTGTATGAACTATAGAAACTTGGGACATTCTGATTTCACGTCTCGAACAACATTTCTGTTTATGTTTGCTATTAATGTTTCAGCTGTGATTTAAAACATGAAGCCAAATCGATAGAGCATTAACTTTACATGCTATACACTTGGGAATTCTTGTATGGGAAAAAAATCTTGTCCAGATTTGTGGTGAAGAAGGACAGATTAATCAAAACTTTGAGCATGTTCTGGATGGATATATATTTTCCTGTCTTTGGTTCTGAAGAAGTATCTAACCTAACTCAACATTAACTCTGTTTCCCTATCTCTACAGATGCTGCCAGACCTGCTGAGTATCTCCAGAATTCTGTATTTGTTTTAAATCCTTTTACTATGTGATACAATACAATTCTAAGTTGTCATAGCAATGATTTCAATCAGGAAAACACTTGGGTTCATTTCCTCACTATTAGCAGTTCAACTGAGCATTGCTAATAACTTTGAATTCAACTTGTTGGTAGGAATCTAAAATTTGCCCTTTATACATCAAATTTACAAGGTATCACAGAAGCAATAGTGTAAGAAAATTGTATTATTAATTTTATGTTGGATTTTCACTTCCTCACCCATGCCTTAATTGAAATAATCCTATAATACAGGTAAACTTGGTCATGGGGAAACAAACAGAGTGTACAGACCAAAGGTAATTGAATGTTTGCAAGGACTGTACGTTAGGAAGGTGTGTGCTGGGAGCCAATCTTCGCTTGCATTGACTTCTGCTGGACAGGTAAGGGAGCTGTATATGAATAAGTAAAGCGGCAGATTTATCAAAAATGTACAAGTTTCTGCACTGATATTGTGGATGTAAAATTTGTGGACATTTTGCCATAGTCTTATCAATATAGATAGAGGCAACAGAAGGGTAAAGCTGATCTCAAATAAGTGTTTTTATGAATGATAAATATATAATATTGATGCAAATACTTTGAATGTGATAATGGCATGACAACAATCATGAGCAACCGAGAATTGCACAAATAATTGGTTGAAAGTGATTTCTAACCTCTATCAAGGATGAGAAACTGACTACTGCCTGAAGTTTATTTTAAGTGCTTGTGGATGAAGTATTAAAATCTAAATATGCAGGCACCTGTAACGTAAATTTTTTTGTCATTTTTGAAGTCTGGTCAACTTTTCTGATCTAGAATACATTTTAGCTCCTACTTCTAAGTCAGTTAGAGTTGCTGTTGAGCTCCTTGTATGGATAATTAATATAAAATATCTTTAAGTGGAGTCATTAGACAGTTTGAAAATTGATTGTATTCTGCAAATGACTTGAAAGCTAATTTTGCTGCATGTGCAAATTATTAAAATGGAAAATTCTGCAAGCCACCTGTAGATTTGTTTCGGGTTTGGATTTTGGAAGCTGTGTGGAAGATCTGTAGCTCGGTTCCACACTCCAAAGATTCAACGTTTTGCCACGTTTGTATCAACAGTCCTGTTGTATATTCAGGATGCTTAAAAAATTGTTGCTCAACTTTATTAACTTTACCTATGGAAATGTTAGAAGCAAATTGTAAATGACATGAAAACATAATTAATGTTTTTTAACATTGAATATATGGATTTTAATTCTATAATAACACACAATTCACCTTAATAAAAACCAAAAGAACTGTGCATACTGTAAATCTGAAACAAAAACAGAAGTTACTGGAAAAGCTCAGCAGGTCTGGCAGCATCTGTGAAGAGGAATCAGTTAATGTTTCGAGTTAACGTTCTAAGGAAGGGTCGCCAGACCCAAAATGTTAACTCAGATTTCTCTTCACAGATACTGCCAGACCTGCTGAGCTTTTTCAGCAATTTCTGTTTTTGTACACAATTCATCTTTTCGTCCACTCACCAATTTCAATCAAAAATTGAAAAAAAGTTAAAGCTGCATTAAAAACCAGCATTAACATTACAAAATTGAATTACACTTCCATTTATAGTATTGAAATGTGTTATTTCCAATTATGCCATTTATTATTTTCTTATATGCACACCCAAAGATATTGACATTTAAAGTTGTATGAGGGCTTTAATATAATGTCCCTCAGGGCTCAGCTGGCACATGGGCAGACAGACTCCAAGACACTTTCTCACTGCTTGTAAAATTGCAGCAGGGCAGGGACATGCAAGTCACTGCTTTCCAATTCAATGAACCATCCTTTAGGAAGGAAGAATACTTGAGAAACAGTGCAGAAATGGCTTACTGAATGAACATAGGAACCAGAAATAAGAGTAGGCCACTCAGCCCTTCAAGCCTTATCCACTGTTCAATACTGCACATGAACTGCAGTAGTTCAAGAAGGCAGTGTACCACCACCTTTTCAAGGGTTCAAAGGACAAGCAATAAATGCTGGCCCAGCTGGTGTTGCCCATGTCCTATGAGTGATTTTTTTAAAAATAGATCTTGATCTGATTTCAATCTCAACTCTTCATTCCCGCATAGACCAATAATAATTTTCCCAACTGAAGAACTTTAGTTACCAGGATAGATTGGATAGGCTTAGACTATTCACCTCAGTGAATGCTGGAAGGAAATTTTTATAAGAGCTTTTCAAAATTATGAGGAATCTGGACAGAGTAGATTGGGATTATCTATTCCCTCTGGCAGACTGTCAAAACCAGACACACTGCTGTAAGGTGAGTGGCAAAAGATCCAGGAGCTACATCAAGGAGGACTTCTTCATGCGGCAATGTTTAGGATCTGGAATCCCCTGTGAGTGTGGTGGAGGAAGATTCAATTGTGACTTTCAGAAGGGCTTTAAATACTTGTTTGAAGAAAATCCAAATACCGGGCTACATGAAAGAGATGAGAGAGCATGACTAGGTGTGTTGTTTGGCAGGGCATTAACAAGGATACAACTGATTAGAATAGCCTCCTGCACTTTAAGCATTTTGTGATTCTCATTGAGGCAGTTAAGATGATTAATGCATTTGATAGGATAACTAGATCCTGTTGTCTTTTCTGTAGAACTGTTGAGTATTCCTATCCTTGTAGTATCATTATTTTTACAATGCTACCTAATGGTGAAAAACAAGTGAAAATGCAAATCTGGAATGTTTTATGCATGATTAGGTTTGTAAAAAAAAATGTTGATTGTCTATAGTCAAAACTTTATTTGACAAGATATTAGATGAACTCTATGCCAAACTCTGTTTTTCTCTTACTCCAGGTATTTGCATGGGGCTGCGGCTCTTGTCTGGGAAGTGGTTCTTCAGAGACTACAGCTCTTCGACCACGTCTAATTGAGGAACTGAATTCAACCAAAATCATTGATATTTCATGTGGAGATAGTCATTGCTTGGCTCTAACACATGGTGAGATACAAATTAGGTCCTGGTTATACCCCTGAGTTCTGAAAAAATATTCCTACAAGCACTGCATAATTGCTTAATATCACCAGCAAAATGTTGAATTCCAGATTCAGCATTGAACCTGGCCACTAACTGTCATGTGCCAATGGAGCTGGAAGGTCACAGGAACTTAACAGGATTTTGAGGCAGTGGAATATAATACCGAAATTTTAGGTTGGAGCAGGGAATAGTAAGAGTTAGATGTTGGATTGAAGGAAAATGTTTTCAAATCTTAAGAAAACAAGTTTAGCTCATGGGTTCAGGGCTGTTCGTAGTTTGAAGGGGAACACTATGCAGTGGCTGGACCAAACATGACCTTCCACACTGCAATTTCTGCATAACTGTGTGTCTTGAATATTGGGAATAGACAATAGTGTCTATTGGTGCCATCTTGCCTGAGTGATAATTCTTTCAAACAAAAATCGCATTGCATACTTCTAGTTTTCTTAATGTATTTGTTCACTATGTATATCAAATTTCAGTGGAACAAAGTACGGGCAGATTTAAATAAAATCAGTTTTTTGAGAGGAAAAGAATAGTATACAATTCTTATTCAACAAAATGGTACCTGCATCAATAGATTGTTTACTGCTAGTTAATAATATATACATGAATTTTGATTAGCAATAAAATGATCACATTAGTAATTCTATTGCCATATAATGAAGTCATTTTCTGGCATTTTCTGAATCCTGTCTCTGATCTTGAATGAAAGTAGGCAGCCCAATCCTTTGCATATGATTTACTGCAAAAACACTGCCAAGATGTGATTTTTTTTTTTTTTTTTTTTTTTTTTTTTTTTTTGTTCAATTATGTATTATCTTTCCATGAAAGATAACCTTGCTTCTGATCAACGTAAACTTGCATTGTGTTGGTTAAAGTGGCCTCTGGGAAATCATTGCAAATCTGTTATATATTAAAAGTCATCAGTAGTCTCCAGTTTCAAAAGGCTCAGGTCAGGAGTTTTGGCTAAATGAGTGTAGCTCAAAAAACAGTTAAGAAGCTTGACATCATTCAGGACAAAGCAGCCCATTTGATCAGCATTTCATTCACCATCTTAAACCTTCACATTATCCATGTTGGCTGAGGTATGTACCATTTACAAGATGCGCAACTGCAACTGAAGATTTCTTCAACAGCATCTTCTAAATGTGTAACCTGTATTACCTGGAAGGATCACAGGTGTATAGAATGCCATCACTTATAGGTTCACCTCCAAGTTCTGCACTATTCTGACCTTAAACGTATTGTCGTTCATTCATCATAGCCGAGTCAAAATCTTAGAGGTCCCTGACTACCATCTCTTGGTTCAAGAAAGATGCCTTCCTGAAGACAATAGGAGATGCGTAGTAATTTCTGGTCTTGCTAATGATGACATTGTGCCTAAACCTGTGCATTTTAAAAAAGACGTGCCTGGAAGTAATATTTGACTATTGATTACAATACAAGCTAATGATTTTGTTATACCCCTCACAAATTTTATAAATCTCAATGTTTTCCTGAAGACAAATCTTGAACTTTTGAGCCCCAAAATATGTACAATGGGGCAGAAAACAATTCAAGTGTAGGATTACTTAGCATCATAGAGCATGCAAAGGAGGATCAGCAAATGATGCAAGTGTGACGCGCACTGAGTTGCGAGATGAGCTTGTTGTCCAGTCTCAATTGCCAAAGGGAAAATAGTACAAAAGGACAATGGATTTCATATTTTCATCCTTTCTGTCAACAACAGCTTAAGTTTCTATGATGCCTTTTATGTAGCAATCTTCTAAAGTCTGTCACAGGTAGAATCAAAATATGGCAAGCTGGCAATATATTGAGGGCTGACCAAGAGCTTAACCAAAGGGAATAAAGACAAAATATGCAGATGCTGAAGATCTGAGCAAATGCTGTGTAAATCGGGTCTGGCAGCATCTGTGGAGAGAGAAACATTTAATGTTTTGAGACAGATCAGAAGCAGAGTCATATTGGACTCATAACATTAATTCTGTTTCTCTCTCCACAGATGCTGCCAGAGCTGCTTAGTCAAAGAGGTAGGTTTTAGGGAGGAGAGGGAAGTGGAGACACAGATTTAGAAAGGGAATTTCAAAGAATGGGGCTTGATTGACTGAAGTTACATTGACTATTGATAAGGTATTTTAAAAAAAAGTAGATTTGCTGTAATCTCAAGACTATAGAGCTGTTTCTCCTACAGAGAGAGAAACTGGTGGTGAGCTTAACCCGAGGGTGACTGAACCTCAGGTGAGGTTGAGAAAGTGGGACTTTGCGGTGACGTCAGCTGGTCTCTAGTGGTAGCGTGAAGATGTGGGCTGCATAAGATAACTGAGAGTTGTTTAGTGGAGTTAATGTTATACAAGTTACAAAGGTAGAAAGGGTGGGACATGGACAGATTTAAACACCTGAATAAGTATTCTTAATTCACTGGATTTGAATACTGGGAGACAATGTGACAAAAGGGTCTAAGTATAGAAAAGGATATAGTTTGGAATGCAGATTCCAGGTGAAGAGCCAGTTTCTAATCAACTGGGATGCTTGGTCTTAGTATCCAACTCACGATCACATTCTATAAATTATGATGTATTTAAACTTTGAGACGTCCCTTTCTAGATATCATTTAAGGTGGCCTTTCTTATTATCTGTAACTGAAGTCTCTAACAGACTATGTCTTTGTACTTATTCTAATAGATAACGAAGTTTATGCTTGGGGTAATAACGCAATGGGCCAGTGTGGACAAGGACATACATCAACTCCAATTGCTAAACCAAAGAAAGTAATTGGTTTGGAGGGAATACCTATACAGCAAATCACTGCAGGAACTTCCCACAGCCTGGCTTGGACAGCTGCTCCAACAGATAGGTATGAAGTAACTTTTCATACATTTACACTGAGGTAATAAATCCATTGGTCACAATTGTTTGCAGTTTCAAAAAACGTTTGTAATTTTAAAAGCACAAATTACATCTTTCCATTTTACAGTGCTAAAAATTAACATAAAAGCTGAGAAAAGTCAATTGCACGCAATTCCTATAGCATTCTCACACTCATTGTTGCATGCAACCTCATTCTGAATGTCCTTTGTAGTTTTTGTTCATGTTTGAGATACTTGATGACTTTTGTTGTTTTTCTTCGACCCCTGTTCATGTCTTGTTTGTGATGATGTGACAAAATGAGCTGAATTTTATCAGGCTTGTAGAGACGGGTTGGGAGGCAGCAATGGTGTAGATGGCATGCCTGTCATCTTCATTTTGCCTTTTTTTTTTTCCTGGGTGGCAGGAAAGACTGCAGATGAGCCCGTTAGGTTGTCAAATAAGGACACCTTCAAGCCTCTGCTGGCATTTTACAAATGTTGGGGAATCTCAGCTGTGGGAGGAGACCAGATAAACTTTTTGGCTAACGGTGGGATGGATCTGCTGACTCGACTCCACTTATCTGAATTTGAGGCCATATAATCATTGTACACCCTCTTATCCTGCAGGTGCAGCCCCAGCAATGGTGCTGGGGAACTGGCAGCCTTCTGTGGGACTGTTTCTGGGAAAGTGGGACCTCTACAAGCAGAACAGTCTGCACCTGAATCAGAATTGAACCAATGCCTTTACAGGAGGGTTTACTAGTGCAGCATGAAGGAAGTTTAGACCAATTTGGCAGGAGCAGGATACACAGTGTGTTAGTTCAATGGTAATACAGCATACCTTAGAAAAGGAACCAAGACAGAGGGCTTTCAGCCATGTTGTGTCTCAAAGGAGTAAGGTGAAACTAAGTGGCCTCTCATGCTGGGAATATTATAAGTAAGACAGATGAGTTAAGGGACTAACAAATGGAAATGCAATATTGTTGTCATCACAGATGTGGTTAAGGGAGGGATAGGACTGGCAACTTAACATGGATCTTCAGGTAGGATGGGGAGGGTGTAAAAGTGTTGAATTATTAAGGAGGCAGTGGTCGGGAAACTATTGGAGAATTTTCTGAAAGAGAAAATTTAATCTCCATTTAGAGAGGCAAGGTTTGATCGGGGCAGTCAGTTTGGTTTTGTGTGAGGGAGGTCATATCTAACAAATCTGGATGAATATTTTGAGGTGGTGACCAAATGTACAGATGAGGGTAGTGTAGTTTTAACTTCAGTTTATATGGATTTCAGAATGGCCTTTGAGGCCCACATGGGAGACTAATAAAGGTAAAAGCACATAGGATCTAGGAAACTTGGCAAGTTGATCCAAAATTGGTTTAGTGGCAGGAGACAGAGGATGGTAGTGGAAGGCTGTCTGTGTGACTGGAAGCTGGTGTCCAGTAGCGTGCCACAGGAATCAGTGCTAGGTCCCTTTTATTGTTTGTGATATTCATAAATAATGTAAACGAGAATGTGGAGAGATGGCAGGTAAGTTTGCAGATAGCACAGTGTGGCTGGGTAGTTGACGATGAGGATAAAGGTCTTGGGTTACAGAAGATGTGTGGGTTGGTCAGATGTGCAGATCGCTGGCAGATGAAATTTAACCCTGATAAATGTGAGATGATGCATTTTGGAAGAAGCGACAGGCGAAGGGTGTATTCAATGAATGGCAGGACACGAAGAAGCTCAAAGGAACAGACGGATCTTCTGGTGCTTGCCCACAGATCCCTGAAGCTGGCAGGGTAGGTTAATAGGGTTGTTACGAAGGCACAAAGGACTTTTCTTTATCAGTCAAGGCATAGATAAAAAGAGCAAGGAGGTTATGTTGGAGCTATACAAAACTTTGGCTAGGCCACAACAGGAGTAAGATGTGCAGTTCTGGTCACCACGCTGTAGGAATAATGTGATTCCACAGGAGGGGTTGCAGTGAAGATTCACCAGGATGGTGTCTGGGTTGGAGCATTTTGGCCATGAAGAGAAACTGGATAAGCATGTGTTGTTTTCCTTAGAGCAGAAAACATTGAGGAAGGACCTGATAGAGGTGCATAAGATTTTGAGGCACATGGACAGGATGGATAGAAAGCAGCTGCTCCCTTTAGTTGAAGTGTCAATAGCAAGGGGGTATACCTTTAAATAGAAAGACAGGAATTTTAGAGGGCATTTGATATATTTTCACCCAAATAGCTATGGGGTCTGGAATGCACTTCCTGGGAAGGTGGTTGAGGTTACTAACCTCTCAACCTTCGAAAAGTACTTGGGTGAGTATTTGAAATATTATAACATTCAAGGCTCTGGGCCTAGTGCTGCAAAGTGAGACTAGTGTAGATTTAGTGTAGTTTTGGCAGTTCAGATTCGATGGGCCATAGATCCCTTCCTGTACTGTATATTAAGATATGATGTAGGGGCAGAAGGAAGCTATTTGTCCCACCAAGTCTGCTCCGCTATTCAGCAATATCATGATGCTCAACTCCATTTTCCTGCCTTTTCCATATAATCCTTGATTCCCTGATTAAAAATTTGCCTATCTCTATCTTGAATATACTTAATGACCCAGCTTTGACAGCCCTCTGCAGTAAAGAATTGCACAGATTCGCCACCCTCAGAAAAAAAAATTCCTCCTCATCTCTATCTAAATGTGTAACTCCTTATTCTGAGATTATATCCTCTGGCCTTTGATTCTCCCACAAGGGGAGCATCCTTTCTGCATCTACGCTGTCAAGAATCTTGTATAATTAAGTAAGGTCACATTCTGTTCTTCTACCTTCCAATGAATATATGACCAACCTACTTAACCACGCCTCATCAGACAGTCCCGCCAGACCTAATATCAGCCTAGTGAGACTTCCCTGTACTGCCTCCATTGCCAGTATATCCTTCCTTCGGTAAGGGAATGAAAGCTTTTCAAAGTATGATGGCTGTGGTCTGACCACTACTTTGTATATTTTCAGCAAAATCTCATGAATCCATTCCTTTTTAAATAAAGGCCAGCACGCTCTCTGCCTTCCCTATTACCGGGTGAATTTCGATGCTAGCTTTGTGTGATTCATGGATGAGGACTCCCAAATGCCTCAGCTCTATAGCTTTCTGTAGCCTTTCTCCATTTACATAATTTTCAGCTCCTGGCATATTTCCTGGCAAGGTGAATAACCTCACGTTTTCCCACATTATACTCCATCTTCCAAGTGTTTTGCTCACTCTCACTTAAAAATTGTCTGTAACCCTCTGCAGAACTTTTGTGTCACCCTCGCCAATGCCTTCCACGAATTTTTGTTATCTGCAACTTGGCTCTAGTACGTTGACTTTCCTCATTCAACTCATTAGTATACTGTATTTGTAGCCCCAACATTGATCCCTGTGTCAAACCTGAAAGCTTGATTTCAGATAAACCTGTTGCACTATAACCTGGTGTTGTGTGATTTCTGACTTTGCCCACCCCAGTCCAACACTGGCACCTCCACATCATTATACCTGTTATTATGGACTCTAACATTTTCAAATTACAAATGTTATTAACAGCTGCTATTAACTGGGTCCAGCTCTCGACTAAAATGCAGTCACCTCTCACTTTCAGATCCAGTGGTGTGACCCCAACTGCCTGCATTAAACTGAGCCCTATGTTTGGTTTCAACAATGCACTGTAAAGTGCAAACTCAGTATATTATAGAAATCGCTTCTCATTATTTGTTTTTTTTTATTACTGTGCTAATTAAGATGAGAGATGTTAGTGCTGGTGGATAGTATGTTATGGGCTCTGGTAAGCATATTGATCACCAAACAATAGCACATACAGATCTCACTATGCCTTCCTTAATCTTCCTATGTGACTTGTCATTTTCTTGTTGATCTCATCAATTGTTCTAAATGCAACGAATCCTAGAGTTGGAGACAACAAGGTGCAGGGCTGGATGAACACAGCAGGCCAAGCAGCATCATAGGAGCAGAGAGGCTGACGTTTCGGGCCTAGACCCTTCATCAGAAAAGGGGGAGGGGAAGGGGGTTTTGAAATAAATAGGGAGAGAGTGGGAGGCGGATAGAAGAGGGATAGAGGAGAGGATAGGTGGAGAGGAAACAAACAGGTCGAAGAGGCGGGGATGGGGCCAGGAAAGGTGAGTGTAGGTAGGGAGTTAGGAAGGGGATAGGTCAGTCCAGGGAGGACGGACAGGTCAAGGGGGCGGGATGAGGTTGGTCGGTAGGAGATGGAGGTGCGGCTTGAGGTGGGAGGAGGGGATAGGTGGGAGGAAGAACAGGTTAGGGAGGTAGGGATGAGCTGGACTGGTTTTGGGATGCGGTAGGGGGAGGGGAGATTTTGAAACTTGTGAAATCCACATTGATACCATTGGGCTGCAGGGTTCCCAAGCGGAATATGAGTTGCTGTTCCTGCAACCTTCGGGTGGCATCGTTGTGGCACTGCAGGAGGCCCAGGATGGACATGTCGTCTGAGGAATGGGAGGGGGAGTTGAAATGGTTCGCGACTGGGAGGTGCAGTTGTTTATTGCGAACCGAGCGTAGGTGTTCTGCAAAGTGGTCCCCGAGCCTCCGCTTGGTTTCCCTGATGTAGAGGAAGCCACACCGGGTACAGCGGATGCAGTATACCACATTGGCAGATGTGCAGGTGAACATCTGCTTGATGTGGAAAGTCTTCTTGGGGCCTGGGATGGGGGTGAGGGAGGAGGTACGGGGGCAGGTATAGCACTTCCTGCGGTTGCAGGGAAAAGTGCCGGGTGTGGTGGAGCTGGAGGGGAGTTTGGAGCGGACAAGGGAGTCACGGAGAGAGTTGTCCCTCCGGAAAGCAGATAAGGGTGGGGAGGGAAAGATGTCTTTGGTGGTGGGGTCGGATTGCAGATGGCGGAAGCGTCGGAGGATGATGCGTTGGATCCGGAGGTTGGTGGGGTGGTACGTGAGGACGAGGGGGATTCTTTTTTGGTTCTTATTGCGTGGACGGGGTGTGAGGGATGAGGTGCGGGAGATGTGGGAGACACGGTTGAGGGCGTTCTCGACCACCGAGGAGGGGAAGTTACGGTCCTTGAAAAACGAGGACAACTGAGATGTACGGGAGTGGAATGCCTCATCCTGGGAGCAGATGCGGCGGAGGCGCATCCCCTCCTCCCACCTCAAGCCGCACCTCCATCTCCTACCGACCAACCTCATCCCGCCCCCTTGACCTGTCCGTCCTCCCTGGACTGACCTATCCCCTTCCTAACTCCCTACCTACACTCACCTTTCCTGGCCCCATCCCCGCCTCTTCGACCTGTTTGTTTCCTCTCCACCTATCCTCTCCTCTATCCCTCTTCTATCCGCCTCCCACTCTCTCCCTATTTATTTCAAAACCCCCTTCCCCTCCCCCTTTTCTGATGAAGGGTCTAGGCCCGAAACGTCAGCCTCTCTGCTCCTATGATGCTGCTTGGCCTGCTGTGTTCATCCAGCCCTGCACCTTGTTGTCTCGGATTCTCCAGCATCTGCAGTTCCTACTATCTCTGAATCCTAGAGTTGGGATAGTTTTGCAGATCCTCTATACTAGGAATCATCACTTCTTATGGTAGGAGCCAAAAAGACTTATCCAAGACCTTGGCCCCATTCTAACAAATAAAGCTCAACAACTAATGTGTAACTGCATCAAATAGCACTTAATTATTGGAAAGTAATGACTTAGCTAAGTCTCGCAGAGCATTTTCTTTGCATCGTTCAAAACTTTCATTATTCAGTATAATTGAGGATACCAGTATTTTTGAATAACATAGAATGATCTTAAGAGATTCTTGAATGTTGTGGGTAGATTTGGCAGGTTTTGTCAGTAAAGTTTAATTATATATAAGAATATTTTGTTATTTGTCATACTATGGGTTATGTAAGGTTTGCCTTATTTTCCAGTAGTGGTGTAAGTAGAGACATAGGCTAATCACAAAAATATCCAGTATTTACTAACAGCAACTTGGATACCTGCTGTAAGATTTACAAGAACTTTACCATAACTTTAAAATTATAGCCTGGTGTATTAAAAGTCAACATATTTGGGTAATAAAAACATATTAACATTTGTACTTGAACTTTTACCATTAACATGCAAAGAGGTAATATTTTATTGTAAATATTACTCATTTTGCTTATCTCATTTTTTTAGACAACTGGTAGCCTGGCACAGGCCTTTCTGCGTTGATCTGGAAGAAAGTACATTTAGTTATTTGCGAACATTTTTGGATAGGTACTGTGATGGAATTAACAATGAGGTGCCTCCGCAGCCTTTCTTTTCTCAAAGGTAATGGAAAAATATTTTTGCAGATGTCTTTTGAACCGTGTAAACGTATTGACCTGGGAAACAGTCTTAGATGTATTCTGAACAACCTTCTTATTTTGACCACTTACATAATTTCATCCTGAACTATGTTTGATATAAATTCTTTATCATTTTCAATCACAGAATATGGGTGTTCCTGACAAGGCCAACATTTATTTCCCATCTTTAATTGCCCTGGAGAATGTAGAAACACCCATAGGGCTGTTAGGAGGGGAGTTCTAGGATTTCGCCCATTAATACGGAGGGAACAGTGATATAGTTCTAAGTCAGAATGATATGTGACTTGGAGGGAAACTTACAGGTGGGTGTGTTCCTGTAGTGGTTGCCGCAGTCATTTTCGTTGATAAAGGCCTTGGGTTTGGAAGGTGCTTTCACAGAAAGAACAAAGAAAATTACAGCACAGGAACAGGCCCCCTCCAAACCTGCGCCAATCCAGATCCTTTATCTAAACCTGTCGCCTATTTTCCAAGGATCTGTATCGCTCTGCTTCCTGCCCATTCATGTATCTGTCTAGATACATCTTAAATGATGCTATCGTGCCCGCCTCTACCACCTCCGCTGGCAATGCGTTCCAGGCACCCACCACCCTCTGAGTAAAGAACTTTCCACGCATATCTCCCTTAAACTTTTCCCCCCTCACCTTGAAATCGTGACCCCTAGTATTTGAGTCCCCCACTCTGGGGACTCTTGCTATCCACCCTGTCTATACCTCTCATGATTTTGTAGACCTCAATCAGGTCCTCCCCTCAACCTCCTTCTTTCTAATGTAAATAATCCTAATCTACTCAACCTCTCTTCATAGCTAGCACCCTCCAGACCAGGCAACATCCTGGTGAACCTCCTCTGCACCCTCGCCAAAGCATCCACATCCTTTTGGTAATGTGGTGACCAGAACTGTATGCAGTATTCCACATGTGGTCGAACCGAAGTCCTATACAACTGCAACATGACCTGCCAACTCTTGTACTCAATACCCCATCCGATGAATGAAAGCATGCCGTATGCCTTCTTGACCACTCTATCGACCTGCGTTGCCACCTTCAGGGTACAATGGACCTGAACACCCAGATCTCTCTGTGCATCAATTTTCCCCAGGGCTTTTCCATTTACCGTATAGTTCGCTCTTGAATTGGATCTTCCAAAATGCATCACCTCGCATTTGTCTGGATTGAACTCCATCTGCCATTTCTCCGCCCAACTCTCCAATCTATCTATATTCTGCTGCATTCTCTGACAGTTCCCTTCGCTATCTGCGACTCCACCAATCTTAGTGTCATCTGCAAACTTGCTAATCAGACCATTTATACTTTCCTCCAGATCATTTATGTATATCACAAACAACAGTAGTCCCAGCACAGATCCCTGTGGAATACCACTGGTCACAGTTCTCCATTTTGAGAAACTCCCTTCCACTACAACCCTCTATCTCCTGTTGCCCAGCCAGTTCTCTATCCATCTAGCTCGTACACCCTGGACCCCATGCGACTTCACTTTCTCCATCAGCCTACCATGGGGAACCTTATCAAACGCCTTACTGAAGTCCATGTATATGACATCTACAGCCCTTCCCTCATCTATCAACTTTGTCATTTCCTCAAAGAATTCTATCAAGTTGGTAAGACATGACCTTCCCTGCACAAAACCATGCTGCCTATCACTAATAAGCCCATTTTCTTCCAAATGTAAATAGATCCTATCCCTCAATATCTTCTCCAGCAGCTTCCCCACCACTGACGTCAGGCTCACCAGTCTATAATTACCTGGATTATCCTTGCTACCCTTCCTAAACAACAGGACAACGTTAGCAGTTCTCCAGTCCTCCGGGACCTCCAGGATGCTGCAAAGATATCTGTTAAGGCCCCAGCTATTTCCTCTCTCACTTCCCTCAATAACCTGGGATAGATCCCGTCCGGACCTGGGGACTTGTCCACCCTAATGCCTTTTAGAATACCCAACACTTCCCCCCTCTTTATGTTGACTTTACCTAGAGTAATCAAACATCTATCCCTAACCTCAACATCCGTCATGTCCCTCTCCTCAGTGAATACCGACACAAAGTACTCATTAAGAATCTCACTCATTTTCTCTGACTCCTTGCATAACTTTCCTCCTTTGTCCTTGAGTGGGCCAACCCTTTCTCTAGTTACCCTCTTGCTCCTTATGTACGAATAAAAGGCTTTGGGGTTTTCCTTAACCCTGTTTGCTAAAGATATTTCTTGACCCCTATTAACCTTCTTAATTCCTCGTTTCAGATTGGTCCTACTTTCCCGATATTCTTCCAAAGCTTCGTCTGTTAGTCGCCTAGACCTTATGTATGCTTCCTTTTTCCTCTTTGCTCGTCTCACAATTTCACCTGTCATCCATGGTTCCCTAATCTTGCCCTTTCTATCCCTCATTTTCACAGGGACATGTCTGTCCTGCACTCTAATCAACTTCTCTTTAAAAGCCTCCCACATATCAAATGTGGATTTACCCTCAAACAGCTGCTCCCAATCCACATTCCCCAGCTCCTGCCGAATTTTGCCATAGTTGGCCTTCCCCCAATTTAGCACTCTTCCTTTAGGACCACTCTCGTCTTTGTCCATCAGTATTCTAAAACTTACAGAATTGTGATCACTATTCCCAAAGGAATCCCTTACTGAAACTTCAGCCACCTGGCTGGGCTCATTCCCCAGCACCAGGTCCAGCATGGCCCCTTCCTGAGTTGCACTATTTACATACTGGTCCATAAAACCCTCCTGGATGCTCCTTACGAATTCTGTTTCATCTAAACCCCTAACACTAAGTGAATCCCAGTCAATGTTGGGAAAATTAAAATCTCCCCATCACCACCACCCTATTGCTCCTACATCTTTCCATAATCTGTCTACATATTTGTACCTCTGTCTCACGCTCGCTGTTGGGAGGCCTGTAGTACAGCCCCAACATTGTTACTGCATCCTTCCTATTTCTGAGCTCTGCCCATATTGCCTCAGTGCTCGAGTCCTCCACAGGGCCCTCCTTCAGCACAGCTGTGATATCCGCTTTGACCAGTAATGCAACTCCTCCACCCCTTTTACCTCCCTCTCAATCTGCCTGAAGCATCAATATCCTGGGATATTTAGTTGCCAATCTTGCCCTTCCCTCAACCAAATCTCAGTAATAGCAATAACATCACACTCCCAGGTACTAATCCAAGCCCTAAGTTCATCTGCCTTACCTACAACACTTCTCGCATTAAAACAAATGCACCTCAGACCACCTGTCCCTTTGCGCTCATCATCTGCTCTCTGCCTACTCTTCCCCTTAGTCACACTGACTACGTTATCTAGTTCCTTACAGGCTTTAGTTACTACCTCCTTACTGTCCACTAACCACCTCATTTGGTTCCCACCCCCCTGCCACATTAGTGTAAACCCTCCTTAACAGAGTTAGTAAAAGCACCCCCTCGGACATTGGTTCCAGTCCTGCCCAGGTGTAGACCATCCGATTTGTAATAGTCCCACCTCTCCCAGAACCGGTCCCAATGTCCCAAAAATCTGAACCCCTCCCTCCTGTACCATCTCTCAAGCCACTCATTCATCCTGCCTATTCTTTCATTTCTACTCTGACTAGCACGTGGCACTGGTAGCAATCCTGAGATTACTACCTCTGAGGTCCTACTTTTTAACTTGGCTCCTAACTCCCTAAATTCTGCTTGTAGGACCTCATCCTGTTTTTTACCTATATCATTGGTGCCTATATGCACCACAACAACTGGCTGTTCACCCTCCCCCTTCAGAATGTCCTGCAGTCGATCTGAGACATCCCTGACCTGTGCACCTGGGAGGCAACATACCATTCGGGAGTCTCGTTTTCGACCACGGAACCACCTATCTGCTCCCCTTACAATCGAATCCCCTATGACTATAGCCCTTCCACTCTTTTTCCGCCCTTCTGTACAGCAGAGCCAGCCATGGTGCCATGAACCTGGCTATTGCTGCCTTCCTCTGGTGAGCCATCTCCCCCGACAGTATCCAAAATGGTATACCTGTTTTGGAGGGAGATGACCGCAGGGGACACCTGCACTGCCTTCCTGCTTTTTCTCTGCCTTTTGGTCACCCATTACCTTTCTCCCTCAGCAATCCTAATCTGCGGTGTGACCAATTTGCTAAACGTGCTATTCACAACTTCCTCAGCATCGCAGATGCTCCAAAGTGAGTCCATCCGCAGCTCCAGAGCCATCATGCGGTCTAACAAGAGCTGCAGCTGGACACACTTCCTGCACGTGTAGGAGTCAGGAAGCTTAGTGAAGTTTGCATTATGTCCTGTATATGGTACATACTGCTGTCATCCTGTGTCAGTGGTAAAGGGAGTCAGTGTTATAGGTGGTGGTTGTAGTGCCAATTAAGTGGGCTACTTTGTGCTGGATAGTGTCAAGTTTCTTGTGTGTTGTTGGAGCTGGTCACATCCAGGCAAGTGGAGGGTATTCCATCATACTGCTCAATTGTGGACAAGCATTAGGAAGACAGGAACTATTCTGGAATTCTGAGGAAAGATCACTGGACCTGAAATATTAACTCTGGTTTCTGTCCACAGATACTGCCAGACCTGAGAGTTTTTCCAGCAATTTCTGTTTTTGTTTCTGATTTCCAGCATCCTGGCAGAATTTACAACCTTACTGCTGCCTTGTTCATGTCATTTCTTCTCTGGCCTGACTACCAATCTTTTGTTTGGCTGATAATGTACAACAAAATCCGTAGCATTTCCCTTCCTATTTCTTAACTCTATTGATCCCATCTTGCTGAAATTCTGTAGAATATCCTAATCTTCAGTTTTTTGTAATGTTGTTTTAATGCTCTACCTTTTGTCCTCACCACCCCCCCCATCCCTCCTCTTAAAATGTTACAACAAGCAATATTAAATTGCTACTCCTCCAAACCCCTCATCCTTTTTCCATTATAGGTGGCATGACATATGCTTTAGTTATTGCTTTTAAATCTCAATTCTTGTTTGCAATTATTTATTAATTCACGTATAGATGCTTAGTTGTACTCAAAGCACTTAGAGAAGTTAGAAAAATACTTTGGATTACTATTTTAAGATCTGACCTCTATTTTCTAGTGTATAAGACGGAGAACAAATTAGGACTTCCTGACGTATCTACCGTCAGTATTTGAATGCAGATTTTTGTTCACTCATGGATATGACATCTCTGGCTGGCCAGCATTTCATTGCCTGTCTCTAGTTGCCTTTGAGAAGGTGGTAGTGAGCTGCTGCTGTCCACCTGCTGTAGGTTGATCCACAATGCCATTAGGGAGGGAATTCCAGGGTTTTGACCAGTGACCGTGAAGTAATAGCAGTATGTTTCCAAGTCAGGATGGTGAATGGCTTGGAGGCAACTCCAAGGTGATGGTATTCCCATATATTTGCTGCCCTTGTGCTTTTAGATGGAAGTGGTCATTGGTTTGGAAGGTGTGTCTAAGAACCTTCAGTGAATTGCTGCGATGCATCTTGTAGATAGTACACTCTGCTGCTACTGAATATCGTTGGTGGAGGGAGTGTATGCTTGCGGATGTGGTGCCAATCTAGTGGGCTGCCTGGTCCCGGATGGTGTCAAGCTTCTTGAGTCTTGTTGGAGCTGCACTCGTCCTTTGCATGTCACTCTACTCCTTAGATAAAATTAATTTTTGTATACACTTCAAATTATTGTCTTTCTCATTATGCCTAGTCTGATTTCCTGGGCCGCGTGAGTGCCTTGTATTTTAATCTGGAAAATATTTTTTCAAATATTAAGGAAGTGGGTTAAGTCAATAGCATCTTTATCTTTTGCTTCTGAGCCCTGATCTATACTTGAGCTTTAAGGGCTGATGATGAGATTAGCTTTTTGTTAGAGTAAATTTGTGTAATAACACTTTCAGGAAGTTTTAATAGATGATCCTGAAAACGTCAGATACTTAAGATGTATCTGTTGTATTTGTTTAGTTGAAGATGCAATGTGGATTGTTGGAGCACTTTGTACTTTGTACTTTGTATCTCAGGTTTATATAAGCCACGTTAATAGGTTTGTACTTTGGCTTTTAACAGGGAACATCATCATTTTGTGTATCTTTGTTTGAAGTTACTTTCCACTCATCTTTCCCTGGCTCAAGCTGGAGGTACTGGAGCTGCTGTTCTCGGGCAACAGGGTAGACCACTAAGGAACTTGCTTTTTCGGCTAATAGATTCGGATGTTCCAAATTCTATTGAAGAGGTAAGTGGAGAAATCATTTAGTATTAGTGTTATCAGTAGCTGCCGCACAATGATTGCCATACTTCTGTGAATGTTTTAATATGCTATTGAGAGTTATGGAGATTGGCATGATTTTACTTCATAATAAGATTGAGAAGCAGTCCACCTTATTCTGTGACTTGAGCATGGAGATGATGTCTCTACTGAGAAAGTTTCATACTGTCTGTGCACACAGATCATTGCTATGATAATTTGGCTTTTTCTCCCACTGATGTCAATGAAGCATTGCTGGAGATCCCAGCTGCAATGTGTGTAATTGTGAAAAAGGTGCTAGAAAATTCAAAATCCAATAAAAACTTGACAACATTGCTGTCATTTAACTTCTAGAATCTAGACAGCATTGTTCATGGAAGTCAGCTATTTGCCCATATTTAGCTGTAGGAGTTGTACGGCCACCTTGTGATAACATTGTACCAAATATGTGCTTAATTTCCGGATTTACTTTAGGTAGTACATGCTCAGGTAAGTTTTTCTTCAGTCATATTCTGTTGGGAAGATTGGAGGGTTCTGATGTTTGTGTTAGCAAGTAAGAGAAGATCCTCCACAAACTATTTAGATTTAATTTGTTTAAGCAGTAGACAAAACATATTGAATGGACTACACTGGACGCTGCAAGAAGTAAATACAGAAGCTTCAAAAATATTTAGTAAGAATTGGATAGATCTTGGGGTCCTTCACCTTAATCTTAATTAAATGAGAAATGTAATATTAAATGTAATAAGAATGTGCTATGATTTACAATGAATTTTCTTTTCAGAGAAATGAAACATTCCATTTAGTTTAGTTTTACTGCCATTGCATGATAAGTTGCAAATAATGTACTGATTGATTAAAAGCTGTATTTGTGTCCCACAGGCAGTCAATGAAACTCTTTCAGTTGGTGCATCTTTATTGCTGCCTCCACTCAGGGAACGTACTGAACTTTTACATAATCTGCTACCTCAAGGTCCAGAGAAATGGGAAAGTTTATCAAAAGGACAAGTAAGTGCTGAATTCTGCAAGGTATCAAAACTATTCAAATCTCATTTCTGAAGAAGGGTGTAGGCCCGAAACGTCCGCCTTCCTGCTCCTCTGATGCTGCTTGGCCTGCTGTGTTCATCCAGCTCTACACCTTGTTATCTCAAACCTCATTAATTTTGGCTTGAAGAACAGTAAAGTGGATGTGAAGAGATTAGAATCATAGAATCCCTACAGTGTGGGAACAGGCCATTCGGCCCAACAAGTCCACACCGCCCCTCCGAAGAGCATCCCATCCAGACCCATTCCCCTACCCCTGCACTTCCCACGTTTAAACCACCTAACCTAAACATCCCTGGACACTACAGGCAATTTAACATGGCCAATTCACCTAGCCTGCACATCTTTGGACTGTGGGAGGAAACTGGAGCACCCTGAGGAAACCCATGCAGACACGGGGAGAATGTGCAAACTCCACACAGACAGTCGCCTGAGACTGGAATTGAACCCGGGTTCCTGGCGCTGTGAGGCAGCAGTGCTAACCACTGAGCCACTGTGCTGCCCATCTTTTACAATTTTTTACCGGCTTTCTATTTTCTCAGATCTAAACTTTTTTCTAAATTATGGTTTAATTGCTGTAGTATAATATCAGAGTAATGCATAAGATTTCATTTTTGTCCACTTCCTTAATATTTAAATATACTTGCCATTATATTTGCTTCTGTACTATGCAAAGTAGGGGGATGGGTCTGGGTGGGATGCTCTGAGGGTCGGTGTGGATTTGTTGGGTCGAAGGGCCTGCTTCCATGCCGTAGGGATTCTATGATTCTAATAAATGAGTTTTTGAGAATAGAAAAGGAGCCCCGGTAAAAACCATAAAGTAGCTTTTGAGATGATCTCAAGAAGAACTCTTAGGGGACCAAAAAAATAATCCCTCACTACTGCATCAGAGATAGCAAGAACTGCCGATGCTGGAGTCAGAGATAACACCGTGTGGAGCTGAAGGATCACAGCAAACCGGGCAGCAGTAGAGGAACTGGAAAGCTGATATTTCGGGTTGGGACCTTTCTTCTGCATGCTAAGATTTGCCATCCCAAGGCCCTCCTATTCTCTAGATGTAAAGCTGCCTAATCCAGGAGTAGGTAATTCAATCTTGATAAATTGAAAATCCAGCATGGTCAGTCCCAACCCCAACGGTGCTGAAATTTAGGCATTAGACCCGTACTAAGCATGAGGTGACTATTTCAGAACTGAAACTTTAATGTTGTTGTCGCTGTTATTATTATTAATGGGATTAAAATTGTGTTTGCTGTGATTACTGATCAGCATAATATTAGGTACCTAACCTTTCTCCAAATTCTTTGACTGTACCAAGTAATTCAAGTGTTAGACATATCTTCATTTGAAATATACACACTTAGCTTGAAATAGCTTGGTATGTCTGTGAAATTAACATTAGTTAAGCTGCAGTTAACTTGTCATTCTTTTAAATAGAGAATGCAGTTGGATATAATACTGACTAGCCTACAAGACCAGTCCCACATCGCATCCCTATTGGGTTACAGCTCACCCACTGACATAACAGAAGGCTTCTCACAAAGCTGCTTTCCTGATCAGGACTCATCCAACCCAGGGATTATCGACAACTTTCACTTAGCAGAAATTCTTCTAAAAACTCTTTTAAGGAACATCGGTTTTTACACGGTAAGGTTTTCAGAGTTTCCTTTTTAAATAAGAGATTAATGTTTTTCTTTGAACTGTTGCCTCAGTTTTCCTGATTGTCTCTGTCTCTGTCTCTGTCTCCGTAAAAAGGAACGTGCTTTTGGTGAGTTGGAGAAGAACAGTGATAAGCAACAAAGTAGTACAACACGTACAGAAAGTGGACCACCCTCCCATGTCCGTCAGTTGCTCTCTGCATTGCATAAACATTTGCTGGCTCACTGTTACTCACGTTCTACTGCTAAGGTAATGTCAGTGTGGAAAGCAGAATGTAATTTATCAACTCTCGTTCCATTACTCTGTTTCTCTTTCTTCACCGTTAACAGCCACATTTTTATTTGCACTGAGCTTCAGTCTGTCAAAAGTATTAAAACTTCCTACAACTTTCAGTTCTCAAGAAAAGTCCTACCATTCGACACATTAACTGTCTTTCTCTGCATAAATGATGCCAGACTTGCTGAGTTTCTCCAGTATTCTGTGTTTGTTTCAGATTTCCTGCATCTGCAGTATTTTGCCTTTATACTATCCTGGAATCTCCTTCCGTAGAAATGTCTGCCTATTTCTTTTAGGACTGAATCTCCAATTACTGTAGCCTTTTCGCACCTATTCTTTCTCTGCCATCTATCAGAGTCAACCATGGTGCAACAGAATAAAAACCAAAAGAACTAGTGTTGTGAGGAACAGTCACCGGACCCGAATCGTTAACTGTTTTTTCCTTCACAGATGCTGCCAGACCTGCTGAGCTTTACCAGCAACTTTGTTTTTGTTCCTGGTACAGCAAATTTGGTTTCTCTGAGAGGCCATGTCCGTCCAGCCTCCCCCCACACACACACACCATCCCCCCCTCCTTCATATTCAAATCTATTTCGCAGAGGAATGGCCACAGAGGATTCTTGCCCTACCTGTCCAGTCCTCTTACTCTGCCTGAATGGCATCCATTCTCTCCCTGCCTGTGGTGTCTTAGCCTGAGGAGTGATCACCTCTCTACCTACTGTCCATGACTCTCAGCCTCATGGATGTCCTGTGTCCCCAACTGCTGCTCCAGCTCCAAACCTTAGGTGTCCAGGAGCTGCAGCTACAGGCACACTTTGCACACATTCTGTTCTAGCAAATTGTCCTGAAAACATTGCATGGATTCCTCATGTAAAGAAATTTGTCAGCCATGTTAATAACAACGGGTTAATAATCAGTCACTCGGCAGGGATTGATTAACTTTCTGGGTTAGTTTAACACAGTAAAACATTTTGAAATTTATGAAACAGATTAACAAACAAACTGATGTCTGTTTGTATACGGCTTACACACTCTCAGTAGACTATCTGCCAGGCAGAGTTATGACAGCACATGAAGTCCTTAGGAATGAACTCTTGAAGGCAATCCTCCCTCATTTTGCATCACCAGAGCTAAAATAATCTAATCCCTGGTTGGACATGTTGTTCCTGGAAATGGATCCAAGTATGCTCTGTGAATTCTTCCTTATGGCTACCTCTACCAATCTGACTTTACCAATTTACATGTAGATTAAAGTCAGCCATAATTGATGTACTACCTTTTTTTTTTCACATGTCCTCATTATTTCTTGATTTGTTCACTGTCCTGGCATATGGATACTGTTGGAGAGCCTACAGACCACTCTGACCTATGTTGCATTTTCCCCTTGTTATTTCTTACCTCTTCCCATACATCTTCCCATCTAAGATAATTTCTTGATATAGTACTTATTCTGTATCATAGTGACAAAGCTACCCTTTCCTTCTCCCCTTTCCTTTCAAAACTCACAAAATATTTAGTTCTTGGCTTTGATCATCTTGTAACCACAGAACAGGAACAGGCCCTTCGGCCTACCAAGTCTATGCAGAGCATGATGCTATTCTAAACTAATCCCATCTGCTTGCATCTGCTCCGTATCCCCCCCCTCCTCTGCCTGTTTGTGTGTCTGTTTCAATACCACTTATACTTTGCTAACAGATCATTTGTACCACCTCATCAGTAGTGCTTTCCAGGCACCTTACCACCCTTTGTGTAAAACCAATCTTTCCTCGCTCATCTCATTTTAAACTTGCCCCTCTCTCTTTAAACCTGTGCCCCCTAGTATTTGACATCTCCACCATGTGAAGGAGTCTCAGCTATCCACTCTATCCATGCATCTCACAATACAATATACTTGTATTAGGTCACCTCTCAGCCTAAAATGCTCTAGCGAAAACAATACAAATTTGTCCAACCTCTCCTTATCAATCAGCTTCCATTTTATGTTGATTCATTTTTTTTTTCCTGATTTTTTTTTTTTTTTTTTTTTTTTCTTTCCTGATGCATTCAAGTAAAGAGCCATTCACTTTGTAGTTTGATAACCTTCCCTTATTTACTGCTTAGTTTCCATGTTTAATACACTCTGTTCCACTCTGGGTATTGTTAACCAAATAGCTGATAGCTGCCCTGTAGTGTTGCCGTATTTTTTTGATTTGTAAGCCTACATTTCTACAGTAAAGTCCACAATTCCTCTAGTTAGTTTAAAGCCAGTTCTACAGCTTTCCATTACCCGCATCATTCATGGTCAGGGACAGGCCAAAGGGACTAACAGCAAAATGAGAAGACCTATTCTAAGGGGTATGACTGCCTCCTGGTACGGGCCATCCAGGTAACTTTCCCCAGGGTTGTCGTGTGACAGTGTCAGGAACTAGAATTTGAGGAGTGGAGATATGTTGATCACTTTTTTTTTAAGGTGATGGTGATTGTAGATATAGGGAGGGGCAAAGCCATGAAAGATTTGAAAATAAGAATGTGAATTTTAAAACCAAGAGGTTACTTAACCAGGAACCAGTATGGTTCAGAACACGAGATAACAAGGTGTAGAGCTGGATGAACACAGCAGGCCAAGCAGCATCAGAGGAGCAGGAAAGCTGACGTTTCAGGTCGAGACCCTTCAGAAATGGGGGAGGGGAAGGGGATTCTGGAATAAATAGGGAGAGAGGGGGAGGCGGATAGAAGATGGATAAAGGAGAAGATAGGTGGAGAGGAAACAGACAGATCAAAGAGGTGGGGGTGAAGCCAGTGAAGGTGAATGTAGGTAGGGAGTTAGGGAGGGGATAGGTCAGTCCAGGGAGGATGGACAGGTCAAGGAGGTGGGATGAAGTTAGTGGGTAGGAGATGGGGGTGGGGCTTGAGGTGGGAGGAATGGTTAGGGAGGCGGGGACGAGCTAGGCTGGTTTTGGGATGCGGTCAGGGGAGGGGAGATTTTGAAGCTTGTGAAGTCCACGTTGATACCCTTGGGCTGCAGGGTTCCCAAGCGAAATGTGAGATGCTGTTCCTGCAGCTTTCGGCTGGCGTCATTGTGGCAATGCGGGAGGCCCAGGATGGACATGTCGTCCAAGGAGTGGGAGGGGGAGTTGAAATGGTTCGCGACTGGGAGGTGTAGTTGTTTGTTGCGAGCTGAGCGTAGGTGTTCCGCAAAGCGGTCCCCAAGCCTCCGCTTGGTTTCCCCGATGTAGAGGAGGCCACAACGGGTACAGTGGATACAGTATACCACATTAGCAGATGTGCAGGTGAACATCTGTTTGATGTGGAAGGTCTTCTTAGGGTCTGGGATGGGGGTGAGGGGGGAGGTGAAGGGGCAGGTGTAGCACTTGCTTCGGTTGCAGTGAAAAGTGCCGGGGATGGTGGGGCTGGAGCTGGAGGGGAGTGTGGGGCGGACAAGGGAGTCATGGAGAGAGTGGTCCCTCCGGAAAGCAGATAAGGGTGGGGAGGGAAAAATGTCTTTGGTAGTGGGGTCAGATTGCAGATGGCGGAAATGTTGGAGGATGATGCGTTGGATTCGGAGGTTGGTGGGGTGGTACGTGAGGACGAGGGGGATTCTGTTTTGGTTGTTATTGCGGGGAGGGGGTGTGAGGGATGAGTTACGGGAAATGCGGGAGACACGGTCGATGGCGTTTTCGACCACTGTGGAGGGGTAGTTGCAGTCCTTGAAAAACGAGGACATCTGGGATGTCTGGGAGTGGAATGCCTCATCTCTGGAGCAGATGCGACGGAGGCAAAGAAATTGGGAATAGGGGATGGCCTTTTTGGAGGAAGGTGGGTGAGAGGAGGTGTATTCTAGGTAGTTGTGGGAGTCGGTAGGTTTGAAATGGATATTGGTTTCCAGGTGGATGCCAGAGATGGAGACAGAGGTCCAGGAAGTAGAGAGAGGTATCAGAGATGGTCCAGGTGAACTTAAGGTTGGGGTGGAAGGTGTTAGTGAAGTGGATGAACAGTTCGAGCTCCTCGTGGGAGCACGAGGCGGCGCCGATACAGTCATCAATGTAACGGAGGAATAGGTGGGGGATAGGGCCAGTGTAGCTTTGGAAGAGGGATTGTTCCACGTATCCTACAAAGAGGCAGGCATAGCTTGGGCCCATGTGGGTACACAGCATGAGAAGCTTGGAAAACGGGAGTTGCTACGAGTTTTGGATGACCTAAAATTTAGAGTGTAGAAAGTGAGAACCCAGTTTGAAGCATACTCATTGTCAAGTATAGTGATAAAGAAGGCAAAAGTGAATGTGTCAGCAGCAGATAATGAGATAAATGAAATCTGGCACTGTTAGAGGTGCACGTAGGCTTTTTTAGTAATCACGTGATTGAATTAGAATTTCTCAGTATCAAATGTGGAAGCAATGTCATAAACAGACTGGTTTAATCTCTTTCATTTTTGAGGGAGAGGTTTGTGTTATGTATGTATTCCTTCAAGCTTGAAGTGGTCGTGTATAGATTAGGATACCCACCTTTCTGGTCAAACTAGCAGAGTATGGTTCAATAAACAACATGGATTTTATTGCATATAAGAAGTATTTACAAGTTACAAGAATGTGATCTACAACAACAGAGCTTGTTAGGAGCATAATAGCTCCGGGCCTGTCTCCTATAAACTCCTTCTTTACTCTGACATTATTTGACTTGGTCGTACTGGATAGTGCTTACTGCAATTAATCATGTATTAAGCCTTTCAGACCCATATATTTGGAGCTGATTATGTAGGATCTAATAGTAGAGCATTTCGAAATGCATAATTTCAGCAAGCAGAGTCAACATGACTTCTTGAAGAGGCAATAGTGCCTGATGATTTTTTCTAGAATTCCTTGAGGAGGATAGATAAAGGGGGATCAGTAGATGTAGTATGTTTGGATTTACAGAAGCCATTTGATAAGATACCACCTATTGTACTACCTGATAAGATGTGAGCTCAGGGTGAATGTACCATTGCAGATAGGTGGGAAGGCAAGTGGTGGAGATGGCAGAGTTTGCAGAAGGATATGGACAGGCAAGTAGACAAAGATTTGGCAGGTAGAGTATAATATTGAAACATGAGGCTATGTACTTTGGCAGCAAGTTTAGAGGTGCTGAATAATATTTTAAAAGTTTTTTTCAAAAACAACAGAACAGTGATTTGGGGGGCTTCAGAAAGCTAGTATCCAAGTTCATTGGGTAATAGGGAAAACAAATGGAATATTGGCCTTCATTTGAAAAGAAATGTTGTATAAAATATGGAGGGTTTGCTAAAACTATACAAGGTGCTGGTCAGACACAGCTGGAATACTGTGAACAGTTTTGAGCCCCTCATCTAAGGAAAGTTATTCTGCTTTTGGAAGTAGCCCAGAAAAGATTCATTACGCTGATACCTGTATGGAAGAACCCTCTACTGAGGGGATGTCAAGTAAATTGGGCCTGTATTCATTGGAATTTAGAAGATTGAGAGGCAGTCTTCTTGAAACATAAAGTATCAGGATAAATGCAAAAAGATTTTCCCTTGTGGAAGAGTTTAGAAACAGATCGCACAATCTCAAAGGAAGGGGTGATGCACGTTAAACACGAGGAGAAATTTATTTTCTCAAAAACAGTGAATCCGTGAAATTCTTTACTGCAGTGGACTTTTGAGGCTGGATTGTTAAGTGCATTCAAGGCTGAGATTGACAGGACTTTCATCAGTAAGGGAATTGAGGCTTCTGGGAAAAGGCAAGAAAATAGAGTTGAGGATTATTAAATCAGTGATGTACCCATTGAATGGCAGAGTATACTGAATGGGCTGACTGGCCTACTTCTGTCTTATAGTCTTATAACAGGCTGTTAGTAACTAGAAAAGAGGTTGGAACTAGGACTGAAAATAATTGTTTCAGTCTACTCAGGATTTAATTGGAAGAAACTTTTGCTCATCTGGTAAGGGCAGTTGGATAAAATTTAGCAACAATGGAGCAGTCAATAGAGGGGGTAATGAAACAGAACCATGTGTTGTTTCACATTTGGAGACTGATGCTGTGCTTTCAAACAATGTTGCTTATAACAGCACGTCGATGAGAAATAGGAAGGGTCATTGATTAATGCATGGGGACTCCAGAGGTAAGATGCAGGAGTAGAAAGAGAAACCATTGAAAGTGGTATGATTAAATAAGGTTTATCTGACTTTCCTTGAGGAAAGCATAAAGAGAGGTACTGCAATTAGGCATGCCCTTCTGTAGGACAGGGATACTAAGCTGGATTGTTTCTTCTAATTGTCTCATAGTAATGCCTTCCTCTCTTCCACACCCTTCAAAACCCATCCCTCCCCAACCCCCACACCATGAACCCACTCACCACCACAATGAGTGAAGTAGAGGGAAGGAATAATGAACTTCTGAATATCCTGCTGATGTCTAGGCCCTCAAATTTTTGAACATGAGTGAAGCTGGTGCTCTTGAACGTTCATTTCTGAGAAATGAAGATTAATGTTCAAAACCCATGGTGCAGAACTTCCAGGTTGAATATAATCAAAATGACTAAGTAAGTCAGGACTAGTGATTCATTAGGTGATGTCCACTTCTGTTTTATCAGAAATTATCAGTAATTATTTTGATAATTCTGACTAAGTATTGTGTAATCCACATATTCTTTATTTTAGGATCACTTGAGCGTAGATTTGCTGCATAAACACGTGAACTTGCTGCTGCTATATGCATCTGATACCTACAGGCGATCTGCTGTTCTTCTGAAAGAAAGCTTACTAGATAAAAGTGTCACAGCAAAACTACATGGTAAGAATCTCACCTATACATAAAACCTGTATATATCCTGTACATCTGTCTTCACTGAAATTTTGCTATTTTTCATTGTATTATAAACAGATCTTTGGCCCTTGTGCTTATGTAATTTTGCCATCAATTTCATCCCTGTCTAACACACTAACGTAGCCAGAAACCAATTCACAACTTAACTATTTTTCAAAACAAAACTTTTTAAAGGACTGTATGTACGTACAGTATAAAATCTGAAATTACAGAGCATTTGGAAATACATATTGTCGAGCAGTGTCAGATTGGCATCGTGAAGGGGAAATTATCCCTGACAAACTTATTAGAATCCTTTTTTGAGGAGGTAATGTTTATTTACAATATAAACGACTTGGAACAAGAAATTGAATGTACTGTTGTCAAGTTTGCGAGTGACACATAAATAAATGGTAAGGCAAGTGATGAGGACAACACTGTCTGCAAGGATAGATAAACAGGCTAAGTCAGTAAGCTTTGGAATATAATGTGGAAAGATGTAAGCTTATATACTTTAGCAAGAAGAATAAAGGAACTGAATAATATTTTAAACAGAGAAAAAGACTGCAGAAAGCTACAGCACAAGGGGTATCAGGGGTCCTTGTGCATAAATCTCAAAATGCTGGCATCCAATTTTGGCAGATAATAGTGGAAATAGAATATTGACTTTCATTTTAAATGGGATAGAATATAAAAATAGGATAGTCTTGCCAAAAATATACAAAACAATGGTTAGACACACCTTGAGCACTGGAAAAAGTTTTGGTCCCCTTTATATTTAGAAAGATATATTGACATTAGAGGCAGTCTACAGAAGATTTCCTAGCTTGATCCCTGGTATGGAAGGATGAATAGGTTGGGCTTGTAATTGGTGGAATTTAGAAGAATATGAGGCAATCTTATGAGGCTGTGTCTTTAATTATACTGAAGGTTGAAATAGACAGTTTTAATCAGTAAGTGATAGATTGGACTTCGAAGACCTGAAAACAGGCTATCATTAGGGAAGTGACTGGTCCATGCAGGAAATGCAGACCTCAGGCTGAAGAGATAGGTGGAATGGATTGCTGCACAACAAGCACAGGTACATTCCTTGTTATCCTACATTCGTATCAAGGCCCTTGGCCGCTCTAAAAAAGTGCTGGAATTTGAACAGTCCCATCAAGAGCCAAGTCGGAGAGGGGTTTCTTCAGGGAGAATGAGTCTTCTGTAAACTATTAAGAACTTTTCCTACAGTGAACATGAGATTTGGTAAGATAGAAGCCTTATGTCTAATTGACAAAGTGTGGGAGGTGTCAACTGTTACCAGTTTTTCCCTGACTATCAGTCTGAGGAGTGCGAGCAGATTGTCATCCCTACATTGAGTTCTCCCAACCCCAAGCTCTCGCTATTCGTACTTAATCACACTTCTCATTAGCAGGGATTTCTGGTAGTTCATGATCAGTACTCCAGTGGAAGGAGGGCACTTGAGACAACTCATTGTGGTGGGGTCAAACATATTAAGAGATATCTGGATGTCCTTGAAAAATAATTAAGGCGACTGCTTTGAGCAACACATTACAAGGTCAGAAGATTGAGCACAGGTGTTTTCACCTTGCTCTGTGTGGTCCTGTATCAACTTATACAGGACCCTAGAATTGTTGGGGAGCAGGGATTTGGGCTGTTCTTTTACCTGCCTACACCGTTACAGTTCTTGAAGGCTTGTGCCAACCATCTCCAACTGGACAACATTGGATCTTGCTAAAGCATCACATGTCACATGTAGCAGTGCTCCTACCAGGTATGATCCTAGGAGCTATCCTTATCACGGTGGGAGTAAAGGTAAGGTTACCCACTCAGCTCATCAATTTCAGCAATAAAGAAGCGTTACTCCAACCATGAACTCCCGTTGCTGTCCTTAAACCTGCTGCTGCCAAGAGCAGTGGACCAACTGACATAACCCAACTGACAGTGGACATCAGCAAGTTGGAGGAGACCCAGTAGATGCAGCTTGTTTCCACACTTGCCAAGTACTAGACAACTTTGATTAAAAATGATGATGACATTGGGTACTTTAACCTAGTAAACCACAGTATTATGACTAAACATGACTATCCAGTAAAGATTTCTTACCACTGGATCCCAAACCATCACTGGGAAGAAGTCTGGGACGACCTGAAGAAGTCTTTGGATCGAGGTAGCATCCAAGAGTCATCATGCACAGACACCTCCCCCAGTGTCCTTGTGAGAGACAGAAAACTGAGGATCTGTGTTGATTACTGGCACTCAATGTAGACTCAAGCATGCCTACCCTTTGTCAATGATTTCTACAGTCTCGATTTGGCCACAGTTATAACCAGCTACCCATTGCTAATCGAAATCTTGAAAAGACAGCATTACAAGCAAGCACCAGGGAAGTTTAGAATATACAAGAATGCTGCTTGTGCACTGTAATGCCCCTGGTATCTTTGGTTGTATAATTGATAAAGCTTTTGGTAACCTTGAATTTCAGTCCCTCGTTGTGTAACTGGAAGACCAATTTCTCCTTTGGCTCAAAATTCCAAGTTCAAGCTAGGGAAGTGCCAACTTTTCTGGACAAAAATAAAGTATGTGGCCCATACCACTACCAAGGAATAAATTGCTCCTAACGATGAGAAAATCTTAGGGTGGAAGAATGGCCCTGACCTAAGATTCAGAAGGAATCATGAGTTCCTCGGTCCAGCTGGTTACTTCAAAAGGTTTGTGCAAGACAATTGGCCATCCTACTCCATGATTTCCTGAGGAAATCAGAATATTGCAGGAGCAGTTGGGAAAGGATCTAAGAGACGTTATACTTCATGGAGCAACAGAGTTGAAACCCAGCATGTAAAGACTCTTTTTGCACCCTCAAGCAGAAGCTTGTTTCATCATCTTTCCTTGGATACCTGAATTTCCAATTTCCTTTTTGTATTGGAAACCGATTGACCCAGGAAGTAGGGCTGTCACAGATTCAAGAACATAAGAGAATGGTTATCGCTTATCCTTGGCAGAGTCTTAAGCTGAATGAGTGGAATATAGAGATTTACTCCCAATGTGAAACTCCAACCAATAGCTTTTATGGGCTATTTCCTAGAAGTTCAGAGACATTCTGATCACTGCAGTTAACAGACTACAACCCTTTCAGCTACTTTCAGATGTCCGCCAAGTTGGGTGCAACAGACACCAAATTGGCTGCTGAACTTGTGCAATTTTGATTCAAGATCTGGTACAGATCAGCAAAAGTAATGCAAGTGCTTGTACGCTTAGTTGGAAAATTAACTTTGACCTTGGGAGAAAACCAACCCTGCCTGGCTATGGTTGATGTCATGCCCATGCTCCAAGTCAATGGCAGAATTCCAACCCTGATTCCCTTTTGGCATTCAGACTAGGATTCAGCAGAGTGTTACTAATATACTTAAGAATGAAATCCAAACAAGTTCCAGGCGGGTGGAGCCAGGTGTAATTTCACCTTTATCGTCTATTTTGAAAAAGACCATCAGCTTCAGCTGATTGACACAGGCATCAATAACATGAACCATTACTGGAAGGCCATACCCAGTGCCAGCTGAAGAGGGAGTCCCACTAGGCATGGAAACTGTTGAAGCTGAAAAGGATCAGGAGCGAGATGGCGATCTGTATTGGCTGGCTTATTCCAAGAAAAAGGTGAAATAATTCATCCTTCCTGACTGCCTCAAATGTCACCTGTTGGTTGCAGTTCATGATCAAGCATGACATTAAGTAATGAAAAAAACAAATTCCCTCAGAGGGTGGTGTTACAGCATGGGATAGCTGTTGGTATTGATGACTAATGTCATAATTTTGAGAGGTGTACTTTCTCCAAAGCAGGAGAGTGACTTCAGCCCAGTTTGGGATTCATGGTTGCCAAGAGACCTCTAGAATCCTTGCAATGGATTTTTGGTAATAATGGGACTGATCATATTGTACACTGTGGTGTCTTCACAATGTTCAAGGTCAGGTCAGGCCAGTCCCACAAATGACCAAAACGCCTCCACTACAGCCAGAGTGTTTATGCGTGATTTATTGTCTGTTTGTGTTCCATATTGGATGTGAAGTGATCAGAGGCACAGTTTCCAGAGCAAGATCCTACTAGAGCTTTGCAACTTCTATGGCATTGATAAGAGACGCATCCAGAGTGTAATGGACAGTGCTAAAGATTCAGCTGTACTCTACATGACTGTCTGCACTCCTTGCCTCTTGAGTAAATGAACGTGACTTGAGTCCCTTCTGGTGCTGGTTTATGTAGTGATTGCAACAAGGTCAGCCACGTGGACCTCATAGAATGTGAGTTCCCTGATTGGGGCTGTTAATCTAATACAGTCAATCATAGACCTGGCTGATAGATATAGCAGGAGTGCCAGACATCCTGTTCACTTCACTTTCTGAAGAAGGGTCCAGACCCAAAACATCAGCTTTCTTGCTCCTTTGATGCTGTTTGGCCTGCTGTGTTCATACAGCTCTACACCTTGTTATCTCTGTTCACTGAGAACTTGCTCTGAGGGAGCTGGATCAGTGTCGAGGACTCTCCACGTGTAAATAAAAGGTGACTTGGTAACTGGATACCAGCCTTTTTGGAGTTATTTCAGTTTATGCTTATGTAGCATCCAACACTCATCCATGGGTTTTTTTTCTCCACACTGTCAGTTTATTCTGTCTGCTTAGATTGACGACATCTTCTGATGGGGATGGTCAGGTTAATGAGTAGATAGCTGAGCATCATTTGAGGCTGAGCCAGGTGATTGGAATAAATGTAATTTGAGGTCTGAGAGAAGTGCCGAGAAGAAAAAGACTGACCGATCACAAGACTGACAGGATTGACCTCAGAAATTGGAACAGCAGTGGTCAGAATAAGATACAGGATGTGTGGGAACGTGAAGCCCACCGAATCATCAAGTCACAGCTGACTCCATTCGTGCTGTTGAATTGATAGCTGGAGAACAGCCTCTGAAAGTGGTTCAGAAGAAATTTGTTTGAAGCCAGGAGTCTGGTGAATGATGTGAAGGCAAACCACACCCTCGCTGGTGTCAAAGAGCCTGAAGTGTTCGTGCATAATGGCTCCAGTGGTGGTGTCAGATATTGATGTGGAATCCTGGAATTACCTGTTTGTTTTTGAATCCAAGAGATGCTTTCAATTTGGAGAGGCCTAAGGCAGAAATTGAAGTGACAAGTGCTGCCAATCATATGTCTCCTAAAACTTTGACCACAAGCCGAAAGTGGACAATTTGCCGCAGTGCCTGGATGCCTTGGAAATTTCCAGTACAGATACAATACTGAGAAGGTCTTAAGTAAATCTGTACATTGCCACAACCCTTACTGTTTGTCCAGACAGTAGTTCGAGAAAATACTACCATTAATGTGAATTTGAACTTTCTAGCCACCATGGCACAATTGAAACATGCAGCTGCTTAGCAGTGTGCTAAATGTCATTGCAGTCCCGGCAATGACTTCAAGCGGGCAGTGTGAAATGGGACCTTCAGCAGGTGGTAGCGTTATTGGGGGGAAATGAGCTAGGGATCTGCAGTTTTCCAGACCACCACCAGCAAGAGGAGGGAGGGAAGCTAGAGCAGTTGAATACATTGTCACTGGAAAGAAAGGGTCGCTTTTGTGGGGAGCAGACAGGAATTCGGCAGCCCATTGTAATCCACGTGATTGTTCCATGTACATAGTGTATATAAATCCTTGTTTATCCTTCATTTCCCTCCCTGTTTCTAATGACCTGCTCTCAGTAAAATGAATCTGTGCTTCGTGATCTTTAAACCAGGGTTGTATCAAATCTCATGTTACAAGAGCATGGGTTCTGAGTTTCTGTGCAATATTATTCCCTTGCCTGACTGCACAGATTACCAAGTTAATTCAGATATTGATTTTTGTGAAAGCATGCTGTAACACTGATTTCAATGTTCTCCTGCATGTTATTGCACTTCAATATACATTGTGGTTCAGTGTTTTAAGAGGTTAGGTGATGTGATGAGGCACCGCATAAATGAGTTTATTACTGTAACCCCAGAATTCTGAATAAGTTATGCATTTTGTATGTTCAGAACACTAGTAATACTTTTGCAGATTTTTAAAGTAAATTTAGTGATTCCTCTGTATTAAGCTGCTATATCCAGTATTTAATTTATATAAATTACAAGTCACAGAATATAAGTTTGTTTCAGTTTTTATATTGCTAGATCGCAATTGTGTGCAAAGTTCTAGTTAAGTATTTTGTGTCACACAGGAATCTGATTTTAATGACTTAAATTTTTCTTGTGTTTAATATCAATACAAAGAAGCAACATATAGGTATAAAATTAGCATTCTGTTCAATGGCTAGTAAAAACTTTGGTGCTTCAATATCTTGTATTTTATTACTTTTTCCTTTTTAGGTATTCTTTTTAACTCTGCGGCTGGAAGTGTGTTGTGTCAAGTGATCTACTCCCTTCTATTGTTACCTGTTAGCATTGTGCGACCTTTACTGGGCAATCTTCTAGATCTGCTCCAACCACTTGATCATCTAATCCGGCTTTTACCAGCTGCTATGTCATTGGAGGAGCAGGAACTTGAATGGGCAATGCATGGTTAGTTCATCTGATTTTAATTCCCTCATTTTAGCGAAATTTTCTCTTCAAAAGAAGGTGAGAAGTTGCACAAGTCAAATTTTCTGCATTATTAAAAGTGAATTTGGGAAGGGGCTGAAATGAGTACTCTTAGAAATCAAAAATTAGGTTACACAGAGACTTGAGCTCCTTTGTACTGCAGCTATTACACTTTGGCAGCTGTAGTATGTAGAAGGAACGTACAATTTGTACCACTGCTATCATTTTGTTCCTGGTCACTGGTAAGCCAGTGAAAGACCACCTTATTCAGATGTGTAATTGTCGTGTGGAAGCTGATGGAGTTGGCCACAGAATATATCCCGTATGGGGTGATAGCAGAGATTTTGGTTACTTCATCTGTAACTGTGAAACTGTTGACAATTGTTAGAAAATTGTAGGGAAAACCAAACAAAATCATCAGGGATAACAAGTTGTACAGCTGGATGAACACAGTAGGCCAAGCAGCATCCGAGGAGCAGGAAAGCTGACGTTTCGGGTCTAGACTCTTCTTCAGGCATTTCATTCTGGGCTTTGCAGAAGCACTTCATACTCTAGGTATCTGTGGTCTTCCTGTACTCCAGCATGGAGAATTGGCACATAATTTTCTTGACATAGACAGAGTTTGCTTCTAGGTTGCATTAACTCAGTTCACATAGAAATCTCAAATGTTAGCTGGAATGTCACTTAACTTAAGTTCCCACAAAAGTCTAAATTGCTATTATTCAGGTTTTTGTTGGGGAGAGATTTGAACAACAGTCTTGTGACTACAATGGGGTCCTTGGAATCAGGCAAAGAGTGCAGAGATGATCCGGAATGAAGAATAGCATTGGCCACACTGCTTACTCAATCCACATATCTGACATGCTGCCTTGTCTAAGGATCAGTAGATATGTGCTGCTAGAATGTGACAGACTATGTTCCGCTTGAAAGGCAGAAGCTTTGCCTCCACCGTTTTGTTAGAGGCGACTAAGTAAGGGAACCTGGATAATTTTGATTGAGAGCAGAGGCCAGCACAGTGGTTCAGTTTGAAAAGCAGATTTTTTTAATGCTATTTGGGGTGGCACGGTGGCTCAGTGGTTAGCACTGCTGCCTCACAGCACCAGGGATCCAGGTTCAATTCTAGCCTCAGGCAGCTTTCTGCATGGGTTTCCTCCCACAGTCCAGAGATGTGCAGGCTAGGTGGATTGGCCATGCTAAGTTGCCCATAGTGACCTGGGATGTGTAAGTTAGGTGGATTAGCTTTGGGAAATGCAGGGTTACAGGGAAAAGTGAGGTGGGCGAGTCTGGGTGGAATGTTCTTTGGAGAGTCAGCATGGATTTGTTGGGCCGAATGGCCTGTTTCCCATACTGGGGATTCTGTGATTTTCCTCAGTCGTTGGTATTTGCTGCTGGCCCAAAGCAAAGCTGCTCATAAAGATCCAGCAGTCTCCATGGTGTAAATTTTACTAACACATAATAATACATTCTCTTGGAAATTCATTTTAAAAATAGCATTTCATTAAGCTGTTAGAATATTTAACATAAAACTGTACAGCACAGGAATGGGCCCTTCGGCCCACAATGTTGTGCCAAATATCATGTCGAATCAAACTAATCCCTTCAGCCTGCCCCTGGTCCATATGCCTCCATTCCTTGCATATTCATGTGTTTATCTAAAAGTCCCTTAAATACCCCTATTGTATCTGCCTTCACCACCACCCCTGGCAGTGGGTTCCAGTCTGCTCCTCTGTGTAAAAGACTTGCCCCTCACATCTCCTTTGAATTTCCCCCTCATCTTAAATGCATGCCCCCTAGTATAAGACATTTCAACTCTGGGGAGAAAAGATTCTAACTGTCATCCCTATCTGTGCATCTCATAATATTATAGACTTATATCAAGTCTCCGCTCAGCTTCCACCGCTACAGAGGAAACGACCTGAGATTTTTCTAGCCTCTCCTTACAGTTCATACAGCCTCTGCTTATAGCTCATACATTGTGAAATGATTGTCATATGCTGCTATGAGAGGGTTGCCAACATGCCAGGAATGTGCAGATTGTCTTAACAGTAAATATTGCACAGGCTAGGCTTGTGCCTCTTGGAGTTAGAAGAGCAAGAGGAGGCTTGGTAAAAACCTAGGAGGTCCAGAAGGATTTGAGAGGCTAAATGTGGGAGTGGATGGATATGGACAAAGGGGAGGCAGAAGGGCTTAGTTTAATTTGGAATCATGTTCGGCACAACATTGTGGGCCAAAGGGCCTGTTCCTGCGCTGTACAGTTCTATATACTAATCTAGAGTCAGAGGCCGCAGTTGAGACTTCGCATTGCCCTCGTGGCAGACTGGTACAAATGATGAAGTCCTATTGTATCATAGGTGAGCTGGCAAGATGCATACAGAATTGGAGACAACAAGTGCAGGGCTGGATGAACACAGCAGGCCAAGCAGCTACATAGGAGCAGAAAGGCTGACGTTTCGGGCCTAGACCCTTCATCAGAAAAGGGGGAGGGGTATCTGAAATAAATAGGGAGACATTGGGAGGGGGATAGGTGGCGAGGAAACAAACAGGTCGAAGAGGCGGGGATGGAGCCAGTAAAGTTGAGTGTAGGTGGGGAGTTAGGGAGGGGATAGGTCAGTCCAGGGAGGACGGACAGGTCAAGGGGCGGGATGAGGTTAGTAGGTAGGAGATGGAGGTGCGGCTTGAGGTGGGAGGAGGGGATAGGTGGGAGGAAGAACAGGTTAGGGAGGCGGGGACGAGCTGGACTGGTTTTGGGATGCGGTAGGGGGAGGGGAGATTTTGAAGCTTGTGAAATCCACATTGATACCATTGGGCTGCAGGGTTCCCAAGCAGAATATGAGTTGCTGTTCCTGCAACCTTCGGGTGGCATCATTGTGGCACTGCAGGAGGCCCAGGATGGACATGTCGTCTGAGGAATGGGAGGGGGAGTTGAAATGGTTCGCGACTGGGAGGTGCAGTTGTTTATTGCGAACCGAGCGTAGGTGTTCCCCGATGTAGAGGAAGCCACACCGGGTACAGCGGATGCAGTATACCACATTGGCAGATGTGCAGGTGAACATCTGCTTGATGTGGAAAGTCTTCTTGGGGCCTGGGATGGGGGTGAGGGAGGAGGTATAGGGGCAGGTGTAGCACTTCCTGCGGTTGCAGGGAAAAGTGCCGGGTGTGGTGGGGCTGGAGGGGAGTGTGGAGCAGACAAGGGAGTCACGGAGAGAGTGGTCCCTCCGGAAAGCAGATAAGGGTGGGGAGGGAAAGATGTCTTTGGTGGTGGGGTCGGATTGCGGATGGCGAACGTCAGCCTTTCTGCTCCTATGATGCTGCTTGGCCTGCTGTGTTCATCCAGCCCTGCACCTTGTTGTCTCGGATTCTCCAGCATCTGCAGTTCCTACTGTCTCTGGATACAGAATTGGCTTTGTCAGAGGAGACAGGATGGTGGAAGGATGCTTTTTGGAATGGAGGGCTGTGACTAGTGGTGTTCCACAGGGATCAGTACTGGGACCTTTGCTGTTCATGGTCAACATAAATGTTTTGGAGGAAAACATGGCTGGTCTCATTTCTGATGAAGGGTCTAGGCCCGAAACGTCAGCCTTTCTGCTCCTATGATGCTGCTTGGCCTGCTGTGTTCATCCAGCTCTGCACCTTGTTGTCTCGGATTCTCCAGCGTCAGCAGTTCCTACTTTCTCTGGTCTCATTAGTAAGTTTGCAGATGATACAAAGATTGGAGTTGTGCATAGTAAGGAGCATTGTCAGAGGATATAGCAGGATATAGATCAGTTGGAGGCATGGGCAGAAAAATGGCAGATCGAGTTTAATGCAGATAAATGTGAGGGGATGCATTTTGGAAGGTCAAGTATGGCTGGAAATAATAGTGAATGGCAGAGCCCTTAGAAGTATTGATATGCAGAGGGATATGGGTGTGTGGGTCCACAGATCACTGAAGGTGGCAGCGCAGGTAGATAAGGTAGTGAAAAAAGCCTATGGCATGCTTGCCTGCATTGGAAGGGACACTGATTATAAGGATAGACAAGTTATGCTGCAGCTTTATAGAACTTTAGTTCGACCACACTTGGAATACTTGCATACAGTTCTAGTCACCACACTACCAGAAGGATGTGGATGCTTTGCAGAGCGTATAGAAAAGGTTTACCAGGATGTTGCCTGGTATGGGGGATTTTCAGTTATATGGAAGAGTGAATAGACTGGATTTGTTTTCACTGGAACACAGGAGGTTGAGAGGTGACCTGATAGAAGTTTATAAGATTGTGAATGGCATGGATATAGTGGAAAATATGAAGCATTTTTCCAGGTTGGAGGGGTCAATTAGTAGACGTCACAAGTGCAAGGTGCAGAGGGGCAAGTTTAAAATCGATGTGTGAGGCACATTTTTCACACAAAGGGTGGTGAGTGCCTGGACCGCACTGCCATGGAGGGTGGTGGAAGCAGACACAATACCAGCTTTCAAGAAACACCTGGACAGATACATGAATAGGAAGGAAATAGAGGGGAAAGGATCCTGTAGGTGAAGGCAGTTTTAGTATCGAAGGGCAAAATGGCTTATTCCTGCTTCTCATTGTATATTTTAGGAAATTCAGAAATTATCATGGAATCATAGAATCCCTACAGTGTGAAAGCAAGCTATTCAATGCATCAAGTCCATGTGGACCCTCCGAAGAGCATTCACCCAGACCCATGCCGCTCCCCTGTGCCTGTAACCCTACATTTCCTATGGCTAACTCACCTAGCCTGCACATCCCTGGACAGTATATGGGCAATCTACCATGGCTAATCCGCCTAACCTACACATCTCTGGACTGTGGGAGGAAACTGAAGCACCTGGAGGAACCCGCACAGACATGGAAAGGGCATGCAAACTCCACACATTCATCCTAAGGGGGCAGAATTGATCCACTATCCCTAGTGCTGTGAACCACTGAGCCACCATGCCACCCACCCTGGTGGTTCATAGTTTGTTGTGCAAGATTATATATTAGCAAATGTTTTTAGTTAGATGAGTCTCGCTGTCTTGCGCCCGCGTGCTCCCTTTCTCACGCGCACTGACACACCCACGTACTTGCTCTCTCTCTCTGTCTCTCTCTCTCGAATCTATGGGGTGAATTTGTATTTGTAGATACTTTTTTTGTTGAAAAAGCGCATAATTTATACACAGTCAGTCAATATGGCGTTGTATAAATTCCTACTTTAGAAATAAAATCAGTCTGACTTCAAAATAACACACACACAGATTCTAAACAAGGCTCACACTTAACATGAGATAACGAGGTGTAGAGCTGGATGAACACAGCAGGCCAAGCAGCATCAGAGGAGCAGGAAAGCTGACGTTTCAGGTCTGGACCCTTCTTCAGAAATGGGGGAGGGGAAGGGGATTCCGAAATAACAAGGGAGAGAGGGGGAGGTGGATAGAAGATGGATAAAGGAGAAGATAGGTGGAGAGGAGACAGACAGGTCAAAGAGGCGGGGATGGAGCCAGTAAAGGTGAATGTAGGTGGGGAGGTAGGGAGGGGATAGGTCGGTCCAGGGAGACGGACAGGTCAAGGAGGCGGGATGAGGTTAGTGGGTGGGAGATGGGGTGGGGCTTGAGGTGAGAGGAATGGTTAGGGAGGTGGGGACGAGCTGGGCTGGTTCCTGTTGTCGCCTCCTCTACATTGGGGAAACCAAGCGGAGGCTTGGGGACTGCTTTGTGGAACACCTACGCTCGATTCGCAACAAACAACTAACTACACCTCCCAGTCGCGAACCATTTCAACTCCCCCTCCCACTCCTTGGACGACGTGTCCATCCTGGGCCTCCTGCATTGCCACAATGATGCCAGCCGAAGGCTGCAGGAACAGCATCTCCTATTTCGCTTGGGAACCCTGCAGCCCAATGGTATCAATGTGGACTTCACAAGCTTCAAAATCTCTCCTCCCCCGACCGCATCCCAAAACCAGCCCAGCTCGTCCCCGCCTCCCTAACCATTCCTCCCACCTCAAGCCCCACCCCATCTCCCACCCACTAACCTCATCCCGCCTCTTTGACCTGTCTGTCTCCTCTCCACCTATCTTCTCCTTTATCCATCTTGTATCCACCTCCCCCTCTCTCCCTATTTATTTCAGAATCCCCTTCCCCTCCCCCATTTCTGAAGAAAGGTCTCGACCCAAAATGTCAGCTTTCCTGCTCCTCTGATGCTGCTTGGCCTGCTGTGTTCATCCAGCTCTACACCTTGTTATCTCAGATTCTCCAGCATCGGCAGTTCCTACTATCTCACACTTAACATGCATTGTCTGACCTAAAATGTCACCTCTGCTTTACACTGATCAAACCTTTAGTTCTCTCAGGACCGTAACTTGAAAGGAATTTGGGGATTTACATATACATTAATCAATTCAAACTTTCTAACTGATTAAAGATGTAACAGCATCTTAGATTTATTTAGTACATCCTTATCAATAGTGTGAACCATTGATCTTTTACTTATAAATTCCGTGTGCGATACTACCCCCTCACTAACATCTGCAGAAGGTCTGAGGCTCCGAAAGCTACTGATTTCAAATAAACCTGTTGGACTACAATCTGGTGTTGGCATTGGAAGTGCAAGTTGATACATTGTAGAGAACTGAGCATTTGGGCAATCAACTGTTGTTGTTTTAACCAATTGAAGCATCACAAAATGCAGAGTCCAAGAACAAAGGTTGAGAATGTGTGGTAAATCAGGTATAGAAATTAGAGAGGGAAAGAAAAATTGGATTGAGGGAGGAAAAATAAGAGACCAAGAAACATAATTTTAAATGTTATATCTTTAAAATTTCCAGCAACAATAGGGAATGAAACTTCATACTTAGCTTTTAGTGTCACAGAGGATGACTAAAAGCAATTAATAACTACTGCATTGTTAGAAAGGCAGTTAAGAATGCACTGGACAAGATTTATTTTTCTGAGATGAGCTTGATTGTTCCCATGCAAGTACAGCAAATTTAAGCGATTGAGTGCCTCTCTGATGAGCTAAGAAGTAATATGCCATTTTCACAAATTTAATGGCAGAGTGCCACAATCTGGCAGGAGTTTTGGGATTTCCACATTTAATATTGCATCTGACCTTGGCTGAAGTTGCTGTAGCATTTATGCATGCCAAGTGCTATTTTCCTTGTTATTTCTATTTATGTTGTGCCTATGTATAAAGTCGAGATGTCACTTGCAGAATTAAGTGGTTAAAATGTAATGAGAAATTGTTAATAACTTGTGTTCCTTAGAATCTGAAAACAGTCCAGAAAAATCCATTTCAACTGATGCTAAGTCTTGGATTTGGCTAATTGATATGGAACGGACGATTTCCTTCACTGTCGGGCAATGTCTTGGAGAAATGCTGCAAGGTCCTATTTGTTCAGTGGAAGAAGGGAATTCTGCATACTGGCTACAAAGCCAACTCCTCAGCAATGGACTTGAAATTGACTCTGAGCAACTTGGTAGGCTAATGTTTTTATTTCCCTTGTACCATTTTAGAAATCTGTAACAGACTAAGTCTTGACCGAGCTTTCACCAAGTGTTTTAATCCACTACAATAAATGCTGCACGTTTTTCTGTACAACTTCACTGCAAGTAATTTTCATTAATATTTTGATCACCAAAGTATTTTGTTTCTAGTAATTGTTGTCGGTGAGTTCTCCCACATCAGCTCCTAGAGTGGATACAACACATGCGGTTAAACTCATTAGTGATGTGGGCTAATCAGTTTTGCATTAAATTTATCAAAAACGCTAGAAAAGTATTTAAAGAAAATAAATTAATTGGACATTTAGGCTATTACTTATTTTGAAACTGCAATGGTTTGGCATTCAGGTATCCCTCTAGAACATGGTGATTACACTTAAACACAAAATACTGTGAAGCATTTTCAGATATCCTGGGAGCATGGTTTGATGGTGGGAGACAGAGGGTGGTGGCGGAGGGTTGCTTTTAGGACTAGAAGCACGTGGCCAACGGTGTTCCACAGGGATCGGTATTGGGTACACTTTCATTTGTCATTTATATAAATAATTGAATGAGAATAGAGGAGGCATGGTTGGTAAGTTTTTATGGATGACCACTAAAATTTGTGGTATAGTGGACAGTGAAGAAGGATTTCTAAGATTACAAAGAGGTCTTGATCAATTGGGTGTCATGCGCTGAGTGGCGGTGGATGGAGTTTAATCTGGATAAATTGCGAGCAATTGCATTTTTGTAAAAACCAACAAGGGCAGGACTTATACAGTTAATGGTAGGGCCCTGAGTAGTGTTGTAGAGCAGAGACACCTAGGGGTTCAGGTACATAATTCTCTGAAATTTGCTTCACAGTTAGAGAGGGTGATTAACAAGGCATTTAGCACACTTGCCTTCATTGCTCAGAGCTTTGGGTATAGCAGTTGGGATGTCATGTTGAGGTTCTACAGGATGTTGGTGAGGCTTTTTCTGGAGTATGTGTGCAGTTTTGGTTGCCTTGCTATAAGAAGGATATTGTTAAATTGGAGAAGGTTCAGAAAAGATTTACCAGGATGTTGTCGGGAATGGAGGGTTTGAGTTTTAAAAATAGTTTGGATAGGCTGGAACTTTTCACTGGAGCTTAAAAGTTTGAGGGGTGACTTTTTGTAGAGGCTTATAAAATCATGAGGGACATAGATAATGTTAATAGCAAGGGTCTTTTCTCTCGGGTGATGAGTTCAAAACTGAGGGACATATTTTTAAGGTGAGAGGAGAAAGTTTTAAAAAGGACGAGGCCCAAACCTTTTACACAGTGGTTAGTATTTAGAATGAACTGCCAGAGAAAGTGGTGGATGCAGGGAAAGTTAGAACATTTAAGACATTTGGATAAGCACATGAATAGGAAAGGTTTGGAGGAATATGGGCAAAATGCAGGCAAGTGGGACTTGTTTAATTTGGGAACATGGTCAGTGTGCACTGGTTGGATCGAAAGGTCCATTTTCATGGTATATCACTCTATAACTCTATTAAATGTGCAATGAAAGTGTAGGACAGCCCTTTCCAAAATGGCTGTATTGGATCCATCATCATTTAGCTCTTTACAAAAAATATTCATCTTTCTTTTAAATTTACTGATATTATAGAGTTTCTATTTAACTATCTCTCACAGAGATTAGTCCATAAATTCACCATATGTTATATGAAGTAGTTAAATCTAAATGATCTACTTTCCCTCCACTAAGCTAGAGTCTACTTTCCTCTGTGTCAGTTTGTGGTTCTGTTGAGTAATTGCTATTGAGTATGATCAGTGTTGGAAAAGGTTGAGACTCCTGCAGCTTTCTTGACAGTTCCTGTTTTTTTTAAAAACCCAATGACGGGATGTGACTGTTTTTGACATAACCAGCATTTGTTGTCCATCCCAAATAGCCATTATGGTGACCTTGTGCTTGAATAAATGCAGCCCATGTGACATAGGTACACCCACAGTGCTGTGCGGAACAGCTTTTTAGGTTCTTGATATGACAATATTAAAGAATGGCGATATAGTTCCAAGTCAGTGGTGTATGGTGAATGGAGGGAAATTTGCAGACTGCTGTTTCCATGCATTTTTTTTTCCTATTCATTTGTGGGATGTGGGCATCGCTGGCTGGCCAGCGTTTCTTGCCCATCATCAGTTGCCTTTGAGAAGGTGGTGGTGAGCTGCCTTCTCGAACCACTGGAGTCCACCTGCTGTGGGTTGACCCACAGTGCCATTAGGGAGGGAATTCCAGGATTTTGACCCAGCGACAGGGACGGAATGGTGATATATTTCCAAGTCCAGATGATGAGTGGCTTGGAGGGGAACTCCAAGATGGTGGTGGTCCTATATATTTGCTGCCCTTGTCCTTCTAGATAGAAGTGGTCATGACTTTGGAAGGTGCTGTCTGAGGATCTTTGGTGAATTTCTGCAGTACATCTTGTAGATAATATAAACTGCTGCTACTGAGATTCGGTGGTGGGGTGGGGGGAGTGTATGCTTATGGATGTAGTGCCAATCAAGTCGGCTGCTTTGTCCTGAATGGTGTTGAGTTTCTTGAGTGTTGTTAGGGCTACACTCATCCAGGCAAATGGGGAGTATTGTATCGCACTCCTGACTTGTGCCTTGTAGATGGTGGACAGGCTTTGAGGAATCCGGAAATGATGAGCTATTTGCTGTAGTATCCCTAGCTTCTGACCTGCTTTTGTAGCCACTGTTTGTGGTGACTGCAGTTGAGTTTCTGGTCAGTCATAGCTGCCAGGGTGTTGATAATGGGGAATTCAGTGATGGTAACACTGTTGAATGCCAAAGGGCAGTGGTTAGATTGTCTCTTATTTGTGTTGGTCATAGCCTGGCAGTTGTATCGCGCGAATGTTACTTATTTGCCACTTGTCAGCCCAAGCCTGGATATTGTCCAGATCTTGTTGCATTTGAAAATGGACTGCTTCAATATCTGAGGAGTCACGCATGGTGCTGAACATTGTGCAATCATTGGCGAACATCCCTACTTCTGACCATAAAATGGAGGGAAGGTCATCGAAGCAGCTGAAACTGGTTGGGCCTAGGACACTACCCGGAGGAATCCTGCAGAGCTGTCCTGGAGCTGAGATGATCTGATGTCCAACAACCGCGACCATCCTCCTGTGTGTCAAGTATGACTCCAACCTCTGGAGAGTTTGCCCCCGATAACCACTGCTTCCAGTTTTGATAGGGGTCCTTGATGCCACACTCAGTTGAATGTAGCCTTGATATCAAGGGCTGTCACTCTCTCCACGCTTCTGGAATTCAGCTCTTTTGTCTATGGTTGAACCACTGTAATGCGGTCAGGAGCTGAGTGGCCCTGGTGGAAACCTAACTCGGCGTCACTGAACAGGTTTTTTTCTGAGCAGCTGCTGCTCGGTAGCACTGTTGATGACCCGTTCCATCACTTTACTGATGATTGAGAGAAGACTGATGAGGTGGTAATTGGCCAGGTTGGATTTGTCCTGCTTTTTATGAACGAGACATTACTTAGGCAATTTTTCACATTTTCAGGTAGATACCAGTGTTGTAACTGTACTGGAACAGCTTGGCTAGGGGAGCGGCAAGTTCTGGAGCACAAGTCTTCAGTACTATTGCTGGAATGTTGTCAGGGCGTGTAGCCTTTGCAATACCCAGTGTCTCTAACCGTTTCTTGATATTATGTGAAGTGAATCAACTTGGCTGAAGACTGGTATCTGTAATGCTGGGGACCGCTGGAGGAGGCCGAGATGGATCGTCAACTCGGCACTTCTGGCTGAAGATTGCCGCGATTGATTGATCCATTGATTGTGGGATCCCTTAGCTCCATCTATCACTTGCTGCTTATGCTGATTTGCATGCATGTGGTCCTGTTTGGTGGCTTCACCAAGTTGACACCTCATCTTCAGTTAAGTTTGGTGCTGCTCCTGGCATGCCCTCCTACATTCTCTAGTATTGATCCCCTGGTTTGATGGTAAAGATTGAGTGGGGAATATGCTGGGCCATGAGGTTACAGATTGTGCTGGAGTACAATTCTGCTGTTGATGGCCCACAGCGCCTCATGGTTATCCAGTCATGAGTTGCTCGACCTATTGGAAGTCTATCCCATTTAACACAGTGATAGTGCCACACTACATGATGGAGGTTATTCTCAACGTGAACGCAGGTCTTTGCCTCCACAAGGATGTGTGGTGGTCACTCTAACCAATACTGTCATGGACACATGCAACTGCAGCTGGCAGATTGGTAAGGATGAGCTCATCTGCCCCTTGTATTTTTAACTGGTTAAGCTTGGTGCTTTGGAAGGTGCTGGCAAAAGAAGCTCTTCCCTCTTTTAGCATTATTCAATTCTCTCTTCTTTGCCCTTTCATCTGTGGGACAGTAGTCATGTACATCTTGCTTGCTGTGCACATCCAGAATATAATCTCCACTCACGCTACTAATACATGTGAATTTGAAAATTTGGTTTTTGGTTTTGAAGCATGAAAGCTTTGTCAGCTGTATATTTAACTCTGGAATATATCAAATGAGGAACAGTAAATCATAGTTCTATCTGCTCTAAGCTGATTGACCTACTCCTGCTTGTATTTCCTGTGTCCCTTTGTTCGAACAATGTTTGCAACGTTCTTATCTTTATAGCAGAAAATTATTTTATTTTGCATGTATTGTTTCCTTGCTGCAGATTTACTCATGAATTGTCTCACTGGAAAAGCGTTGGCTGGCTCTATGGAACGGAAGTCTTTTGAGTTCCGAGTTTCTGAAGACACTGCAGCACTTATAGATATCGCATTGGGTACCTCAGTAGAACCAGGGTACAAAATCTGGAGGAGAATGCAGGTTTACGCCAACAGCAGTGGTAATTTTTGACTCTTGCATAATTTCATCCAATGCTGTTTTATCGCTTGTCTAGCTTTTCTGAACGTTCTATTGTTTTGATGCAATTTATTATGAATTAAATAATTAGTTGAAGCGAGCTTTGATAGATTTAATCTCATTATGAAATGTTGCTATGTGATTCCCTTTTAAATGGAGCTGAAATTATAGCTGGCTGTGAACAGGAAAGGTAGTTAGTAGCCTAAGTTTAGTTAAATAATATTTTGTATAATTGGATCATCTTTGTGCTACTGTGAAAAAGACGTGTTTTGTGCTTAGCAGATTAAGTTGAGTTGTGTATCTGTCAATTTAGTTATTCGATAATTTTGAGCAGCTCCGAACTGGGCCTTCATGAAGCAATGGGGGCCATTAGCAAGAACAAAATTGTATTCTGATTTAAACTATAATACTATTGCCCAGTATTTCCTTTACTTTTATCATTACCATTGAATTGGGGAAATCCACCCTGCTTCACTGAGGAGGGCAGAATAGCAATAAGCAAACTGAAAAATGACATAGCAAGTTGGATCCTCAAACAAAAGACTACTCAAGCTAAAAAATGAAACCAGAATGCAATGGACATTGTTAAGTGGTCCCATGACCAATAGATCAGATCAAAGTTCTTCAGTTCTGTTGCTGCCAGTCATGAATGATAATGGAAAATTAAATAATGAAGTGGAGGAGGAGGCTGCACAAATATTCCCATGGTGGAGGAGCCCAGCATATCAGTGCAAACTATAAGGCTGAAGCATTTGCGATCATAATAAGCCAGAAGTGATTGGATGATTCATCTCAGGCTCCTCCTGAGGCCCTCAGCATCCAATATGGCAGCTCCCACAAGTTTGATACATCCCAAATGATATCAAGAGACAACTGAAGGCACTGGTTACAGTGAAGGCTCTGGGCCCCAACTATATCCTGGCTGTAGTACTGATGGTTTGTGCTCTTGTACTAGCCTTGTCCCTAGCCAAGCTGTTCCTATAGTTACATCAGTAGCATCTGTGTAGTAATGTGGAAAATTGGCCATGTATATGCTGTCCACAAAAATCGATGGTTTGTTTCTCTTACCCACATGCTACAGATGTGCCCGTGTGCACATAAAATACCATCACCATCACTGCTCTTCCTTGGCAGCTAACATTCTGTCCCATGAGTTTAACTTCTGCCATGCCAAATAATAAAATTGGATTTATTAAATCTGGTTATTTATTGGCTGGGGTCAAGAATTTATCATGAAATTTATACAATGAAGGCTGCTTCAAATGAGCTAATTTGATTCGTAGTTGAGAAGTTTTCTTCAGTTAAGAATTGCATAAGAAGTATTTTGATTACATTAAACAATTGTTTGATTTGCTTTGTTTCAGAATGGGAACATGGTACAAATGGAGATCATTTGTTGGACACAGTGTCCCGTTTTGTTCTTGCAGTATTACTCAAGCACACAGGATTATTTCAAGAGGCGTGCAAAGATGACCGGTAATTTCAATAAATGTAAAGAAGAACAGGCAGGCCCTCTGATGGGGAGAAAGGAAGGACCTCAAATTTAAAGTTTTCTGGTTGACTAAAAAATAGAGATTAAAATGAAATAAATTATGATAAATGGCTTTTTCATAACACAGTAAAGAACCAAGCTGAATACCAAAAGTACAGAGGAGGGCTTAAAAAAAAATCCAAGTGGGTGAAGGTTCATTGCACTCCCTCAATGGCAATGATATCTTTCCTGAAAACAGGAGACCAAAACTGCACGCACCACTCCAGGTGCAGACTTACTAAGCTTGAATCAAGACTTCATTACTCCTGTACTCAAATCCTCTTGCAATAAAGGTCAGCATTCCACCAGCTTTCCTAAAAGCTTGTTGCAGCTGTATGTTAGCTTTCAGTGATTTATCAATAATGTCAACTAGGTCCCTTTGTACACCCACCCCTTCTATCTTCTCACCATATAAATACTCCATACATCTGTTTTGACTACTGAAGTGGATAACATCACATGTTTCCACATGATATTCCATCTGCCACGTTCTTGCCCATTCACTAAGTCTGTCCAGATTCTCCTGCTTTGCATCATCTTCAAGCAATTCATTGATGTATATTAGGAACAATTGAGCCCAAGTACTGATCCATGAGTACTCCAAGTCACAGCCTGCCAACAAGAGAATGACCCATTTATTCCTCCTGTTTTCTTTCTGTTAGTCAATCATTTAATCCAGGCCAGTACATTACTTCCTATCCCATGTGCTTGAATTTTGCTAAGCAGCTTCCTATGGGGTCTTTATCAAAACCTATCTGAAAATTTAAGTCTGGTGGTTTTCCCTCATCAATTTTGTTAGTAGCATCTTTAAAAAATAAACTCTCAATGAGTTAGTTAAGCACATAATTTCCCATTTGCAAATCAATGCTGACTATGCCCAATCAGATCATTTTCAACCACCTGTCCATCCTTTGTAATAGATTCTACCAATTTCATGAGTTCTGATGTAAGACTAACTGGTCTATAGTTCCCTGTTTGGTTTTTCTTGTGCTCCCTTCTGAAGTAGTACAATGACATTTGTACATTTCAATTCACAGGAATCATTCCAGAATCTGTAGAAATTTAAATGATGCATCAATGCGTTGACATCATAGCCACCTCCTTTAACAATCTGAACGTAGATCAACAGGTCCTGAGGATTCATCAACTTTCAGCCCTATTAACCTCCTACTGCAAACTTTTTACTGATACTAATTTCCTTTAACCTCCATTCTCTCTAGCCACTTGGATTTCAAGTGTTTGGAGACTTCTGGTATCTTCCTCAGTGTAGACAAACATAAAGCAATCATTTAGCTTCTCTGCCGTTCCTGTATTCACCATTATAAGCACAATCATGAGAATTCATAACTGAGCTATGAGTCCATAAGATATAGGAACAGAATTAGGCCATTCAGCCAATCAAGTCTGCTCCATCATTTGATCATGGCTGATATGTTTCTCAACACCATTCTCCTACCTTTTCCCCATAACCCTTTTATTCCCTTATTAATCAAGAACCTATCTATCTATCTCATCTTAAATATACTCAATGAGTTGGCCTCCACAGCTCTGTGGCAATGAATTCCAGAGATTCACCATGCCCTAGCTGAAGAAATTTTTCCTCATTTCAGTTCCAAAGGGTCTTGCCTTCACTGAGGCTGTGCCCTGGGTCCTAGTCTGTCTTCATAGTGGAAACATCTTCTCCATCTCCACCTCCACCCTATCCAGGAATACCCTCTGTATTCTGTCAATTTCAATGAGATTTCCCCTCATCCTTCTATTGAGTACAGACCCAGAGTCCTCAACTGCACCTCATTTGACAAGCCTTCGCTTCTGAGATCATTCTTGTGAACCTCCTCTGGACTCTATCCAAGGCCAGCATGTCCTTTCTTAGATATGGGGCCCAAAACTGCTCTCAATATTCCAAATATGGTCTGACTAGAGCCTTATACAGCCTTAGCAGTACATTCTGCTCTTGCATTCTAGGCCTCTCGAAATGAATGCCAACATTGCACTTGTCTTCCTAACTGCCAAGTGAACACCTCCCACCTCATCTTTAGCTTAGAATAAGCCTGGCATTTGAGTACAAAGAATCACAACTTGAGAAATATATTAGAGGATGTCTGACCATATGGAATCACAATCGCTTTATTGTTTGAAGACAGCAGTGATAACAGGAAAAATAAATCATAGGATGGGGTAAATAATTTTTTTTTTAAATTAATGATGTTCCTTTACCTCAGAAGCATGATACAGGCATATTTCCATATGTCACATTGTTGGCACAATTCTTAGGTAAAGGCCACATCTTTTTATTTTTATTTATTTTTGGGTTGTGGATCATAATGAGAAAAGAATTCTGATTTGAACCAAGGAAACTGTCAAATGAGATGTTACAGTTTTTCCAATGAGTTCCAGAAACAACTACTTTTGCATTGCATTGTATTTGTACCATTATCTTGTTTAACAGTGAAGGGAGGATTGTTGGATTCATCAGTGTTGTGTGGATGTGTTCAGGACAGCTTTGCCCGGAACTAGTCTGTTGACTTTTTTTTACAGTCAGGGTCAATTGTGGGAGTCGGGAGTATTCATCATGGTAGCACCTCTCTGGCTCCTGGGCAGTTGGACAGTCTGTGTGTGCATGATACAGTCTCCAGACTCTTAAATAGGCAGCATTTTCTTTCTCCTTGAAAAGAAGTCACAAAGAATTGGAGATAGCTGTTGTCTCTCACCATTTGCCTAAGCTGCTGCCTCTAACAGCAACCAAAAGATTGAGCAATTAGTGTGCGAACTGCCTTGTGTTTTCAGTAAGGAACTGAAAGGACTGTGAAAGAACAAGATCAGAAGGACTTGGAAGAAGTGAAAGAACACCTCATTGAATCCTGTGGACTGGTGCAATTGAACTATTTTCCCTTTTTTTTTCTCCTTCTTCTATCCATAGCATCTAATGTTTCTTTTGCTTGTTCTGTCCGTACATGTATGTAGAGATTTTAAGAAGAGATACATTTTGAGTTGAAGAGTTACAAGTTATTTTTTGTTTGCCTATTATTAAAACTGATTTAATTATAATAAGTATTACTTGTTTAATACTGAAACCTGATTAGTTTATTTTATGTTGACCTGAGATAAGTAGGAAAGTAGGGTCTTTATGTGATGACCCCAGGAGTACTTTAACTCAAGTAGCAGTGCAGTTTCACGACACTTTCATAGAGCATAGAACAGCACAGGCCCTTCAGCCCACGATGTTGTGCCGACCTATTATTCTGCTAAGATCAGTCTACCCTGCATACCCTACGTTTTATATCCTTCATGTGCCTAACCAAGAATTGCTTAAAAGTCTCCAAAGTATTTGACTCCACTACCACTGCCGGCAGGGCATTCCACACGCCCACCACTCTTTCATACATGTGGATGTTATTTGTTGCTCATAACTAACTGCCCTTGAAATAAGTCGTTTGCTAGGCCTTTTGGAGGATAGAAAAAAGAGCAGTACATTATTGTGGGTCTGAATTACATGTAGGCCAAATCAGGTGAGGATGAATGGTAAATGAGATGTGCTTTTTTTTTTAAAAGAATCAATGATTGTTTAGTCGTCACCATGACTGACAATAGCTTTTAGTACCAAATTTTATTAATCGCTTAAATTCCACCAGCTGCCAGGATGAGATTTGAACGCATGTCCCCATAGTATTAGCCTGGGCCTCTGGATTAGTATTCCAGTGACATTATGACCACTCCCTGGTCTTCCTCTGTCTTTTGAAATATACTGGGCTTACAATTTCATTCAAAAACAAATCATTTGCTAGATGCTTCTTATTGTATTTGCAGGTGCCACCCCAGTGAGGGACTTGTGGAAGTTTATCAATGTGTCTACAAGGTTAGAAGTACACTACTGTCTCAAAAGAATGTTGTCTATAATACTGCAGAGGTGCAGCTGCCCACTTGGCCCAGACAGGTAAAAAATTAACCTAATGTTGATATATATATATACACACACGTTTGAGCATATAAACAAGGAACAAGAGAAAGCCATTTGGCCCCTCGAGCCTGCTCCACCATTTAATAAGGTCATAGCTGTTCCGATTATAACCTCAAATCTGCATTCCTATTTTCCCCAGACAACTGTTTAGCCCCTTACTTTTCAAGAATTTATCCACCTATGCCTTATAAAAAGTATTCAAAACTATAGTTACACCCTCTTTTGAGAAAGAGAGTTCTGAAGACTTGCAACTTTCTGAGAGTAAAATTTTTGCCCCATTTTGGTTTTCAATGGGTGACCACTCACCTTTTAAGTAGTGATTCCTAGTTTGAGATGCTCATAAGAAAAAATGTCCTCTCCACATCAATCCTCTCAAGACTCCCATATGCATATTTCAATCAAGTCATCTCTTGCACTTCCAAACGCCAGGAGACATGAGCCTAGCCTGTTCAACCTTTCATCATAAGATAACCTGCTAATTGCAGTTTTAGTATAGTAAATGCTTGAATCGTCTCCAATGCATTGATGTCCTCTTTTAAATAAAGTGACCAATACTATCCATAGTACTCCCAGGTGTAATCTCACCTGTGCCCTGTATAACTAAAGCATAATCTACCTACTTTGTATTTGCTTCCCCTCATGGTAAATGATAAGCCATCTTCTCTTCAAGCCCAACCTCTCCAAACTGTCCTGTACCTGAAATTTCTCATCACTGGCACCATTCCTGTAAATCTTGTCTGTACTCTCTTCAATCCTTCCTGTGGTGTGGAGCTCAGTACTCCTGGTGATGTCGTGCAAGTGTCTTGGAAAAGTTCAGCATAACCTCCTTGCTCTTATATGCTGTGTCTGGTTAATAAAGCTTAGGATAGTATAAACTTTATTAACTGCTCTCTCCACCCATCCGGCTACCTTCAGTGAACTATGCAGTACTCCTATACCCATATCCCTCTAATCCTATACCCCAGTAAGTATTGTACCCTGTATTTGTGTTCTGTGTCCATATTCTTCATATAAAATGCATCACATTACAAGTCTCTGCATTGAACTTCACGTATACCACCTATCTGCTCACTTTACCGACTGGTTTGTCCTTATTGGAGTTCTACAGTGTCCTCCTTGCAGTTTACAATTTTCATGTCATCTGTAAACTTTGAAATTTATTCCCTGCGCACCAAGGTCTAGAGGATTAATATATATCAGGAAAAAAAAGTTCAAATTCTGACCCTCAGGTAACTCGGTTTCAAACCCTCCTTCAGTTTGAAAAATATCTTTCGAGTGCAGTTTTTCCAATTGCTCAGCCCATTTTGTATCCATATTGCTACTCTCCTTTTTATTCCACGAGATACAACCAACATAATCAAAGACCCCTCCCACCCCAGTTATACCCTCTACCACCCTCTTCTATTGGGCACAATATATAGAAGTTTGAATACATGTATGAATAGATTCAGGAACAGCTTCTTCCCCGCTGTTATCAGACTCTTGAACAGACCTCTCAAATGCTAATTCTGATCTCTGCACCTTCTCTGCGGTTGTAACATTGTATACTGCCCTCTGTTCTGCTACCCTGATGCATTTTGTATGATACGATCTGCCCATGTAGCACGCAAAACAACACACTTCAATGTATCTTGTGGCAATAAATCAATCAATCAAGTCTATCCTGAATAATTGTTTCTAAAAGCCTCCCCAGCTCTGAATTAAACTCACTGGCCTATAATTGCTGGATTTATCCTTACAAAAGTTTTTGGACAAGGATCAATGTCTGCAATTCTCCTGTTCTCCGACATCTCTCTCCACTCTAGAGAAGACTGAACGATTGCGGCCAAGGACCCTGCAATTTCTGCTTTTGCGTCTTTCAACATCCTTGGGTGCATTCCATCTAGCTCTGATTTCTTGTCACTTCTTTCTAATCAATATCGAACCATTCTAGTTTTTCCTGCTCAGTCACCATCACCACTTTCAGGGCAGTCAAGAATGGGCAATAAATGCTGACCTAGCCACTGAAGACCACATAGGAATAGGAGTTGGCCGTGCAGCTCCTTGAGCCTGCTCCACCATTCAGTAAGATCATAGCTGATCTGTGGCCTAACTCCATTTGCCTGCTTTAGGCACATATCTCTTGATACCCTTGCTTAATAAAAATTTATCCGTCTCAGATTTAGATTTAACAATTGAATTAGCATTGATTACTCTTTGCATGTAGAAGTGCTTTCTAACTTCTGTCTTGAATGATCCAGCTCTAATTCTGAGACTGTCCCTGGTCCTAGAATTATCAACCAGTGGAAATATTGTCTACCCTGTCATTTCCTGTTAATATCCTGAATATCTTGATTAGATCACCCATTAACCTTCTAAATTCTATAGAATAAAGACCTAATTTATCTAATCTTCCCTCCTAACTTCACCCTTGAAGTCCAGGTATCATGCTAGTAAACCTCATTGAACTCCCTCCTCGGTTTTCCTTCCTAAGGTGTGGTGCCCAAATCTGCTGTCAGTACTATACATGAGGCCTAACCAGCATTTTGTGTAACTGCAGCATACCGTCTGCATCCCTATACTGCAGCCTTTTGGATATGAAAGCCAGTATCCCATTAGTTGTCTTGATGATTTTCTACACGTGTTTGTGGCATTTTAAAGAGCTATGCAACTGAACCCCTAAATCTCTCAACATCCACTGTGCTTTACTTTGCAACAATTTTAGAAGGCACAATTTTATGATGTTGTCAACATTTTACAATGCTGCCCAATTTTTTTGTTGTAGGATTGATTCCTTGGATGTCATAATAAAATGTCTTGAAGGGATCAGGCAACCTTGTGTTTTTTCTCTATTGGAAAGCAGCATTCTCAAAGTTTGAGCAGGGAATCTAAAAACTAATGAAAAATGATTACATGTACTACATTTGAAAGCAATAATTATTTAGTATATTAAGTACGTTATTAATTTTTAGCTTTCAGATGTCTCCAATAATGTTGAAGATGAACCGAGAGAAAGCTGTAGTACCACTGAACAAACAGCAAACATTAGACAATCAGAGGAACCACAATACAACCCGGAAAGAGAGATTGTGCTATTGGACACGGAGGATTTCCCAAAGATAAGCAGTGTGTAAACGGAGATATCATTATTTGCCAGTTTTATAACCTTTTAATTTGTCTTTCAGAAAGACTGAAATTATTATCCTGTATGTAAAAATGAATGCCCACAGTATGTTTAGCTAGCTTTAAAGAAAATCCATCTGTAAGTGATGTTCTTTAAACTCTCAATGTTTTATTTTCTTGGTGTGATTATAATAATGACATTCCTTGATTATTAAGATGGAATCTGTCAGCCAGAATATGCGTTTGTTAATGCACTCCTGAAACTTACAATGTAAAATCTGCATTTAAGTTTACATGATTTTTATATAGTGATTTAATATGGAGGAAAATATAAAACATAAAAAATATTTTTAAGTATTAGGATATTAATTCTTCTTTTCCCATATGACAGAGGTTTTAGAGTGTTTCCTAGCTCGAAAGGCTGCTTGTCATCATGAAAATGAAACTGTATATGAATACTCGGGCACAAGTAGCCGACCTAACAGTACAGGCAGCGTGGAAATTCCAGAAGCCGAAAATACTCCGAAAGAAAAAAGAAGGGATTCAGAAGAGCAATATTCCTTTATATCCATGTGCCACTATGTAATTTTACGCTGTGCCTTCCTCATTCTTGGAGTACGGGCCGTATGGCTGGGAAAAGGATGGCAAGAAGAGCCAACATTAGCTAAAACTAGGTCAGTCATTAAGATTATTCCTTTTCCTCTCCCCTACACCTTTATTTCTTCCTTTCTTTCATCCATTTTCTCTTTATTCTTTTCTTTTCACTTTTGCTTCCTCTCTTGTTTTATTCCATCTCATTTTAGAAGCCAAGATGAATCATGGAAAATTCTTATTTTCTAAATGTAACAAAAGAAGAAAAATTAATTGTAAAATGTTGTAGCTTTGTAATGCCAAACTTGGCTTTTAAATTTTGTTTGAAGGATAAAGGGCAGGCTGGAGAAGACAAGAAGCTCTATATTTGAAGGCACAGAAAATAATTTGCGTTCCTTTGAATGCTTTCTTATTTAATGCCATAACACATACATGCTTCATACTTGGAAATTCGAATCATAGAATCCCTACTTTGTGAAAAGAAGCTATTTGGCCCATCAAGTCCATACTGACCCTCTGAAAAGCTTACCACCCTCTCCCTCTAACCCTGCATTTACCATGGCTAACCTGCTAATGTGCAAATCTTTGGACTGTGTGACGAAACCTGAGCACCTGGAGGAAACCCATGCAGCTACAGGGATAATGTGCAAACTGTACACAGACAGTCACCCAAGGCTGGAATCAAACCTGGGTCCCGAGCACTCTGAGGCAGCAGTGCTAACCGCTGAGCCACTGTTCGGTGCTTTTGTATTTTTTTTTTAGAAAGTATTTTAAATAGCTACTTACTCTTTTTTTCTCGTAGGAAAGGAAGTTCTATGCAAGAGGAGCAGTCATCCCGGGCAAGACTCAGACAGAATCAAAGTGACTGTGATGCAAGGAAGCAAGTGAATAAAGAAGTATGTCTTCCACAATCAGACATTTTCTGCAGTTTTCAAACTATAGTGGGAAAAATCAATTTTTGTCAACCTCCCTTTATTTACTGAGCTGCTGCCTTATTAATTGCCTTGACTTATTAGGAAATAAACATTCACATATTAACTGTATTAACCTCATTACAAATGGTCCTAGATACATTAATGGGGTTAAAGGCTGACAAATCCTGAGGAGCTGATAATCTTTATCCCAGGAAGTGGCCCTGGAAATATTGGATGCATTGGTGGTCACCTTTCAAAATTCAGTAGGGTGTCAAATGTACCTCATGATTTAAAAAGAGGGAGAGAAAACACGGAGAATCACAGACCAGGTATCCTAACATGGGGCAAATACTAGAGTCTGTTATAAAACAGAACACTTGGAAAGCATTAACAGGATTAGACAAAGGCAGCATGGATTTATGAAAGGGAAATCACCCGAAACATCAGCTTTCCTGCTCCACTGCTCTCTGGCCTGCTGTATTCCTCCAGCTCCACACTTTTTGTTATATCTTACAACTAATCTTCTGGATTTTTTGAGGATGTATCTATGAAAATAGAGAAGGAACAAACAGTGGTTTTTAGATTTCAAGAAGCCTTTTGATAAAATTTCATGTACGACACTAGTGGGCAAATTTAAAGCACACAGCTTTGGAGGTAATATACTGACATGGATTGAGAACTGGTTGACAGTCTGTCAACCAAAGTCGGAATAAATAGATCATTTTCTGGTTGGCAGGCAGTGACTAGTGGTGTACCACAGGGATCAATGCTTGGGCCCTAACTATTTGTGATATAGTTAAATGACTTGGATGAGGGAACCAAATACAATATTAACAAATTAGCTGAGGTCACAAAACTAGGTAAGATTGAGTTGTGAGCACAAGGAGGCTTCAGGGTGATAAACTGAGTTTGTCAGAAAACACATGGCAGATGCAGTGCAACATGGATAAATGTGAAGTTATACACTTCAATGTGAAAAGTAGACTGTTATTTAAAAGGTGATATGTTGAGAAATGAGTGTACAACAGGATCTGCATGTTCTTGTACACCAGTCAATGGAAGTAAACAGGCAGGTGCAGCAAGCAATTTGGAAGGCAAATGGTATATTGGCCTTCATTGCAAGAAGAGCTAAGTTCAGAAGTAGGGGTGTTTTACCAAAGTTATATACAGTCTTGATGAGACCACACTGGGAATATTTTGTACAGTTTTGGTCTCCCTACCTAAAAGAGAATATACTTGCCATCGAGGGAGGCAGTGAAGGGTCAATAGGCCGATACCAGGGATGTCAAGACTGTCAAATGAGGAGTGGTTGGTTCTACTAGGTCTGTGTTCAAGAGTGTTTAGAAGAATGAGAGAGGATCTGATTGAAACCTATAAAATTCTACTAGAGCTAGACAGACGAGATGCCAGAAGGATGTTCCCCCGGATTGGGAGTCGAGAACCAGAAGGTCATAGACTGAGCATGGGGTAGGTCATTTAGTGCTGAGATGAGAAAATATTTCTTCACTGAGTGATCAGTCTGTAGGATTTGCTACCGCAGAAGATTGTGGAGGATGGATTAGTAAGTATATTCAAGCTGTTAATGTAAATTTGAAACAGTTACGATTCAAATATTTATCATATGAACACATGAAATAGGTGCAGAAATAAATCGAGCAGCTCCTCAGGGCTGCTGCACAATTTGGTAAGATCATGGCTAACCTGCTGTGTTTTGAAATTCACATTTCCATCTCATCCTTATAACTTTGGATTCACCTGCCTAATAACTATCCGTCCACCTCTATCTTAAAGAAAACATAATGACCCTGCTTCCACCGCCTTTTGGGGCAGAGGTCCAGTGTTGCACAACCCTCTGAGACAAGAAATTTCTCCCCATTCCTGTTCCAAAAAGATGACTCTTTAATATTAAACAGAGTCCCTTAGTTCTGGACTCACCAAAAAGTGGAGGCATCCTTACCAAGTCCAACATGTCAAGACCATTCAGGACCTTTTGCACTTGAATCAAGCCTCCCCTCACTCTGAGACAAAAAAAAACTCTGAGGAAGGGTCACTCAACCCGAAGCATTAACTCTGATTCTCCCCACAGATGGTGCCAGACCTGCTGAGCTTTTCCAGCAATTTCTATTTTTGTCTGTGATTCACAGCATCTGCAGTTCTTTTGATTTTTAGTATTTGACTCCCCTCACTTTCAGTGGAAATATGGAAGCAAACTCAACCTGTCAAACCTATCTTCTAAAACAACCCATTCATTCCAGGTATCAATCTAGTGAATCTCCTCAGAATCACCTCCAATGCATTGACATCTTTCCTTAAGGTAATCAAACTGCATACTATATTCAAGATGATTGATAGTAGGAGACAGAGGGTGGTGGTGGAGGGTTGCTTTTCAGACTGGAAGCCTTTGATGATTGTGTGCTGCAAGGATCAGTGCTGGGTCTGCTGCATTTTGTCATTTATATAAATCATTTGGATGTGAATATAGGAGGTATGGTTAGTAAGTTTGCAGATGACGCCAAATTTGGTGGTGTAGTGGACAGTGAAGGTTATCTCAGAGTACATTGGGATCTTGATCAGATGGGCCAGTGCACTGAAGAGTGGCAGATAGCATTTAATTTAGATATATATGAGGTGTTGCATTTTGATGGGGCAAATCAGGGCAGGAATTACACACTTAAAGGTAAGGTCATGGGGAGTATTGCTGAACAAAGATGTTGGGATGCAAGTTCCTAGTTTCTTGAAGGTGGAATTGCAGGTTGACATGGTAGTGAAGAAGGCTTCTGGTACACTTAGCTTTATTGGTCAGTGCATTGAGTATAAGAGTTGGGAGGTCAATTTGCAGGTGTACAGGACATTGTTTAGACCACTTTTAGAATTTGGAGGTATATAAAATCATTAAGGGCATGGATAGGATGAATAGCCAATGAATAGCCAAGGTCTTTTCCTAGGGTAGAGAGTCCAAAACTGGAGGCCACAGATTTAAAAGGAACGTAAGGGGCAATATTTTAATGCAGAGGGTAGTGCATGTACAGAATGAGCTACCAGGGGAGGTGGTGGAGACAGGTACAATTGCAACATTTAAATGGCATCTGGATGGGTACATGAATAGGAACGGTTTAAAGGGATATGGGCCAAATGCTGGCAAATGGGACTAGATTAATTTAGGATTTCTGGTTGGCATGGATGAGCTGGACCGAAGGGTCTGTTTCCATGCTGTACGTCTCTGACTGTCTGGTCTATGATTGCTCTGTGTAACAGAAGCATAACATTCTTTTGTAATCAATTCCTCTCATATTAAAGGATAGCATCCCATTTGCCACCTTGATTACATGCAATACCTGCGTGCTAACTTTTTGTAATTCATACATTAGAATTTCCAAAACTCCATGAAGTTCTGAGGAAGGGTCACTGGACCCGAACGTTAGCTCTGTTTTTTTCTTTACGGATGTTGCCAGACCTGCTGAGCTTTTCCAGCAACTTCTGTTTTCGTCCATGACCTTTGAATTTTGCATTTCTTCAGTTCTCCATTTAAATAATATTCTGCTTCTTCATTAATTTTTTTTAACCACAGTGAGCAATTTCACATTTTCCCACATTATACTTCATCTGCCACATTTTTGCCCATTCACTCGGTCTTTCTGCAAAATCCTTCATCTTCAGATTAAACTTTCCTATCTATCTTTGTGTTGTCTACAAATACTTTCACTCCCCTCATTTACATCAGTGATGTATGTAGTAAAAATTTGAAGCCCTAGCGCAGACCGTTGCAAGACTCCACTTGTCACATACTTCCAAATAGCCAAAGATGCATTTATGCACGTCCTCCGTTTTCTGCCAGCCAGCCAGTCTTCTAAGCTAATCTTCTATCCATGCTCGTACGTATTTCCCCACACACCATGAACTTTTTACTTTCTGCAACAATCCTTTGGTATACTAAGTTTTTCTCCTTCCTTTCATTTTGTGTTAAATTCAGCTGAAGGAAACACTTGTATGTCCATTCCCATTAAATATTTGGGGCAGAAAATCCCTCGGGTATACTGCAAATTGGGCAATGTTTGATCAACTGGCTCTTATGTTGACCACTTGTTATTCAGTTTTATTATCATTAGTAGAATTGAATATCAGGCTCTGATCTGATAACTGACCACCATTTCTTCTCCACCTGTTGCCACAACCCAAGACAAATTTCTATCCATTAGTTTCTTTCTGTAAAACTTGGCCTAAATTTGGCATGCTGCAGATGATTTTTTATTGCTTCATGGCAACACTGTTGAGCAGGCAAAATCTTCTGTTCTGAATCTAAATTGATTGTTCTGTATTAGTTTTTTTTTATTATATAGTTATTGAAAACTGGCAAGACCAGCCATAAAACAAGGTACAAGAGCAGGCCAGAGATTAGGATTTGTGCAGCAAGTAACTCCTCTCCTTACTCCGTGAAGCCTATCCAACCTCGAAAGCACAAGTTAGGAGCGTGATGGAAAAGTCTGGCAGGACAGTAGGATGCTTAAAGAAACAGAGATCTTGGGGTCCTTGTCCATGGTTTCCTGAAGACAGCATGGCAGGTTAATGGGTTAGCTAAGAAGGTATATGGGACATTTGCCTTTATCAGTCAAAGTCTGGATTGCAAGAAAAGGAAGGTTATGTTGGAGCTGTACAGAACTTGTGTTAGGCCACAACTGGAGTATCGTGTGCAGTTCTGGTCAAGAATGAGATTGTAATAGAGGGGGTACAGGGAAATTCACTAGATTGTTGCCTGGGATGGAATATCTTAGCTGCAAAGAGAGCTTGGGTTGTTTTCTTTGGAGCAGTGAGTTTGTGGTCCTGACACGTGTGTTTAGGATTAAGGGGCATGGACAGGGTGGAGAGAAATTAACTGCCCCTTAAATGAATGGTCAATAACAAGGGGGCATAATTTTAAGGTGAAGGACAGAAGGTTTAGGGGGGAATTTGAGGAAATATTTTGTCACCCAGAAGGTGGTGGGGAATTGGAATGAAGTGCCTGGGAGGGTAGTTGAGGCAGGTAACTTCACAACCTTTTTAAAAGTACTTGAATGAGCGCTTGCAATGTCATAATATTCAAGTAAAATGGGATTAGTGTATTTTTGGCAGTATGCATGAGCCGAAGGGCCTTTACTGTCCTCTGATGCTATGACTTCCACTTGCCTGATTTTTTTTTGCAGCTCCAGCAACACTTAAGAAGCTCAATACCAACAAATGCAAAGCAGTCCACTTGCTTGGTACCCTATTCACCACCTTCAACATTGACTCAGATCACCTTTGACACACAATGGCAACAATTTATACTATGTACAAGTTGCGCTGCAATAACTCTCAAAGCCTCAGTTGACACACCTTCCAAACCTGTGACCTCTACTACTTAAGAAGACAAGTGCTGCAAATGTATAGGAAAACAACTACCTCCAATCCCCCTCCAAGTTATAATTGATGCTAATTAGAGATAAGATAGTTGTCGCTAATTGTAAAACTGATATTGATGGATAGAATAATTGTTTATATAACTAAACTTTTCAGCATATACTGTTAGTAAAAATTCCTCAATCCTCTGAGCTTTTTTTTATTGGCTGTTTAATGCCAGAATACTTGTCCTTTTTCGTTACTATTGTTGAGATTTGTTGATTCCTTACATTAACCACCCAGTTGCTATCTATTTCATTCCTTGGGCATATTTCTTGATGAGCATGATTTATATCCTAATTGAAAAGTGAATTGTTGGCACTCAACTTTCTCCTCCATCTAGATTACAAAAGTAGTTGATTTTTCTGTTACAGAATTTTGTAATTGCTTTAATCATTCAAAATTTCTTTCGTATTGTGCATTCTAGTTTTCTGAAGGTCAGTCAAGAATGCAGTCAAGATCATCTGAGCACACATTAGGTATGATTTCCAGGTGCTTGTTAACTTTTTCTTCCTTGTCACTACAATTTTCAAATAATTAGCTTATCAAAAAATTGATTCAATTAAGCTTGTTAATAGTACATGGTCAATCTGAAGCTTCTCCCAAATGGACTATACAAGTATAAGGAGGGATTTTAAGGGCATTTGATTATAAAACATCACAAGTTGCACTAATTCTGTCTAAATCAATGACAGCATCTCAAATGAAACTACTTATAATTACAAGTAATGTCACAATACTGATAGGAAGAATTGCATTGGAAATGAAGTCCCACTGTTCCACAAGTCTTCAAATATAAATGTGGCCAATTTGTTCACGAAGGTGATTAATGTCTGACTAACTATAAAAGAAACTCTCACCAGGTTTTGTCAATGAACAAACAAATTAAAAATTCATTATAACAAGCTTATCATCTAATGCTGCAAACTGGATTACTAATTATTAAATATTGCAAACTTGCAAGCTTCAACTACACACCTTTCAAATTCAAACATGCACACATCCATTCACAAATAGAATGGATGTGATGGATCAGACAAGCAGTTTTGCAGAAATAATGTGGATGGAAAGAAAAGACAAAAGGACACAAAGTCTGTCGATCAAGAGTCCAAACCACAAGGGAAAATGAGGTGACGAATATTTCTGTTGCCATGCAGTTAATTTGTGTTAATAACAGCTGACTGGCCATTCACTTCCTGCAACAACACAGTAACAGCATTGATGTTCCTGACAAACAGCCAGTTTAATTCTCTGGATGTGCTTGTTGACACCATAGAGCATGCGTGCTATTCCCCCTGTGAATGCATACTAATGGATGCAGCCATGATTGGATGTGGATTAGGGGTTGGCGAAAGACAACATGGGAGTGGAAGAGATCGTATCAGCAGGACTGGGGGTTTCAGGCCAGTGGGCGATACAGCTGGGGGAAGAGGGAGAGATTACCCCACCCCACCCAGCCCTACCTGTCTGTTCTTTTCCCTCCTCCACCCTGGCCCACTCTATTCCGCCCCAGCCCAATTTCTTACTTACCCCTCCACCTCCCGTACTCTCCTCAATTCCCCATTTTTGAATTTCTGAGTGGACACACACGGGCGTTCCAGTGTCAACAGACATTGCCTAAATGACATATTGTGACTCTGTGCTGCTGAAACTGTAGCAGTAGGTCAGTATGTCATTTAAAGGCATTCTGACATTTTTATTTGTCATTCAAATTTATTCTCTTTTTAAGTTAATCAGGGGAGATGCAGAGTGATGCCAGTATCATGCGTTCAGTTCAAACACTGGCTGAGTTTACCACGAAAACTCTCCTTCACAACCTCCCTCTTTGGCTGAAGTATGGGTTAAACCACCATCCGTCATCTGTCTAATGAGCGAGCAGCCCTACGGTCCAGTAGGACTTATGGCCACTTTATCTTTTAATCAGGAAGCCACTAAAGTGGTGATATTTTAACTGCACTTCCAATAAAGTCCACTAATGTGAATATATTGCAAACTTTTGCATTCTGTCTTTGAATGGAAAACAAAATTTGCCCTTATTTTTGCTTTTGTGGATGTGCTACTTAGTCTTGTCCTGTACTGTGTCCCACATATGTCACCTTCAGTTTGCCAAATATACTTTTAACCATATTTATGACCGATCATATTTGCAAATGATCATTTTGTAAAAGTGATGTAAATGTTCTTCCCAGATTTGACAGAATACACCAAACTATCAATATAGCCAACATAGTTGCATATTCCATGATGATCATGGTTAATTGTTGATGAGGTGCTGGTGCATTTTTCATTCCGGGATTTACGTTGATAAAGTCCAGCCAGTATAATAAAGGATGACGTTTATTTAACTCTTTCAGTTAATGGAACTTGCCAGTATCCATTTGTGTAACAAATCATGCATGTCCAATCCTCTTAACATAACTCTCCGAACATGGAACCTGATATGAATCAACCTTTGTTGCTGCGTTGACTTTGCAGCAATCAAAACATAGTTTTTGTCATCCATCAGATAGATGAGCTGCAACTACTTTGACTTGGTTCAATAATATTATTGCCCATGAACTTATTCTCTTCCTCACTTTAGTTAACTTTTCTGGAGTGAGTATAGAAGGATGTTACTTTATGGGCACTATATTCCCTAGGATTAGTAAAACATAATGGCAAAGGCATATTTCCCCAGCCTCTTCATTCAAAATTGAAGAGTCAATTATGGCTACTGTAAGTCACTTCAATATTTTTCTGGAAAATAGCATAATATTTTATCTCACTTTCCAATACTATTGTAGTATCCATTATGATTAATAGAGGATCAACTTTTGAATGTTCAATTTCTGATTCATTTTTAACTCATTCTGATATTTTTATTTCACTTAGCTTTTTTTCACTACTGTTCTGTTCTGACAATCCTCCATGGCTTAGTATCATTTTACCATTTGGTCAAAGTAGTCCATGCAGACCATGTTCCCAAACTAAATTAGTCCCACCCGCCTGGTCCTGGCCCATATCTCTCCAAACCTTTCCTATTCAGGTACTTATCCAAATGCCTTCTAAATGTTGTAATTGTACCTGCATTCACCACTTCCTCTGGCAGAGTATTCCACATACTAACTGCTCTGTGTTTTTTTTAAAAAAAGGTTGTCCCTCATGTCCTTTTTTAAATCTTTCTCCTCTCACTTTAAAAATCTGCTCCCTAGGTTTGAACTCCCCCACAACAAAAACAAAAGTTGCTGGAAAAGCTCAGGTCTGGCAATATCTGTGTAGAAAAAAATCAGAGTTAACATTTTTGGTCCAGTGACCCTTCCTCAGAACCTTCACAGATGCTGCTGGACCTGAGCTTTTCCAGCAACTTATGTTTTTGTTCCTGATTTACAGCATCTGCAGTTCCTCTGATTTTTATTTGAACTCTCCCACCTTAGGGAAAAGACCTTTGCTATTCACCTTATCTATGTCCCTCATGATTTTATAAGCCTCAATAAATTCACCTCTCAAACTCCTACACTCCTGTGAAAAAAATCCCAGCATGTTTTTATAACTCAAACCCTCCATTCTCAGCAACATCCTGGTAAAACGTTTCTGAACGTTCTCTATTTCAATAATAGCCTTCCTGTAACAGGATGACTGGAAAGCAGTCCAAAGAGGACTTGCCAACATCCTGTACAACCTCAACATGACGTCCCGACTCCTATACTCAAAGGTCTAAGCAATGAAAGCAAGCGTGCTAAACGCCTTCTCAACCACTCTGTCTACCTGACGCTTATTTCAAACAATTACATGCTTGAACGCCTAGGTCTCTTTGTTCTACAACACTACTCGGGGCTCTACCATTAATGGTTTAAGTCCAGCCCTTGTTTGTTTTGCCAAATTGCAATTCCTCGTGTTTAACCAGATTAAACTCTATCTGCCACCCCTCAGCACATTGACCCAATCAATCAAGATCTCCTTGTAATCTTAGGTAATGTTCTTCACTGTCCACTTTACCACCAATTTTAGTGTCATCCACAAACTGACTAACCATGCCTCCTCTCATTCTCATCCAAGCTATTTATATAAATGACAAACTGTCCCGATCCCTGTGGAACACCACTGGTCACAGGCCTCCAGTCCAAAAACAACCTTTCACCACCACCTTCTGTCCTACCATAAAGCCAATTTTGGATCCAATTGGCAAGCTCACCCGGAATCCCTTGTGATCTAGCTTTACTAATTAGTCTACCATGCGGAACCTTATCAAAGGTTTTGCTAAAGTCCAAGTAAACAGCATCTGCTGCTCTGCCCTCATCAACCCTTTGTTTACTTCTCAAAAACTCAAGTTTGTGAGACACAGTTACCCTCACACAAAACCACATTGACAATCCATAATCATTCCTCGCCTTTCCAAATGCCTGTAAATCCTGTCTTCCAGAATCACCTTCGTCTTTATTCGCTAGAACATCTATCTTTATTCATCTGTTGTTCTATAATCTTATCAGCCTTACCTTTTACTCTTACTGGAAAATAATGTCTCTGAACTCGCTGATTTTTCCTCCACGCTGGAGTATTTACATGCTTGAACTTATTTTGATTCGATAAGTTCCAGTGAACCTTTTAATGGTTCCCCAGAGATGGGCTACAGTGCCAGCACTTTTGTCCCCAGCAACAGAATTCCAACTTTTGGCCTTATCATCTGCCCTAGCTTTCATTATTGGTTGAGTACTTTTCAAAAGCTTTTTGACCAACCAGCTCGGATACTTTTGTTATGTTTCAAAGAAAATCTAACACCACAGGGCCTTCTCTGAGCTTTGGTTTCAAAAAAAGAAGTATTTGATCAATTTAAGTGATCCTCTCACCTCCTATCTATATGGCCAAATATTAATTCAAAAGGACTAAATTCTCTGCACTCATTAAGGATGTTCCTAATTGCAAACGGGAACAAGGAAATGCCTTTATCATTAAGGCATACCTGACAGTAAGCTGTAATCACATGGTGTTCAAAGTTTGCCATTTTTCTAATGCTTTCTGAGATTGTGGATGATGAGTCGAAGATGTAGTTGCTTGGAGAGAGCAAGAATTGCAGATACTGGAGTCAGAGTCAATACAGTGCGGAGCTGTAGGAACAGAGCAGGTCAGGCAGCATCAAAGGAGCAGGAAAGTTGACGTTTCGGGTCGTGACCCTTCATCAGGACTAGTGAAGAGCCTCGACCTGAAACGTCGATTTTCCTATTCCTCTGATGCAGCCTGACCTGCTCTGTTTCTACAGCTCCACACTGTATGGATGAAGTCAATGTGTAATTTGATTTATTCCCAAAACATTCATTATTTCTTTAATTATTTGCAACAATTTTAACCTTGATCTGATTATATTTTGTTGGGTAAATCATGTCTTACAGAGTCATAGAGTCCACAGAACAGAGACATCCCTTCGGCCCAGCCTTGTCCATGCTGACCAAAATGTCCATCCACACTAACCCCATTTCCCTGCACTTGGCCCATATCATTCTAAACCTTTTCTATCCATGTATTTGTGCAAATGCCTTTTTAATGTTGTTAATGTACCCACCTCAACCACTTCCACTGGCAGCTCATTCCATACGCGTACCACCTCTATGTTTTAAAAAAAAAAGTTGCCCGTCAGGTTCCCATGCATGCATTCTTCTTACCTTGAACTGATGTCCTCTCGTCCTTGATTCCCCAACCCTCTGAAAAAGATTGAGTGCATTCACCCTATCCATGCCTCTTAGAATCTTATACACTTCTATAAGATCCCCCCTCCGTCTCCTATGCTCTTTAAAAAAAAAAAAAAAAAAAAAAAAAAAGTCCTAGTTTGTCCAACCTCTCCCTATAACTCAGTCCCTGGAGTCCTGGCAACATCCTTGTAAATTTCTTCTGCACTGTTTCCAATTTATGAACATCCTTCCTTCCTATAGTAAGGTGACCAAAACTGAACACAATACTCCAAGTGCGGCCTCACCAGCATCTTGTACAACTACAACATAACTTCCCAACTTCTACACTCAGTGCCATGGCTGATGAAGGCCAGTGTGTCAAAAACTTGTTTCACTGCCCTGTCTACCTGTGATTCCACTTTCAGAGAACCATGCAGCTGAACTCCAAGGTCCCTCTGTTCCACTACACTCCTTTTAAGGCCCTACCATTCACCATGAATCTCCTACATTGATTTGACTTTCCAAAATGCAATACCTCACACTAATCTACATTAAACTTCATTTGCCATTTCTCGGCCCACTTTCCCAGCTGATCACGACCCTGCTGCAATTTCTGGTAACCTTCCTCACTGTCCACAAAATTATCTATTTTCATGTCATCTGCAAACTTACTAATCATGCCTTGTACATTCTTATCGAAATTATTGATATAGATAACAAACAGCAATGGGCCTAGCACTGACCCCGGAGGCTCACCATTAGTCACAGGTCTCCAATCTGACAAGCATCCTTCCACTGCTGACAAACAGGAGGCTGGAAGAACACGGCAAGCCAAGCAGCATGTGGAGGAAAGGAGCTGTCAACATTTTGCATATTTACCCTTCTTCAGGAGGGTCCTCCTTGAGTCCTGAAGAAGAGTAATACCCAAAATGTTGACTGCTCCTTTTCTCCACCTGCTGCCTGGCTTGCTGTGTTCTTCCAGCTTCCTGTTTGTCTACCTTGGATTCCAGCTTCTGCAGTTTTTTTTATTTTGTCTCTCATCCTTCCGCTGTTACTCTCTGCTTTCTACTGTCAAGCCAACTGTGTATCCAATTTGCCAGCTCTCCCTGGATTCCATGTGATCTAACCTTCCAGAGCAGCCTACTATGTGGAACCTTATCAAACGCCTTACTGAAATTCATACAGACTATGTCTATTGCCCTGCCCTCATCAACCTTTGTGGTCACTTCATCAAAGAACTCTAACAGATTTGTGAGGCATGATCTCCCATGCACAAGGTCATACTGACTACTACTAATCAAACCCTGTCTTTCCAAATGCATGTATATCAGAATCTAATCAAGTAACACAGATGTTAAGCTTACTGGTCTGTAGTTCCCAGGATTTTCTTTGTAGCCCTTCTTGAATAAGGGCACAACATTCACTACCCTCCAATCTTCTGGGACCTCACCCGTGGCTAATGATGATACAAATACATTTGCCAGGGCCCCTGCAATTTCTTCTCCAGCCTGATGCGGAGTTCTTGGATATATCTGGTCAGGACCAGGATATCTATCCACTTCCATACAGTCTAATACTTCCAACACCACCTCTACTGTGATCTAGACTGTCCCCAAGATATTGCCACTGACATCCCCAAGTTCCCGAGTCGTCTTTCTCTGCAGTAAACACGGAGGAGAAACGTTCATTGAGGAATTATGTCTCGATTTTAAAATAATCTATTCACTATCATTTTTGCTGTAATTGTCACCAGAGGCATTGCCTGAGTTTACCACCTTGTGCATTGATTATCTTTACCAGTAATTGAAGAAGAATTGTGTTGACTGTCCTGAATCATCTGTCAGTAATATGTTCTGAGAGAGCACACTTCATCTGCATGACTACAACAGTTTTAATATCTTTTTACTATCCTGATGAAGTCTCTTTCTTTTTCTGATTTCCTTATCCACTTTTACTACTGAAATCCTTCTCTCATTTCACTTCCAGAAATTGATTTTAGTATGTCCATTCTCATTACAATGTTTTCTTTTATATCACATCTAAGTTCTAACCTTTCTGCTTTATTATTCTGGAATCCTTCTGTTGGGATCCCTAAAATTAATTTCCTTTCCATTTTTTCCATCCCCACATATTCTATTCCTCCCAGTTTTCTTGTAGATTCCAATCTGACCAATCTACATGTCGCTGTCTGAGTGAAATATCATAGCTATCTGCCAGAACTGCTGCTTCCCTGATCTATCTTTCTTGACCAATTTTATTACTTGACCTCACCTGAATAACCCTCAGGGATTATCAGAAAGCTGTTTTGGATTTTTTCCATAATTCTGATTTACCTCGTTGTCAAAGTTATCCTCTAACTTTGATTTTTTAAAAAAACATTGTTTTCATAACATTTATTTTTCTCTTCTACAAATGTTTAATAAGGTTTCTTTCTTACCCTAAGTTTTAATTAATAAGCTCCAGGGGCAACCTCAAATGTATTGAATATTGTTCTTTTAACAAGTCTCTCAGTCTGCAGATTGTTCTTATTGGCCAGTGCATTACTTCATAGCTATCAAGACACACTGTAACATAAAGGTCCAAACATCTGTTGACTATTTCATCTTCTCCACTACCTTTTTGCATGGGGTGAAATATCTTTCAATTCCATTCTCATAAATTTAGGCACACATTTCTAATCAAATCAAATCTTCACTGGACTCTGAATAATCTGAGTTAGCTCCACTTTATTCTTCCTTTAAGATTTTCTGTTTCCAATTCATATCATCTAAGCTCGTTCTCTCTTTGAAGATCAAGGTTTTAAATTTCACTTCCCTTTTCTTAGCCCCTTATTTTTCTTTTTCCTTTCTTTACATGTTTTGTTTTTATTACTCTTCCCTTTCCAATTCAGCCTTTCTTACTTTGTTTTCTTCTCATTCTCTAATTCCTGTTTTTTTTCCATTTGCAGCTAATTCTAACAATGATGCATCATTTTCAGTGTTCCCTGCTTTTAATTCTAAACGCTGAGTGAAAATCTAAGGAATCCCAGCCTTTCACGGTCCTGCCTTTATTTCTACCTTTTAATTTAGTTCACTCTCTCTGTATTGACGTCATCAAATTTGAAAGACGTCCAGGCCACCAGCCTGGAAAGAAGTGGCTGGCTGACTGTTTCATTCCAAGAAGCATGGCTGGATATAGCCACTTGAGTAAGAAATTGAAGTGTTAACATAGAAATGATACTGGGGTGAAAAGATATTACTCAGAAAAGGGTTGAATCTTTTTGTTGTTTATATTAGAGTTTTCTAGATAGTCAGAGCTTTGCCTTTTTGTTTTGATATTTTGTTGAGTCATTTACATTTTTACCTAGGAGTGCCATTGTGTTCATTGGGCATTATGAAAGATGCATGGCAACTGCTACGGCAATGTATCAGCCCACCAGAGAATTCCAAGGCTACTACGTTTGCACCTTTGTTGAATGACATCTTTCAATTCCTCTGTGGACACCTTACTCGGACTTCAAACCTGGTAGAACAAGAATTGGGCAAACGTTCTGACCCTAAGGCAATTATTACAGCGATGGGTCACCAGCAGCAAAGGGCAGAGGTAAAAATATTAATGTATTTGGTAAAATCAATGCATGTGATAATGCAATTGTAAGGATTCCTCTTTGTTTGCACAGTATAAATCTATGACTACAGTGCTTGGGATTTTTCAGAAACTTATGGATTCATTCTGTGACAATTAAAATATTCCAGTATATTAACCTACCCTCATTTGAATGTAATTTGTAGCACAGAAAAAAAACTATTTGATCTATTGAACCATTGCCAGTGCTGTGAAAGTTAAACATTTAGAAGGCAGGCCTTTCCCCTGCCCTTCAATATCATACTCTTTTAAACAATTGTCTGCCTCCTGGTTTAAAAATAGTTATTGCTTCTGATAACTGCTTGTAGTACAATTATCAATAACATTGTTTCTTTTAGTCACAGATAATGTATTTGAAATTATAGCATCCTATTGCCAGTAGTTTTTATCCCTATTTGAATTTCAAAGTAAAATCTTGTTTCTTTGTGTTTTTGATAGCTCCGTCTTGAAGCCCTTTGCCAGATTTCAACTTTTCTCTCTGAAATGGAGGGTAAAGCTGGCTCCTCATTGGATAGTTCAGGACTGTCAGTAAAGTCAACTGGTCTTCTACTGACAGTACAATTGCAGTTTTTAACTGGCTGCTTTGATCTGGGAACAGCAAACACAAAAAGCACTAAACAGAATTGTGGAAAACTCCAGCATTATACGGTAACGGAATATTGCCTTTGCTTTTCTTGCAAATTTGTGCTGAACTACAATGTATGAGGGTGCTTAAATGTAAATATTTTGCAAAATGTTGTGCGTTGAATGACACTTTCTAAATGTTTATTCACCTCTATCAACTGACTGCTTGCTAGTTCTGTAGCAGAAACTAAATATCATTCAGTCTTCACATGTGTCTGGATTATTATTGAAAATACAGGTTGTATTCAGTGGATGTATTCTTTTATTCCCACCTCAGGATATAACACAGGCTGCCCATGGAAATACACAGATTGAGCTCCAGGCTTCAGCACATAAACTTTATCAACATTTGGTTTCTTCTCTGAAACGAGGACTTGCAACTGGAAAGGAATTCTCAGGTTTAAAAATAATTATTTATTTAAAGATATTGATGGTTTAATAAATTAGAATTATTTTATTCACTAGTGTTATTATTAATAGTAGGGATCTTCTTTTTGACCAGTTTCTTTTCAGCACCTCTATCTCCATTCCAAACCCCACAAAAAAAAGTGAGTCAGATTATTATAAAATCTGTATCCAATATACCAGGAAAGTAGTAAGTAGTTTGGATAGTCTAAAACCAATCGCTAAAGGACCACTATAAAAATTAAACATTCTGGTTAAACCAAATATTTAAGAACACAACTCTGATTTCTTGACTTTAAGAATGTAAATGTTGGTCACATGTTTCTAGTTAGTAACAACAGAAAATTGCAGCTTATGGTTGTGTGCAATTTTTAAATGAGAAAGCTAATTCAAAGAATGATTATGGGAAAACTAGTTAATGTTCGCTGCTACAATTTTAAGAAATTATAAAATTTAGAAAAGGTGTCTATGCATCCAATTTTCAGTTGAATAGTTGAGAATTAAATTCTCAATCTGCTAAAAAGTGTTTGTGATTGAGGGTGGTGTTTATATTTTAAAAATGAAAAACTGAAAAATGGTTAATTGTTTGAGCATATTCTGTTATTAAAGATTGTGAAATCATGAATGGTATCCTAAATAGTTTTTATGCAGGACATGAGAGAGGTTTGTGTAGTAGGTGACAGCATATCATGTGGCTCTATATGGTTTAACTGGAGTCTTTCAGTCGCATTGAATGTAGGGTGTGGTTGGTATGGGATAGTATCTGATGGTTCAGAAGTGGAATTCGTCTACCATCCCTCCAAAAGACATGTTGTCACCATTGTACAATACTGATACATGGTGCATTTCACGTTCTACCTGTTTGCTTCAGGGGTCAGCTCAGATGACTGAACAGCTTGCTAACAATGCAGAGTGACACCAACAGCACGAGTTCAATTTCTGTACCGACTGAGGTCACCATGAAAGTCCCACCTTCTCAACCTTGCCCCACAACCTTGAAGAGTGGTGGCCCTCAGGTTAAACCCACCACCAGTCATCTCTCCAATGAGAGAGCAACATTTATTGTTCTCTGGGACTATGGTAACTTATCTTAAGCTTACCCTCTCCCTGCAAGTCCTGTTGGAGTACAGATTCCCTTTCCACAGAACTCTTATCTTCCCATGTTTCTCCTCTACTGCAATCCCATGTTTGCAATTTGCCATCCTTTCAAAGTTATTCCAGTGTTCTCAACTTGGAGCAGAACTGGGGTGTGGAGAGACTGTAATGTGAACAGGATCCTTCAGCCAGAGCACTCCAGTTCTGGATCCTCATTTGAAGTGCTGAAGTCCTTCCCTATATCACTACATCCCATTTCTCAGCTTCCATTCCTAGTGCATCCCATGATCCCGTCACTGCCCACAATGCTGGTAAATGAGTGTCTTTGGTGGTAGGTGACATCATCTTATTTCCTGTAAAAACTCTGCCTGACCAGAGACAACACACTAATCTGAGATCATAATAGGGTTACAGCAGAGAAGGTGACCCTTTGGCTCTTTGTTCTTGCCAGTTCCCTGCAAGAACAACTCAGCATTTTCTCCATTGCCCTGCACTTTTTAAAACTTCAGATAATTATTGAATTCCCCTCTTGAAAAGGCATGATTGAATCTGCCTGCACCACTCTTGGGCAGTAATTCTAGATTGTGATCACTTGCTACGTGAAAAAGCTTTTCCTCATGTTGCCTTATTTTGTTTTTGCTATTCACTTTAAATTTGTGTCCTCTGGTTCTTGATCCTTCTGCCAACAGTTTCTCCCTCCCAGCTCTGTCCATACCTGACATGATTTTGGACATCTCTAACAAATCTCGTTTTCAAGCTCCTCAATAGAGAGAACAGCTCTACCTTCTCAATCTATCCAAATAACTGAAGTTCCACATCCCCGGAGCCATTCTCAAATACTTTCTGCACTATTTTCTTTAGAGCAGAGTAGGCTGAGAGTGGTCCTGATAGAGGGGTGTAAGATTGAGGGGCATGGATAGGATGGATACTTAGTTGAAGTGTCAGTAATGAAGAGCCGTAATTTTAAGGTGAAGGACAGTTGGTTTAAAGGGGATTTGAAGAAGAATCTGTTTGTCACCCAGAAGGTGGCGGGAACCTGGATTGAACTGCTGGAAGATCAGTAGAGGCAGGAAACCTCACATCCTTTAAAAAGTATAGGATAAGCACTTGAAATGCCATAACATTCCAAACAATGGACCTAGTGCTGGAAAGTGGGGCTAGTGTAAATAGGTCATGCAAATGCAATGTGCTGAAGGGCCTCTTCTGTACTGGTTCGCTCTGTGACTATGACCCCTCTAATGCCTCCATATTTTCTCTAAATTGTGTGACCCAGAATCAGACACACCATTTCAGTTGAGGCTGAATTAGTATTTAAGAAAAATTCCTTATAACTAACTTAAATTTGCATTGTTTCTACTTACAAAGTCCAACCCCTGTACATTTTAAGTTTCCTCAACCTGTTCTGTCACTTCCAATGACTTCTACATATACAGTCAATATCCTCTAATCTCAGACCCCTTTTAAAATTGTATCCTTTATATTATATTGCCTTTCCTCCTATTTCCTACAAAATGTACCACTACACACTTTTCGGAATTAAGTTTTATCTGTCTTGTGTATGGCCATACCTCCAGTCTGTCTCTGTGTGTACAGACGTGATCTTAACACTAATCCTTCAGCTAGTTTTAAACTTTCCCACTGACCGTTCTAAAGACAAGAAAGCATGTAAAACTCAGTGGGTACCATGAACAATGCCTACTACTTGCCCTTGCCCTTGCCCTTGCCCCCATTACTATTTTACCATAGCGGAGAGCAGGTGGTTTTGGTGTGCCTGCTCATCCCTGGATCAGTTGATGTCCTTGAATGACCAATTAGTTCCTCCTTTAAAAGGCTTCAATCTGCCACAGCTGAATTTATGCGACTTTGTCAGAGGCCCATATTAAGCATTCTGCCTAATAACTAGCCTTACCTGGTGTTGTGGCAGACAGGGCGGGGATTCTATTTCCCCCTTCACAGTGAGACCCCAGAGTCGTCTTCATGAAACTATGAAGCTTATCTTACACAACTTTCTTTTGTTAACCATGCTGGTTCCTGTTTATCCCTTTGCCCTTCTTAAGTAAAGGTTTTCACTAAAAATTC